TTTGATTATCTTTCCATGTCCAAAACTAAGGTTTCAAAAACTAAAGAAAAGCATGCGATGAAGGAAGGATACATAAACGTGTGTTTTTTTAATATAATAGTATGATTATTTTAATTAATTATACAATTACATGCTAAAATACTTCAATATTTAATATATAGAATGTTTTCTTTTATTTTGTTTTTCTAGTAGCTCACATCCATGCATTATTATTATTATTACTCATCTGTCGTTCAAATCTATGCTCACTTTTTTTTTTAGGTTATCTTCGAAAAATATTTTTATTTTCTTTTTAAGTAAAAAATTATTTTATTATTTTATTTTTTTTACTATAAAAGAAAAAATTAACAATTATTACTCACTTTTATTAAAACTCGTGCCTGATTAAATTAGCACACGTTTGCACGACAGAGGGAGTATTATCTATCCAATTTTATTTCGATGAAATTTATACATATATAGGTGTGGTTATTACTAATGAGTAATTTAAACAGACAAATTCACCATCAATCAAGCGATAAAGTGAAGCCATGATCTATATAACAAATTATACACACGATTTGTATATATAAATATATTGTTCTTAGTTTTGAAATTTCATTTTTTTTATTTTTATTTTACAAGTGCAACTATTTATATATAAAAACATACTCACTCCATCTCATGTAATTTATCCTTATTTTCTATTTTCGTCTGTCCAACATTATGTCTTTTTTTTTTTTAAAAAAATATAATTATACATTTTTATCTCATTTTAAATTTGATAATTTTTTTAATATTAATTAAGCTATTTAGTTATAATTTTAATATATAATTATTTTTACTAATACATTTATTAATTACTTACTAATTATATTTTACTTAAATTTTTGTATTTTCGTATCTACAGTAACGTGCCCATATTACATGGGACGAAGGAAATCTTATTTTATCTCACATAATATGTATTAAAAAAACATTGAAATTTGTTGTATCATAAATAAAATCAGTTGAAAATGAGAATAAAGATGCTTCAACATAAATTAATTAATTTAATTTCTCGAATACAAATTAATTAATACTATAGTTCTACATAGATTTTTTTTATTTCCAAAGTTCAAAATATTTATTATTATTATTATTATGAAGCAAAGGTAGTCATGTCATGGACCATGGGATGAGTTGGTTGCTTCTTATCCATGTTGAAGGAATGGTTGGCTAAGAAACCCTTTCATTATTTTAGGATCTTCAATTCCACACACAAACACACACACGAGATTTAAGGAATATTAATATTATATTAGTAGTGGGTAAAAAGTATAGGTAGAAGACATTTTTCCCCTCGTAAGTATATTAGTGTAAAAAGTAGTGACAATTGTATAATAATAATGAAAAAATAACGATAGTTTTATATTGATATGATTATTTAAAACAAATATATATATATATATACATAACGCATGCATACATACTATTCAAAATTACCTTATTTATTTATATATCTTGTGTTTGATCGAGCTATATGCTACCTAGACATTGGATTAAAATACAAATAACTTTTTATTTTATTATGATGATCGATTTAGTACAAGGTTCTTACACAAATTATTCACTCATATTGGACCCACATTTCCCCTTTTATAAATAACATTTTATATAAATAGTATAATTTTCTATGCAAATCTTGCAATTTTTCATAGCTAACAATAAAAATATTTAAAGTATTCAAAATATTAAATTAAAATATTCATATGAAACACTATTTACTTTTAAGTAGAGTTGTCAAAATAAATTGACGAAACGATAGATTAACCCACAGTGCGTAATGACTTATAAATAAACGAATTATTTGCAGGTCGATTCACGATAGAATAATTTGAATTTTACTCAGCACAACCCAACGTATCCACCGGTAGGTGTTGAGTTACGGGCTAACCCACCACTGACTTTTTAATAAATTTTAAAAAAAATTAACAATAGAAAATATGAAAAAATAACCATAATTAATTTTACGAATTTGTCGATAAATTGTAAATGAAGAATAATTATAATGTAATAAAACATAAAAGATGAACAAAATAAATGATAAAAAATCAAAATATAGAAAAGAATGACATCTACTATAGAGTTAGAGAAGAAGGCAATGCCATAGATAATATTAATTAATTAGGCTATAGTTACAGTAAAAAAAAAGTCACAGTTTTAATACAAATTGGTGACTTTTTACTAAAAAGTCTCGGAAAAATATACGGAATTATTTTTGTGGAATTTTGCTGATGACTTTTTTTTAAATGGTGATATTTCTGTGACAATAAGTTATAGTATAATACCATGACATGTCCGTGACTATATATAGCAACAGAAGCTGCAACAAAATTTCGTGAATATTTTATAATGGTGATATTTTCGTGACAATAAGTTACAAAATAATACCATTACACCTCTATGACTTTATATTAACGAAAGTTGTAACAATTCCGTGATTCTATATTTTTGAAAAAAAATATTATATTATAATTTTTGTTTAATGCAACCACATACGATTATTTTTTTCGAAATCCTTATAGTTATTAAAGACTTACATGACCTGTCGTACCAATTTAGCTATCTACTCTAAAGTATTACTTTTTGTTTGTTATTATAATTTAACTATATAAATATTATTGATTAGAAATTTATCTTTTAAAAATATATACATATTTATTTAATATATTATCATGAATTTTTAACAAAAATTGAATAGCTACGAACGATATTGAATAAAGATATTGAAGATGATTTTATTATTTTGTTATTACTTTGAATAGCCACGAACAATAATAAGAAAAATTTATAGTTGTTTTTGTTACTTATGTTGTGACATTTGATTTTAAAAAGTCACGAAAATTATACTATGAAAATATCTGTAATAATTTAAAATGTTGGAAATATTTTGGTTATTTTTACCGTAACTTAAAATAGTCAAAAAAAAATTTCGTGACATTTTTTGTGACGAAATAATCAAAAGACACGAAATAGAAATATCTTGGATATTTTCGTTACATAAGCCGTTACTTTAAATAGTCACGGAAAGTTGTTTGTAACTTTTTCTGCAAATATTACTTACGGAATAGTCAAAACAAAAAGTTATGACATAAATTTGTCATGAAATTACTTTCGGTGAAGTTTAATTGTCACGGATTAAAATTTGCGACAAATTTTCATAATTATTAACCTTTTTTTTCTAGTAGTGCAAAAGTATAATATTAAAGATATACCATACTATTATATTTACTTAATTCACGGGCTAACACTATACTAACACGTTGTACCGCAAACAAACTCACTTCCACTCATGACTCGCATGTTAACGAATTTAAAAAATTACAATTCAACACTCCTTATAAAAAAGCGGAAAGGCGGGTGGGCTAACATGACCGATTCAACCTATTTTAATAGCGCTAATTTTAAGTTGATTTTATTTTTAATTACTACTATATTAGTTTGTGTGTTGATAGAGTTTGAATTTTGCTTTGAGTTTTGAAAAATAAAATTTTAAATTAATAAAATAATTATTCTATGTAATATAAATGGTATATTAAATTTAAAATTAATTTTTATTATAACATAAAAAATAAAAAATTTATTATATATTTTATTAAAAATTTTCTTTATATGTATCAAAATTTTATAAATATATATAATATTATATTTAATAATTATTGCTCAATATATACATATGTAAAATGGCAGCAACTAATATCATACAATGTAGATTGTTGGATAGAGAAAATACATCATATAAGGACATGCAACTCATATATTATGTTATAATACAAATACAACAAATGACATAGTTCCACGTAATATATACTCTCTCCGTCCCAATACAATAGTCTTGTCTATTATTTTTGTCCGTCCTAAAACAATAGTCTTGTTTCCATAAATAACCATATCACCGTAAAACTACCTCTACTTTTTCATTTTTATTATACAATTACACAACTTTTTACACTGATACACTCATAAGGGCAAAAAAATCTTTTATCCATACTTTTTACCAACTACCAATATAATATCAATATTCCTTTAATCCCGTGTCCAACCCAATTAAAACTATATTTATGAGACGGGTGGAGTATAAGGACAAAAACACACGATATAGAAATATATACTATATAAATATATTAATATAATACGAAGGCAACAATTAAAATATACAAAAATATAATTATAATACATGAACTAACAACGCATAATATAGCTTCATACAACATATATATATATATATATATATATGCTACAATTGATTTCATCACAACAAGTATATTAATCGAGTGTGGATTCTATGTTGATCGGTCAAATCAACATGGATCAGTATATGCCGTGAAGGGAAACAAGATACATTTCTACATAGTACAACATATATTGTATTATAGAATATCATATGATGAGTTATAACATAATATATATTGTATTGTAAGTATATTGCGATATATGTTATACATGTTATTTACATATATGTTACTCCGTCTGTCTCGTGTTAACATATATAGTCATTTTTATCTGTCAGGCATTAACACGTGCATCTTCAATTTTAATAATTATGGGCTTCACTATTTAATACAAATACTCCAACTTTATTATATATTTACTATTATATCATAATTTTTTACATTAAAAAATAGGGACAAAATTATTTTTACATTACTTTCACTATAATTAAAATATTATTATTTCTAAAATTTCAAAAGAAATTAGTTGTATACATATATATATATCCCATTAAAGGTTAAAACAAAAAACAATCCATTTCAACTAGAGCATAGATTTCAAATCCTGACGTCTTCAAATCCACCTGTCATATATGATTCGTCTAGTGTGACTTGTCGTTTAGATCGTTAAAATCAATCAGATTAACTAAGTAATTCCAAATTCTGACAGACAAAAAAAATGCCCAAATTTAATTTGTTCATCAAAATTAATCAGATTAACCAAATAATAATATTCAAATCTCCCAACAACAACGATAACAAATATAATGCTATTACACTGTTTACTAAAACAAAAGCGCGCGCAGACACAGTAATAATATAATTAATTAAACCGATCGAAGTCCACTTAAAAAAGATAACTTGAAACACAAGTAGGTAGATAGATAGATAGATAGATAGGTAGATAGGTAGATCAGATAATTAACAAAAGATTCTGTCTGATCCACAATTGAAATGAAAATATACATCGATTACTTAATTAATTAAGATCCAACGGTCATGGAGACGACAGATCAGCACAGCAGCAGGCCTACGGGAATCGGAGAGGGCTAAACTGATCAAACGCCAGGTCGAACTCGGCCACATCCATATACGGCGGCGGCGGCGGCGGCGCTACGGCGGCGTCCAATTCCCCCAAGCGATGATCGTGATCAATACTGTCGAAGAAGGCCGCGGATGCATGATCAATGTCAGAAGGATCTGGCAGCGGCAATGGCGGCGGCGGAGGGGGGCGGGCGGCGGCGAGGCGGGCCTGGGCGAGGAGGAGGTCGTTCTGGAGGTGGAGCATGGTGTGGTGGAGGGAGGCGATGGCGCCGATGCAGCCGTAGACGGGGTCGTGGAGGCGGAGGTCGGCCTCGTAGACAAGGGAGTTGACGGCGTCTTGACGGCGGTCGTGGGGGACGTCGGTGAGGATCTTGGTGACGTTGCTGGCGCCGAACACTTTGTGGACTTTGGCGAACTTGTTGGGCTCGTCGGCGCCGAAGTAAGGGGCGAACACGCACTCGCCGCGGATGCACCGCCGCTTCAGGAACTTGCACGCCGCGCACGACCGCCCCTCCTGCTTCTTCATCGCTATCGACCTTAATTTCTCTCACTATATCTATATATATGTATGTGTATATATGTATGGTCGTCGATCGTGCTTAATTTGATCTCTTTTTTTTTCTCTCTCTCTCTCTCTATATATATATATATATATATATGTGTAGGAGTTATTAGGGTTTAGGGGGTGTTGTGAGATTGTGAAGTCAATGAGAAATAGGGTGTGTTTTAATTTTGAGTTTGGTTTGAAAAGAATATGGCTCTATTTATAATAGAGATTTTTTTGAAGTTATGAAATTTTGAAAAATGCGAAATAGTATTTTGTAAGAAAAATATATTTCATGTGATGTTTTTAAAAATTTGAATAGTATCAAAATTTTCAAAATTATTGTCTTTAAAATGGATAGCATGAAAAAATAAAAAACTCAAAAATAGCATATATACACCATGGAGCTTAGGGTTTGTTCTTTTGTGCTTTATATATATTATACAATTTTTTTAATGATATAATATATTTACATCTTTATTTTTTTTATATATAAAATACCATATTTAATAATTATTTTTGTCACAAAAATGTAAGATAAATATAAAATAATAATTATTTTTATCATAGCTTGGCCAATTTAACTCCTTTTAAGGATAATGGAGTTTTAAGGTTTTGAGTCCTATGTTGCCCTTAGCTTGTCCTTTCTTCCCTTTCTCTTGACTAATTAATTATTATGTCCTAATTATAACATAATTAAATATTATTTCTTTAATAAAAAGGTCTTGGAGTATTTTATTGAAATCTGGGGCAGTCACTAATATTTTAATAATATACATTTACATGCCAAATAGAATCCGTTATATGTACTTTCATATGTTTAATAAAAGTTCTCATACAAAAGTTGGATAAATTATTTTAGTGTATGTTAAAGAAGATCCGGATATTCAACTTAAAACCAATTGGTAATAGGTGGAGTGGTCCTTCACCCTTATATACTAGGGGGATCCCACACATTTAGTAATGTGGGACAATATTCAACACTCCCCCCTCGAAATGATAATCTCGAAAATCCATACACGATCCAAACCCAATACGGGCACCATGGCTCTAATACAATATTAAGAAGGGATCCGGGCATTGGAACCCCGGATCCCCGTATTAACAATTCATTGCCTAAAATCTATATTGAACAATATTTTAAAAATATATCATATTTGTTGAAACAAAAATGGGTCAGTTCTATTCGAACTTTATAAATTTGTCACATTTCGTCCTTATTTTGGAAATATATCTTTCATTTCAATCTCAGAAACTTTCATGATACTGTCTGCAATTCGTGAGTACCACACTGCATTTGATTTTTATTATAACTTATTCCTTTTCTTTCAATATTAGAATAATAAGGGCTTTGTTTATTTACGTCTTCAAATTGTTTTTTACTAAACATAATCACAACCTTTTCTTTTCTCTTTTTTTTTTTTTTTTTTTTTTTTGTATAGAACATATTATTCTATCGTAAAAAAATATATTGCATTCAAGAAGAAACAATAATAATATATAGTGGTTTAGAATGTGATATTTTGTAAAAGAAAATAATAATCTGTTTGAAAATCAACTATGTAGTATTTATTTTGGTTTAAAATCAAACTAAATAAACCCTAGAAATTATGAAAGTAATTTGAAAACTTGTGATGTTTGGGTGAATTGTAAGAGGAAAATAGTATATTTGTATTGAAATGTGTAAATATATATATATTTAAGAATAATGTAAAAATAAAGATCAAACATGTTTCAAATTTAAAATTAGTAAATGATGAATTTGTTTAAAGTGAGTGGCTAAAGGTGGCTCAACCCTTGGCTATTCACACTAAAAATAGCATCCTCCCATGACATTATTATTATTATTATTATTATTATTATTATTATTATTATTATTATTATTATTATTATTATTCTTATAAAAATGATAGACAATTGAGCTTCACAAGTTTGGGTAGATGTGTTTCATTATTTAACCCTATAATAAAGTGGACACATATGGATATGATCATGTCAAAGCAAATGATTACTTCAATTCACAATATTTTAACCTACCTTCATTTCATCATGCATCAAGGGACCTTTACATTTTTCATTCTTTGAAAGGATGCAATATACATATACATACATAAATATATATATATATATATATGTGTGTGAGAGTAAACATTGAATAACAATTTCAATATATTATAAATTTAATTTGAGAGCATTGAATAACACTTTAGTGTCATGTGAATTTTATATTACAAATAGTATGATTATCAAGAATGGTTAGAAGCACATTTATCTTTTTGGATCCATTATACACTTCCTAACACATAGATGATCCCCTAAAAATTACTCCTTTAGCTACTAGTTCAATAGTCTATAGACCAGTCTCATGGTCACAGATTCTAACTCCGAACCATCAAATCATATTGTATTATTTTACATTAATCAAATAAATTATATATAACATATATATATATATATATATTGGACCCTATTTGTATTGCACCTTGGGCGGAAGTATCTTTCATCCGGACCCAAGGCCGGCCCTCACAATATTCAAACGCCACACCAACTTGACCACACCTTATCGGTGTAGAGAACTACTCTCTCTCTCTCTTTTTTTTTTTTTTTAATAACATAGATATTTTTAAAATAATAATAAAAGGAAATATAAATTGTGAGTGAGTGAGGCACACATGCATAGTGAACAATAAAATGTCAAAAAAAAAAAAAACTATATAAATGAGGCATGATGGGAAATGATAGTTGGACAACAAGATAGACGAGACAATTGTGGCTTTATGAGAATATATAAATGGGACCTATCAAATATTGACTCATCAACAAAGTTAGATGACATGTTTCACAAATATTTACACATCTATTCATTATCATCCATTACAATCAAGTTCCCATTTTCATTTTTATTTTCTCTTTTTTTACAATTAAAGAAAACCCTAATTGGATTCATGCACAACACACAACAAATTAAATGAACTACTTACTTGCACACTTGGAAAATTAAATACAAAATATCTTGAGAAATAGAATTATGTTCACTCTAAACCATTTGATTTATTAAAAAAATAATATATGTGTGCCAACTAAAATTCATTATAAATTAATAAATCTTCGATTTTTTTTTTATGACGTAGGAACCCGCAGCCGCTATTCGAAAGTACGCACTGAGTAAACCTCCGACAGAACCTAATACCCTGCAAACCAGGCCCGACGGGAAAGTCACACTATGCGAACTATGTGTAGCAGATGACCTGAGGCGTCGGGGGTTTGAACCCATGACCTCACGGTCACAAGTCCAACCCCTACACTACCAGGCCATCCCTTACGGGATAAATCTCCGATTTTTGTTAGAGAGACAGAGAGAGGAGAGAGAATTAGACCAAATGGCAACACACACTATTTACCAAAGTAGACATTAAAAATACATAAATAAATTACTACAATAAAACAGTTGAACAGTCACAAACAAAATGTCATGTAATTGTACTTGTATCTATTTACTCTGCTATAAAAATTGCAAAAAACTATTTCGAAAGTACACGTATCATCAATTTAATGACTTTAGGCAAATTTCGATAGCTACAAGTATGTTTTCTCTATGCATCGCCTAATGCTAGTAATGTTGAATGATTGACAAATACAAATTATTATATTGATTTCATATATATATATATATATATATTATATGTGAAGTCAAGATTAAAGTTAACATTCACTATAAAAACCTTCCACTTCCACCTTGGCTTATTAGGATTTGTTTAAAACCCTTTCCTAAAGTGATTTTGAAACCACTTTATTTAGAAATGAAACTTGTTTCCTACCACCCAAATTGCCTCACAAAGTGTGCCAACAATTTTTTTTTGTAAGTCAAATATTTTATACTCTAAAATTCCACCAAGCCCATCATTTGTTCCATTCTTGAAAGAGCCTAATATTGTAGTATTATAATATATGGTAGATGGGTTAAAGAGGGCAAAAATTTTTCTGCTTTGATTTGATTTGATTAAATCCATTATCACGAAGCACTCACACTACTCATGAATTTCCTCCTCCATCATTTTTCTGTAATAATTCAGAATCTTAGTAAAAAATCGAATAAAAATCATCATACGTATGTGTGTGTGTGTATAGTTGTGGAGGAGAAAAGGGAATAAAAACATTACGCTGCTGTGTAACAGAAAAGTACACGACGGAAAAGGTAACCTACCATTAAAATTAAAAATAAAAATAAAATTTAAAATCAAGAATCAAAGGAGCTAGGCAGTAGCCACACCCCTCTACCCCCTACCCACTGCAAACATATAATATATATATATATATATATATTATAATTATGGCTTGCATCAAATCTAGGAGCACAATGGCAATTCCATGCTTATAATGATAATACTAAATTCGTTCAAATGTGCTTTCTTTCACCCAAAATATGTTTTTTTTTTTCTTTTAATATAAAATATGAGATTTTTTTTTAAAAAAACGGTATATGCATAATATAATTGAAATAAATACTCCATTCGTCCCATATTTATCTATCTATCATTTGTTTTTTTGTACAATATTTTAAAAATATTAATATTATATTGTAGAAATAAAAGTAAAATTACTAAACTATGGGATGCAGTAAAATGGATGAGTAAATAAAATTAAGTATAATTTGGAGAGATAAAAAGAAGCCAAATTAGAGATGTATGTAAAGAATAAAAGTGTAAGTGGGGGAGAGAGATACCAGTGGGGAGGAGAGAACAAATGAATAAAAACAAGAGAAATTAAAAAAAGAAAAACGGAACGGGAAAAATAGTCACTTCAACAAGACGGGAGGGAGTAATGAAATGTAATAATGGTGGAAAATGGGGATCACAGCGTAGGTGGAATCAGTTGTCGTTACCAATTCCAACAAATAACGGAACATCACTGATGGACTCCTCATCCCCACCCCTCTGCACCCCCTCCCCCTCCAAATAATTTTCATTTCATTATTTCTCTATTATAACTATTTAATTTCTTTCTCTAGCCACCTACATCTACATCTACATACAACTAATAATAATAAGTGTATAACGGGGATGGGATGGGATGGGAGGAAGGGCCACAACTGAACTGAAATGAAAGGAATGCAGTGCAGGGCAGCAGATCAACCTCGCCACCCCACCCCACCCCACCCCACACAATGAGAATAGAATAGATAGATAGGTGAATGCATGCATGCATGCATGTGTCTTACTTCATTATTTCATTTTAACAGATCCACTTTGGAATGTTATGTTGTGCCCCTCTCTCTCTCTATTCTCTTTCTCTACTCTCACAGGCTTGGCTTTGGTGGTGTACTAGTACTACCCCTGTGTATGTCTTCACAATTTCCATTATTAGTTAATTCATTAATAAGACTAACCAAATTAAACTTACTTACTAGATATATATATATATATATATATACAAACTCATGACTTACCCTAACTAATTAATGTGACCATCATCATCAGCATCATCATCATGCTCTTCCAATACACCACTGACCACACCACACCACTTTCTGCCCTACCTACCTTGTCTTCCACTATTATTCCACTATTTAATTAATAACAAGGATATTATGCATGTTTTATATATATATACTTTTACAGACGAAAGAGGGAAAGAGATTCATGTACAATATTGTTTTGTATTCAGGAATTACTACTTACTTACATAAATACATAAATACATACAAGCCTAACTTATTAACTAACTCATTAGGTCAGATTTTGAGCTACGTACGCATGGTGTTAAGTGGCATAGTCTTTCATCCTTATATATATAAAAAAGAAATGGTTCCCACAAATTTTCAATGTAGAATATATTCAACAATACATTAACACCTAAAATTTCTAAAATTAAAATTGTTAAATAGAAATATCTCCTTATTTCTACTTTGGCATATGAACAAATTACTTTCCGCACAACCGCTGTCACAAGATTCCAAAAACACAATAAGTTACTTTCTGCTGCTGCAGAGGAATGTCATATTTATCTTCAGAATTGGCCAATTCCATTTATGTGCTAAAAGAATTATTTGTTCATTAATTTATACTTAAACCAGACTGTTGTATATACAACATAGGACAACCTCAGTTTAGTGAGCGAACACATTTGAGAGTGATGTTATTGGGTGAACTCAACAAGAGTATGATATTGTCCACTTAGGACTTATAAGGTGTATAATTTCTTCACAACTTCCAATGTGGGACTTGGGTTTGCGCCCCAACAATCCTCCCCTCAAATCAAGGACCAACCAATGGACATTCCCTGCCCACCTTGTACCGCCTACCACAAAGGGATCTGCTGTCTAACCACCTCAATCGGGACCGACCCAACACCACCAAGAAACTTTCGATACATGACATATCCACAGGTCACGAGGGCGAGCCCGCCACCACAACCAATGCCTAATGCCACCCAGTTCACTTCACCGTCTAACCGGGCTATGATACCACTGATGTTATTGGGTCAACTCAACACTAGTATGATATTGTCCGCTTTGGACTTAGCCCGCACGGATTTGTTTTTGGATATTCTCCAAAATGCCTCATACTACTGGAGTTCACTCGGGACTTATAAGGTGTATAATTTTTTTCACAACTTCCAATGTGGAACTTGGGTTTGCACCCCAACAGAGAGCTTATCCTTGAAAGAAAAATTATTGTAAAAGCTCTCATTCGGGTCTCTCCTCGTCTCCATGATTTTCACTTGTGTTTGATACACAAACTCACCGGAGGAGTTTTCGGAGATCCAAAGGAAATGAGAACCAGCTTGTTGGGTGAATTACTCTAAGCTTGTTAGATACACTAGTGTCAGTATGCATTTGTGACTTCCAATACCTGTGCATTGAATGCAAGATAAGCCTTTATAGAAGATATGGGTTAAGTGAGTGTAAGGTTGTTATCTACTATTTTCAGTATGCATTTGTGATTTTCAATACCTGTGCATTGAATGCAAGATAAGCCTTTATAGAAGATATGGGTTAAGTGAGTGTAAGGTTGTTATCTACTATTTTCAGTATGCATTTATGACTTTCAATACCTCTTTGATTGGAATCTTTAGATATAGATTGTTATAACCCAACTAGATTAACAAATATTTGACTCATTTATTATTTTTCTGCTCAAATATTTATATTATTGTCAGTGAGATGTTATTACTGTGAGTCAAATACGCTTCAAGAAAAGTTGGCATATTTAAAGTGTTCAAAGCCAATTCGTCGATTCATCATTTCCCAACAAAAATCCTTCCCAACTATTGTTACATATATATATATATATATATATATATTCCAATTTGCTCATCATCAGCTGACCTGACCACCTCTCCACACCCTCCACATTATATGACTAGAGATTTCTTAGCTAGCTAGAAATTCAAAACCATCAATCAAGATAGTGTCTGTAAGCGAAAATTAACAACTTCAACGTCCAAATCTTTCTATTTTATTGATTAAGTATATCAAGAAACCTGCCAGGCAATCATAAATCACAACTATAATACCATACAAGGGTTTCTTAGTAATTATCTTTTCAATTTCCTCTATCATATATATGATGTACTAATTTAGCTATCTCATATGTTCTCCTTTTTCTTTTTTCTTTTCAAAATGAAGTCCACCTAAAATCTTATATCCTAAATAAATATACCCATGCAAATTCAAATTTTTCTATTTTTCATAGGATTTATTAAGTATATATAGATGTATATATATATATTATTTATCTATATTATTCTCTATACAAATAAATTCACGTTCTTTATGTTAAAGGAATTCAAGAATAATTATACGAATAACTGAGTGGATCTAATTTATCACAGCCCAATGGGCTTGTTCACAAACATCATTCAACTGATACTCATTAGAGTGGGCCTCAAATTTATCTTAACTCCTAGAAACTGTGGCCTACGAATTACAATGCAATAAAACTAATAGCCTAAAGTTTTTATAAAAACTTAGAACTTCTATGTATCCATTTGTTTGGGGATTCTCCTCTCAAATACACTATTCATTCTATTTTTTCTTCTCAAAAATATCAAACCAAACACCTATTTTTAATTTTTTATATTATACTACTAAAAATCAATTTTATATTCAAAACATTACATCAAAACATATTTATATCACAACATTCAACTGCTCAAATTCAAAATTTTTACTATTCAAATCTCAACTCAAAATCCAAACAAACACACCCATAGTGAATCTAGTGCTGGTTATAACTAGTTAGCACATTACTAGTTCAAATTCAAAATTTTATAGTATATTATAAGTTGGTATATTAAATATATATTCTATACCTTGTATAAAGGGTAAATGATTAATTAATTGATTAACCAACAATATGAAAAACAACATGCATTGCATCTACAAATATTACATTTGATAATAAAAAGCAACATATGAACTACTGTTGTTAATAAAAAATTGTAGGGTGGACTAGTTTCCACGTCATAAAATAATAAATAAAAATAATGTAACCAAATTATTTTGTATTACTCCCATTCTATAACTAAATACTAAACAAACAAACCCATACATTGTGTCAACATTCTATATATATGTAAGTATTCAGCATGAAAACTAACTACAATCACCACACCAAATGCATACATAAACAGATTTTTTGTCTCTTAAATCTTAAAAGTAATAACACTCTACACTTACTAAAACAAGTATCTTAACATATGAACTCAATATATTGAACTAGAAGACAAAACCATATATAAATATAACTATAAAAAACAAAAACAAATCAGCACCAAATCCCTCCATCTATCTATTCATCAAATTGTATCATATTCACAGGAAATATATTATTCACACAACTTAAATAAATAAGTCGAGAAAATTCAATGAATGATATAATAATAGGCCGGCATGCTACTAAGTTTGACTTTAGAACAACAGCCATCTTCATAATAACTCCTAACTATGAATTAATGATAATTAAATTACTTTTCTTAGATATTCACATCAAATTTACTGCAAGAATTGCCAGGCTGAGATTCAAATTTAATTTATAATTAAGTAGACTAACCTTGAAAATATGTCTGTGTTCCACGTGGCAGCAGGCCAAGATTTCAAGCATGACTCTCCCCAACAGCCATCCTTATTGTCATCTACGTAAACTACAAGCACAAAAGAGTCAGAATTCAAAGGTTATATTTTAATGTCCATACCAATTAATGAATATTTTTCTCCATCATATAAAGAAAATAAAAGAACCAAAGACCAGGTCATTTCATCGAACTGCAAATTCAATGGATGGCTTTGCAGCAAATGCAATACCTGCTGCAATGGTGTCATCTGGATTTCTTCCTGCAGGCTCCTTGCTGGAACTGCTGATCCAGATCTGCAATGAACTGTCCTCGTTAGAGAAGAAATCTTTCATACAGATAAAGAACATTTCGAATATGGCGAGAAGGATCAGACGCCTCTATTCGTTGTTCGAAGAGGTTAGCGAAGTGGATAAGCCTCTGCCGCCATCGACAATCCTCTGCCTCACCGAGCTCCTCTCTGTTTTCCAGAGAGTGAAGATTCTGACTGAAAGTTGCAGAGATGATAGCCTGTTATGGAACCTGTTGCAAACGGAATATATATCGAATCAGTTCTATGCATTAGTGAAAATGATGGTTCGTGCACTTGATATATTACCTTTGAGCTTGCTTCCATTGACGGCTGACACCAGAGAGCAGGTTGAGCTTCTTCACAAGCAGGCGAAAAGAGATCAATTGTTCGTAGATCAGAGGGAAATACAAAGAAGGGATGAGATCAACCAGTTGATGTCCATATTCAGCACCCAAATTAACAAAAAGAACAAGGAATTAATCGATTTACGAAGAGCTGGAGATGTACTGGGCAGTGTTGGTTTGAGAAGCCCTTCGGAATTTGATGAAGAAATGTCGAAACTAGAGGCAGAAGCTAAGAAGCAAGCCGGCACTGGCGGGCTGATCGTCATCTCCAATATAAAGAATCTCATATCCTTAATTTCTTTCGTAAAATTGACAATTTTCAGCCAAGATGATCATCTGAAAGCTCATGAGGATCCGAAGAAGAGGAAAATTCCAATGCATGGCGCCGGATATCAGCTCTCGCTTTCTCATTCCATGCCTGATGAATTCCGCTGCCCGATTTCACTAGACTTGATGAACGATCCAGTTATCATCGCATCGGGACATACTTATGATAGGAATTCCATAGCACAGTGGATCAATACAGGGCATCACACATGTCCCAAAAGTGGGCAGAAGCTCATACACATGGCTCTCATACCAAACTTTGCCCTGAAAAGCCTCATACATCAATGGCGCCTGGAGAACAATATCCCAATTCTCGAATCCACTTCCTCTTCAGATGTAGAAGGTAACACATTGAAAAAGAGATCAAGCGAAACATTGATCGATCATATTTCAGCAACAAAAGGAGTTACAGATGCTGTAAAGATGACAGCTGAATTCTTAGTCGGGAAACTAGCAACTGGATCGGCAGACATTCGAAGACAGGCGGCGTACGAACTTCGTTTACTAGCAAAATCAGGAACGGATAACCGAAGAATAATTGCCGAAGCAGGGGCTATTCCATTTCTCTCGACTCTTCTATGTTCTCGCGACTCGCGAATCCAGGAAAATTCAGTCACTGCTCTACTCAACCTTTCCATACACAACAACAACAAAGTTCTAATAATGGCAGCCGGCGCACTCGACAACATTGTGGAAGTTCTGCAATCAGGATTAACCACGGAGGCGAAAGAGAATGCAGCAGCCTCGATCTTCAGCCTCTCACTAATGGATGAATACAAGATAACTATCGGCGCACATCCGAGAGTAATTCCAGCATTAGTGCAGCTTTTAGGAGAAGCATCTGCAACCGGTAAAAGGGATGCTGCGACCGCACTCTTCAACCTTGCAGTAATTAGTGTTAACAGAGAAAAGGTTATATTGGCCGGAGCAGTTCCTCTGCTAATTGGTCTGTTGACAGACGATAAAGCAGGAATCACAGATGATGCCTTAGCATTGCTGGCACTTCTTCTTGGATGTCCTGAAGGACTTGAAGAGATAAAGAAGAATAAGGTGTTCGTACCGATTCTGATTGAGCTTTTGAGATTTGGATCATCCAAAGGTAAGGAAAATTCGATAACTCTGCTCCTGGGACTCTGCAAAGATGGAGGAGAGGAAGTTGCAAGAAGGCTTTTGATGAATCCTCGCAGCATTCCTTCTCTGCAGAGCTTGGCAACTGATGGTTCATTGCGAGCCCGGCGAAAAGCCCATGCTGTCCTTAGAATACTCAACAGATACTGTTCTCAAATCACAAAGACAGATGGATGAATAACACAAAATTGATTGTTGAAAGAATCTATTTATAGGTTGTAGGGAACTTTTACTTTGATCATAAATAACATTACATACTGTAATGTAGTAGCATCTTCTTGATGTTCTAAGATGCTAACTTGGGTGGGGAAACATTTATTGTACAAAAGCAATAATTTCCTGATGTATCATATGCCCAAATGTCGATATGCAAAATAGGGAGATGCAGTTCCCGACCACATATGTTTCACATATTGCTCAAACCTTGCAGTACTAGATGACATGCAACAGATATTTTGCAAACAAAAGAGTCCGAACTAAATGAATGTTGTAATGTAATTATCCTAATACATTTATGAGAGGGCGTGGGCGTACCACTGATCCAAGAGTGTGATTTCTACTGTCAAGATTCGAGGAAAGAAAACTCAAATGACACTAAAGAAGTTTACACAGTTGACAAACAAACAGATGTTGTAACAAGAGGGATTATCGAATTCCCATATCTAAGCATACTGCAAAAGTGCACAGAATGCATGTCTAAAACTTGAGTAGAGGCAATTCTCCATGAAAGCACAACCTGATAATGATGATCAATAACGAATAGCAATTTAGATTCAAAGCCCCTTTTATATATCACAAGCATAAATATTCAGATCCACCATGTACTGAGTAGGACTCTGCGCAGGCTAAGTTCCTACATTGTAAGGCAAGTTAGTTCCATCCCATTCCTCTAGATAAAAATTTCAAATCCGCTGTGTTCAAAGCAGGAACAAGTATCAGTAGAAGCAATGTCAAAGCCCCTACATAAGATGAGCATCTCCCTAACTCTTAATGTGAACATTGCTTAATTATCACTAAGAATCTGTTATTACCCTATAATTTGTATTAAAAGCAATCCTGGACAGATGTGTCAATTTTTCAGCACCGCTTGACAAGATCCACTAGCAAACACAAGCTAAGCATTCACATCTAAATGGTTTGTGTCGTTTATTAACCAGAAGCATATTCACCTCAATGTAAAACTTATCGACTATGACAACGAACGAAGGATAGAATTTCCATACGAAAATGGTGGACGAAAGAGATTATCAGGATATACAATACCGTCGGAACGTTTCATACTTGTTGTGCATCACTAGACGGACACCTCGCGGCTCATCCCCGACCAGTGACACTTCCAATTCTCACCGCGCCGCCGCAGTCAAAACTCCTTATTCCACATCTCTCCGATATTCAACACAGCTATCGCCTATCAATCACCACGAATTTCACAATATCCCTGCCATGCCTCAAATTGCCGCTTTAAAACTCCTTCCTCCGAAACTCGAAGAGTAACACATACCTTGAATTGAATTCTGGTATAAATTAGGTCGATTCTCCCTAATTTATCCAGAAAATTTAAGTCTGCGGCAGCAACATGCAGTGCAGTGGCGTTTTCCGCGGATGATGGATGCATTGCGTATTTTTATATTATTTATGCAGTTATTAAAAAAAATATTTTTTCGCTTATTATTTTTATACTATTTACACAATTTTTTAGGTAAAAATATTTTCTTTCAACTAAAAAATAAAACAATTTTTTTAACAAAATTAAATTATTTTCTGACAAAATATTATAGTATCAAAATATTATTTAAATTATATTGTAAATGAAAAACAAAAATAGCAGTTTGCTGATTCTTATTTTTATTTTTTATTTCTTATTATTTTAGAAATAATTATATAAAAATTATTAAATGCTAGTATAATACTTCTTCCGATTTATTAGAGTTTGCTCATCTTCACTGTGGCATGGTATTTAAAATAATAAAATTTAATTAGTTAATAATATTAATTTTCTTTTTTTTAGTAGTATTATTGTAGTTAAATAAAAATGAATATATATATAATTAAAATTTTGGGTGCTTGAAGTTTTAAAATTTTAAAAATAATAATAAAACTAATTAAATGTAATATTTTATAAAAATATATATATAATGTATTATTTTTTTAAAAATAAATACTATCACAATTTCAAATGTAGGTTGGATAAACAAAGCCCAATATTATTTTAATAATAATATTTGCATTGAGCAAGTAATTTAATTCTCTCACCTATAACATAACTGCTTAAATCATCACATAAAATTGATATTTATTTATTTATTTATTTGAAAAATGAAAACTAGATAAATTTTAAATCAAGCCAATAATTTACAAACCAAACGTCAATTGAGTAAGTCACAAAGGGATGCCTTAAAAATAACTACACAGGATTATATTGATTATATTATTTAATTATATAAATTAAAATTATGAACTAAGGCGTAAGTATGAAATTCAAACCCTAACTTCACTCGAAGTTAAAAGGACAAAAATAATTTTATTAGTATTAAATTATATAAATTTAATAATATTTGTATAATATATTGTAAATTGTAATAATATTTTTAATATTAAGTGGACAGTATAATTACTGAAAAGAATAGTTTATTAAAAGATAGAAAGAGTAACATATTTTTGAGAGATTTCTTTATATTTTTATTATTTATTAAATACTTTTTAAAAAAATAATATCAAATCAAATATTTTTTTATATTAATTTAAAAATTAATTTTATATTTAAAATATTACATTAACGCATATTTGTATCATGTTATACAACTATTCTCATTAAAAAATTCTTCTTATTCAAATCTCAAGCTAAAAATCCAAACCCCAAACACAATATACTCCCTCCGTCCCCCAAAAGAGACGTCTTATTGGGTGTTCATACCGGAATAAAATAATAATAGTATTTAATTGAAAGTTGGTATAAAGTAGAATCTAAAATATTAAAATTCCCTTACTTTTTAAATGATTTTAAAAATAGGTTGAGTAATAATTAGAGATAATTTGGAAAAGTAGAGATAATTTTGTTATAAAATGGGGACTACGCTTACTACATAAGGAAACGAGACAATTATTTTGGGACAAATAAAAATAAAAAAATAAGACAACTCTCATGGGATAGAGAAAATATATTTTTTTTTAATAAATAAATGACAAAAGAATAAAAGTAAGAAATTTGCCAAATCTGGGTGTGTTTCTTTTCTATAATTTTTTAAAAACATTTCCCAAAAACTTAATATACACATATTCACTATTTTTATATTATTTACATAATTTTATATACCTTAAATATAAATAAAAATAAAAATTAAAAATTAAAACCAAAGCACAAAACAAACACGTCATAATACTTCCTATGTCCCATATAATTTATCTATTATTTATTTTCGTTCGTCTTACGTAATTTATCTTTTTTAAAAATATATATATAATTATACACTTTAATCGTATTTTAAAATTTATAATTTGTAATTTTTAAATTTTAATTAAACTATTTAATTATATTAATTTTAATTTATAATTATTTTTGTTAATATAATTTTTAATTATTAATTAATATATTTTACCTAAATTCTGAACGGAGAAGTTATATAATTATCATACTGAAATTGGAGAAGCAAGAGGTTTTGGGTGCCCAACCCTATATTTACTTATTTAGTTGCTCATTAATTCAATAGATTCACCTCCGAACCGTTAAATTAATAATATTATAAATTCAATCGATTTAACTAATTTAGCCGAATCTACAAAATAGCGATCGCTAAAAGCTACTATAACACAATTATTGTAGTATTTAAATTAAATTGTTCCCGCTAAATAATAATAATAAGGGTAAACTGTTTGTCCAGTAACTGAACCCTTTATCATTTTAGTCCCGTAAGTGGAGCCTGTCGCAAACTAGTTCCATAAGTAAAAAAAATTCGCTGTTTTAGTCCTCCGGCGCCGAAGACGCCCGCGTGGCTCGCCGGAGGTGACGTGTCCGCCAGGTCTCCAGCCAAGTCAGCGACACTTGGCGGACACGTAGATTTTTTTTTAATAATAATTTTTTTAATTGTACCAAATAAAAAAAATTAAAATACAAATAAAATTAAAAATAAATTAAAAATAAGTTTTAAAAAAATTAAAAATGAAAAAAAATAAAAATCCACGCGATGACCTGGCGGACACGTCACCTCCGGCGAGCCACGCGGGCGTCTCCGGCGCCGGAGGACTAAAACAGCGAAAATTTTTCACTTATGGGACTAGTTTGCTACAGGCTCCATTTACGGGACTAAAAAAACAATTTACCCTAATAATAATAATAATAATAATAATAATAATAATAATAATAATAATAATAATAATAAAATTATTGTCTTAATAATAATAATAATAATTCTATAACAAAGTTGATTATAACTAGAAATCTTAACTAATTCATTTCAAAATAAATACTTTAACTAGGTGTGTTTATGTTGCAAAATTTCCCTAAATTTTATTATTTGAACTCTATATTTTTTTCATACAAAATATCTTATCAAATACTATTATTTTTAATATTAAAGTCAAATCAATTTTTTTCCAAAACTATATTCTAAATTATGCAACAATTGTAGCTATGAAAATCACCCGTACGGTAAATTTTATCAATTTAATGTGGATATAATTTTTTTGAATTTTTGTTACTCGACATGTGAGCTCATTGATCCGATTCAACATTAGATCTGAAAATTTGCAACTCGATTTGACAAACTATTAAATAATACTCCCTCCGTCTCGTCTCGCGGAAGATGGAACATTTTGTTAGGGACACGGTATTTTAGGTAGTATAGGTTATTAAGTTATTAATAATAAGTTAAAAATAATATTTTTTTTATTATTTTTATATGTGTAGTGTTGTTGGTATTTTAAATATTTTTACAATTACATCTCAATAAAATATATGCAATATGGATATCATTTTGTAGACAATAAAATTTTATATAATACAAATGAATTAAAAAATATATTTATTTATTTATCATTATCATAAGTTAGTTTTATAAAAAATGAGAAGTTTTAAAAGTAGATAAAAATATTTGTTAATTGATGAGAAATATAGAAATAAAGGGGTTTTGAGTGGATCCTACGTGTAAGATGTTAGAAGTTTAATTAAATTGATTTATATTTATTAAGTATGTTTAAGATTGATAAACTTGCCAAAAATAAAAAAAGAGTCATCTTTTGTGGGACGTACTAAAAAGAAAATGAGGTCATTTGTGGCGGGATGGAAGAAGTATATATATATATATATATATAGATAAGTATATTGTACCAATTACTCATCTATTTATCACTTACCAAAATTTAATTTTGAAAATATAATAAATATTTAATTTAATATTTATTCAGCATTTGATTTTCCAAATTCAAATGAGAACACCTACATTTATGTGCTGAATTTAGGGTGTGTTTCTTTGCGCTCAAAACCCTCGTATTTCTACTATTTAGATTCTGTATTTTTTAAAAAATTATATATTTTTTTTTCACAAAAAATCACATCATACATTATTTTAATATCAAATTCAAACTAAATTTTTTTTCAAACTCATAAAAAAAAAAAAAAAAAACAAAACAAAACAAACCCTTATGATTTAGATTTTATAAAAACAATTCAGTAATTATATATATAAATGTATTGAATGAGTATTAGTGTGGTTTTGTCTGTCACTATAAATATGGTTGACTAAATATTAACAATATGCTGTCCATATTTATATGTATAAAGATGTTCAGTGTTAGGATAAGTTATTTTACCAAATAATATTGAATGAATATCAATTATGCTAACTATATATTAACAATGTTGAATAAATATTAATCACGTGTTCTCCATTTTATTTATTATTGACTACATATATTAATGATGTGTTATTTGTATATTATATAAAATTATTTAGATTTTCAAAGTTATTTTTTTTAATAGTATTAAATGAATGTTAAGTATATATATATTATCTATATGTATATATTGTTGATAATGTATGAATAATATGTTGTTTGTATCTAAAGCTGTGTTTGGATTACCTTCCATTGAGTTAAATCACCAATTTGACTCAATCAATATATATTTATATATGTATAAATATATATATCAATATAATATATAACATATATTTTGATAGCACATTTTATCCAATACACAAACATATTTATAAAAATAAATAAATTATATATTAATATAATATATAATATATATTTTGATAGCACATTATATAATTATATCCAGTACATTGAAATTAGATAAAAACAATCAACAAATGAAAAATAGACAAACAATATTGTCTATTTAAATTTATATGTGTTATATTAATATATATATATATTATGTGTTGAGATTAATTATATTATTATATACTATTAATTTATATATTGTATTTGTATTATATTAATATAAAATTTGAAATATTCAGTAATATATTTTGGTTATTATTTCTAACTCCCTAAATTGACGTACCCCAAAATTTCACACTCTTTGCACCTGGAGCTAAATTAATGGAGGCCTGTTTTGGGCTTTGTTTGGCGCCGAAATCTCTTCATGTCCACGTCACCTAATCTCAACATTAATTACACTTTAACGCACCAATTAATTATTAATTATATATTCATACCCAGAAATCCTCTCAAAATTCCATCGGCGCCTCCAATGGCCACCGCCAAATATCTCCTCACCTCCATCGCCGCCGCCCTCCTCCTCCTCCTCCCCCCGACCGACGCCGCTGCCTTCCGCCGCCGCCCAACCGCCGTCTTCGCATTCGGCGACTCCATCCTGGACGCCGGCAACAACAACTTCTTCCCCACCCTCTTCCGCTCCAACCACCGGCCGTACGGGGTGGATTTCCCCGGCGGCGTCGCCACCGGAAGATTCTCCGACGGGAAGCTGGCCACCGACGTTGTGGTTTCGGCTCTGGGCATTAAAGAGCTCCTGCCGGCTTACCTGGACCCGGTCCTGACCGATCCGGGCCTTCTGACCGGCGCCAGCTTCGCGTCGGCCGGTTCGGGCCTGGACGATTTGACGGCCCGGCAGGCGAATGTCCTGACCATGGGGAGACAGCTGGCGTATTTCCAGGAGGCTTTGGGGAGAATGAGGAGGGCCGCCGGCGGGTTGGCGGCGGGCCGGGCCGTGGAGAATGGGCTGTTCATGGTGGCCGCCGGGAGTAATGACGTCATGTTCGGGCTGCTGCTGAGGAGGAATTGCAGTGTGCCTGAATACCATGATTTGATGCTTGGAAATCTTGAGGTTTTTATTAAGGTAAGTTCCGTACGTTTTCATTTAAATTTATTATCGGTTTTGTTTTTAGTTAAAAAATATTCCTCCCTCCGTTGCAAAAAATTTGTCTTATTTTTTCATTTTCGTCTTTCATTTTTCTTATTTAGTAGCTGTAGTCCCCACTTTATAACAAAATTATTCATATTTTTCCATATTATCTCTAATTATTATTCTAACGTACTATTTAAAATCATTCACAAAGTAAGGACATTTTAGTCATTTACATTCTATTTTATACACAATTGGAGATGGAGTATTTTATTTTACTATAAAAAAATAATAATAATCATTTTTCTTAAAATTTGTATTTGTTGACTCTGGTCAATGGACATAAAATTTACATAATAGAGAGAATATATGTTACTACTTTCGTCTCAGAATTATAATTTTAATGGCATAAAATCCTCTATACTCAATTTTTTCTATTCCCTCTATTTTCTCCAATGAAATAGAGCCACATGCATGATAAAGAACGTTAATAAAATTTATGTATTTCTTTTTAACTATAATTCTTTCATTTTTATTTTTTTTTCAAAAAGAATATCTTTAGAGTGTGTTTGTTTGGGGGATTGGATTTTAATCACACTATTCATTCCATTTTTTCTCCCAAAAAATATCAAATCAAACACCTATTTTTTACTTTTTATATTATATTAAAAATAAATTTTACATTCAAAACATCACATCAACACCTATTTATATGACATCATACAACTATTCAAATTCAAAATTTTTACTATTCAAATCTCAACTCAAAATCTAAACCCCCAAACAAAGTATATTATAATTTATAATTTTTCTATCTTAATTTTTCTATCTTAATATTATAATCCAAACCCCCAAACAAAATTTTCACTATTCAATCTTATTTATACTTTTTCTATTTTAATTTTTATTATATTTCCATTTTACTATAAAAAAGTATATTACTATATTTTAAAAATATAATGTTCAGATGTTGTTTAAACATAATTTTATAATGATATTTTTTATATGATATTTTATGAAAAAATATTAAAATTTATGATTTAGATACTTGCTTTATTTATTAAAATATTTTCTTCAAAAATAAAATAAAAAATAATATGAAGTTTAATTTAATTTATTTTTTACGTTACTTTTTAAAAAAATATTATTATTTAAACATAAAATATTATATTCAAAATAAAAATTAATACCAAATTCAAATAATTTTTTTTAAAATATTATGTAAATATTGAATCTAAATAGTAAGTGTGATATCTTGAAAAAAATAATAATTTTTACAAGAAAATAATACAATAAAAATTGAGATAGAATATAATTTTTATTTTATTTTAAAAAACTAGGAAGCAAATAAAAAAAAAAAAAACGATAACTTCTTTTTTCTCCTTACATGTGACAACTTTTTATTAAGAAATAATTATATTTTATTAATTAGTGAAAGTGTGTAAGAGTTTTTATATTTTTGTCTTTAACTTTATATATAAAATAATTACATTGTGTAATGATATATTTGTGATTTAAGTAAAGGTAAAAAAAATATTTTAGTATTAATGTATGATTATTTTTTTCTAAAATATGAAATAGATACTTTGAAATGAGAGAGAAAAAAATGGTCAAAAGAATACTTAGATTGGAAGGGAATGAGTATTTACTTCATCTCCCCTTAGTTGTTCATTTTTGTGTTGATAGAAGAATCTAGATAAATATATAATTAGTAAATAATTTAAAAATATTAATCAAAATAATAATTATTATATAATACAAAGTATTATAAATTAAAATTAAAATAAGTAATTAATTTAATTAAGATTAAAAAATTTTAAATTATAAAATTCAAAGTGCCGTTAATATGTATAATTATTTTTTTTAAAAAAATAGAAAGATAAATTATATGAAATTGACAGAAATAGAAAAATATAAATAAATTATGTAGAGGACCGAGGGAGTACTAATTTATATATATATTTCTACATATATTCATTAAGATCCATCTGTTTACATTGGCTTCGCAGCATTTTTGGATAAAATAATTTTTTAAAGTGTGGTATGGATAATTGTATCAAAAATATAAAATAAATTATTTTGGATTTAATTTTTGACTTTTTAAAATTTTTAAAATTGACTTTTGTATAAAATATTGTATTTATTATTATTATTTTTGAGGAGTCGAAAATTGTGATAGGAGAACAAAGCGATTGTGTTTTACATTTGAGTTTTTTTTTTTTTAATTAAGTATAAAAAAGTACATCTTGACAATATCAAAAAATAATATTTTATATAAAAATATAGTGTTATATTGTTTTATATTATTAATAGGAAAGCATATTTAAAGTTTTTTGTTTGTGGACAAATCTTTCTCAATTTTTCTTTAGAAAAATTATGTGTAGTGAACTATTTTGTTTTTTTTTTAAAAAAATATATTATTATTCATGTCAAAACACTAGTACAAAATACATATTGACATATATATTTTTAATTACATTTTCGCAACATCAAACTCGAAAAAACTGATATTAAATAACTTGCGTAGAAATTAGTGAATATGGGAGCGCAAAAATTCGCGGTTCTTGGCCTCCCGCCAATAGGGTGCCTACCGTTACAAATGGGTCTTGCCGGTCATCGGGCGAGTCGAACATGTGTGGCTAGACAAAATATTGACGCCCAATCCTACAACACCAAACTACAAGCCCTAATTTTGCGGCTACAAATATCACTCCCCCTCGGCTCCAAACTTGCATATGTCGACATCTATACTCCCCTCATCAATACCATTTTGAGCCCTTCTGCCTACGGTAAGTTATTCTTCGACTTTTTATATTTTTTAAATTCTTGATTTGTTTAAAATCTTCGCTATATATGATGACAGTGAAAGTCGATTATATTAGATAATTATATCGCTACTAGGATAATTGTAGTTTTATATAAGATAATAATAATACTAATAATAATTAAAAAAAAAATTGTTATCTGAGTTTTATATTTTATAAAAAATAATAGAATTTTATTGTTTTTAACAATTTTTATAAGGTATTGAGTTTGGACCATGATATAATAATTAATGAGGGATATATGATTCAATTCATAAGGGTTTTTTTTTTTTTTTTTTAAGTGCAATTGAAAGTTGGATTTTAACAATTAAAATAATTTTTTTATTTAGTTAATATGTTGTAGTATATCCACAATTTTCTTAATATAAAAAATACATTATTTGTCTCGTAAGGGATAACGGGCGACTATGAGGTTATCAACTCAAATTTCCGACGCTTTCAGAATTTATCTGTCATGTATAGTTGCCGAGGGTTTACCCAGAGCAAGAGGTGCTATTAGGTAATTATAACATAATTTTAGCGAATGTAAAAAATACTTCGTTCATCCATCAATTTATTTTCATTTTTTTTTTCGTTCATTGATTAAATTTACCTCATTGCTATATTTAGAAAAATCAAAAAATTTATATTTAATTATGAATATGGATCAAGTGTTGAAATAGAAACACTCGGCACCATGCTGAATGACTTATAAATAGTTCAATTTATATAATTAAGTTTAATTATTAATATAATTATTAGAATCTCTATCATTTAATTATTATCTTTCATTCAATACTTATTTATTGCAAATACCATTAACTTCATTACATTCTATCTCATCATTTTTTTAAATTATTGGGTGTGTTTTTTTGGGGGATTGATTTCTACTATTCATCTAATTTTTCCCTCCAAAAAATCAAATCAAACACCTATTTTTTATTTTTTATATTATACTAAAAATCAAATTTACATTCAAAATATCACATCAACACCTATTCCAATTAAAAAATTTTACTATTCAAACCTCAATTCAAAAGTCAAATCCCCAAACAAACTAACTAAATTTTTCAAAAATACCTCCAACTATCTTTTTATTTCTTTTCACATTTTTAATAAAATATTTTATTTTTTATCCTCGTGCCGAGTCCAAATGAACTAAATATGACGTAACGGAAAAAATATCAAATAATTATTTTACCTAAAAAACTTTAAAATTAACAAAAATAATTTTTGTATATATACTCTCTCTCTCCTAATGTTGATTTGGATTTGGACTTGGATTTGGATTAGGGTTTGAGAGAGCAATGGAGGGATGCTGTGGGTCAGGGTATTTGGAGATGGGCCCACTCTGCAATGCACTGTCAGCAGTTTGTCCAAATCCATCCAACTATGTGTTTTGGGATGCTGTTCATCCTACCCACAAAACCTACGCCATTCTTGCCGCCAATTTCTTGCACAATGTCCTCCCCACTCTTTATTACTAGCTATTAATTACTATTAATTTTAAATGGATCATTTTGTAAAGCAATTTATTACAACTTTTATCAATATATAACTCATACCTTACATGCAGGGCCGGCCCCGCCCGGGGCGGGAATAGCGCCCACGGTAGACAGGGTCTATTATATATTTATATCATATATATATATATATAATTTATATATATAATTTACTTGATATATATGAATAAAAAACTTGATATATATGAAAAGAAAAAATTATAGTTTGCACAGTGGTATAGAGATTAATTTTTAATATTGAAGTTTTAAGTTCAAATTTATATGTTTCAAACATTTAGAGATATGTTTTTATGCTATTTTTCATCTAAAAATCCTAGAAAATTATTTTATTTAATTATTTATATTTTACTATAAATATAAATATATTATTTATATATATATATTTAGGGTCCATAATTTTTTTCCGCCCTAGCCCTTCTATACTAAGTTTTCATCTAAAAATTCTAGAAAATTATCTTATTTAATTATTTATATTTTATTATAAATAAAAATATATTATTTATATATATTTAGGGACTATTTTTTTTTTATCGCTCTGAGCCTTCGAAAGTAAGAACCGGATATATATATTTCAAATTTCAAATTAACTACTATTTTTATTAATTAGTCTAAATTTATGCTTACATTCTATGTAAGTCTCTCAGTCAAAATTTATATTATCATAAATAGCAACTATTATTTTAATCAACGCAAGTATCATTTATATTTTAAACAAATAATAATAAATTTTCATTAAATCATAGATACTATCAATTAAAGAGACTAAGGCCACATAGGGTGATCATGCATTCTATTTTTCGATTGGGATTTTATTAAATACGATTCAAACTGAAAGTCGGAATTTCATATAAAAAAATAATAATAATAATAAATCAAATCGAACTAAAATGTCCAAAAATCCAAATTTTGAATTATAAAATTCAAACCTAATCGAAAATTCAAAATTGCATGATACTTACTTAGTCTACTCATAAACATACGTATTTATATTTTAGGTTGTCCAATCAAAAATTAATCATTTTTTTTTTTTTATAATTATGAACCCTATTTTTTTTCTACAAATATTTTTACTTTATTATCGTATTATTACTTTTATGCCAAAAAAAAAAAGTAAAAGACAAAATTATTTTTAACTATCTATTATAATGAAAATATTACTAATTTTAAAACTATTTATAAAAAGTAAATACATACGTTTAAAAAGGACGGAGGAAATATATTTTGGTGTGTTTGTTTGAGTGTTTGAATTTTGAGTTGAAATTTGAAAATAAAAAATTTGAATTAAAATACCGGTATGATTTAATATTTTGAATGTAAAGTTGATTTTTAAACTAATATAGAAAAATAAAAATAGGTATTTCATTTGATATTTTAAAAAAAAATTGTGTGAATTGTAAAAATCCTTTAAAATCCTTCAAACAAACACGTTTTTTTTTTTTTTTTTTAATTTGTATTATGTTTTGATATAATAATTAATATTCAAAAATCAACATGCAAAAAGTAAATGAGACCCTTAGAACCGGACAAATGCAGTATATATTTATAACTATTGTGTGTCCACCCAATAATTTTTTAGTGATATAATTTTCGATAAATCTTACTCCCTCCGTTCCTTTTGAAAGAGGTTTTTTGAAGTTTTACAGCAAATTAATAAATAATAATATTTTTATTGATTAATGTATGTGTAAGAGATTGGCATTTTTGCCCTTTTTGTATAAAGTAATTGGATGTGAAATAATATATTTGTAATTTAAATAAAAATTAAAGATTTTTTTGATATTAGTGTATAGTTACTCTTACTAAAAAAAATTGGTACTTTTGAGTGAGACAGAAAAAAATATTAAAAAAAAGTACATTGAATTAGGACGAAGTGAGTATATATATACACACTAATGTACTTCATCTACTTAAAATTAAAAATTTAATACAAAATATTAAATTATTTGATATTACAAAAGTAATTCTCCATACTTAAGATAAAAAAATATATTATCCAAAAATAAAAATTAAACTTATTTTTATATTAAAATATTAATATTCTTTTATTAATTATTAAAATCATTACTACAACGGATCAAATCAGTTAGTTATAACTAAAAATATGATTTAATCACATTGAGAAGTTAGTTATACTAAAATCCAAAAACAACTCATTCATATCGATTGAATATGGCGACGGTTAAGGTGTTGATTTGGTCAAATTAAAATTGTACTAATTTCACAACTATGTGAGCACATTAACCTGAATAATTTGTATTCTATCACAAGACAGAATTATATATTGTATTATGTTATATAAAAACATGTTCTGTGTGGGATATATATTATACTATATTGTATAATATACTTATTTTGATACATAAAATTATATAATGTGCTGTGAAAATATGTGTTATATAATGTATTACCATGTACTGTTTGATACTCCCTCCGTTTTAAACAAGTTGTAATATTTGTTTTTGGCACTGAGTTTTTAGGTGGCTAGTATTAAGTAGGATAATTTAGAAATTAAGTGATGTGATAGAGAGAGAAATATATATTTTATTTTTTTATTTGAATGATGTGAGGGGATAAAGTATGGGGTAGAAATATATATTCTATATTAAAATTCCTGGCTTGACAGCGCCTCCACACGTAGATCATTCTGATCAAATTGGAGCACGGTTTTCCAAAACCAAAACCCTAGCTGCCGCCGCCACTGTTCGCCGTCCATCGTCCGCCCTTCTCTGGCCGTCGTTTTTCGGTTGCCGACTCCTGCTTTGGTTCCCTACGTCATGGTGTAGTTGGTATTTTTGTCAGAGTTGATTTCATTTTGCGAGTGTTACCGGTTGGATTGTTTGATCTACTTTCTTGATTTGGGCTTTGATTTCGTGATTCACATATTTTTCTATGTTTTTTTTTTGTTATAGAGCGTATGGACGTTCATTTACCTATTACTACTATCTTGCCCGGTAATTAGATATTTGGATGTAGTCTATGAAAAGTTTCTTAACAGGTAGAAAGTTATGGCGAAAAAAAAAATGTTAGAAATTTTGAGGGAAAATAATGAGATTGTCTTATTGACTATCAAAATAAGGAACCTATATATAGACAATACAAAATAGTCTCGATAGACTCAAATCTAAGTAATCTAAACTATGAATAAGATCAAATCTACATATAAATCTAAAACTGAATATCTAAAATATCTCAACATCCCCCTCAAACTCAAGTGGTATAAGAGAAACAAATTTGAGTTTGATGAGAAATTTGAATATAAATGCAAAAAGAAAACATTAATAAAATTAGCAATTGGCTCTCCACCCACTGAAGTAAAAAATGAGATGACTCTCCACCATAGTCGAAAACGAGATGACTCTCCACCGGAGCAAAAAATAAGATGACTCCACGGGAGCCGAAAACGATATGACTCCACCGGAGCAAAAAATGACAGGACTCCACCGGAGTCGAAAACGACATGAGCCAAAAACGACATGAGCCAAAAACGAGATGACTCCACCGGAGCCGAAAACGACAGGACTCCACCGGAGTCGAAAATGAGATGACTCCACCGGAGCCGAAAATGACAAGACTCCACCGGAGCCGTCGAAAACGAGATGACTCCACCGGAGCCGAAAACGATATGACTCCACCGGAGCCAAAAAACGACAGGACTCCACCAGAGCTGAAAACGAGCCGAAAACGAGATGACTCCACCGGAGCCGAAAACGACATGACTCTACCGGAGCTGTCGAAAACGAGATGACTCTCCACCGGAGCCGAAAACGATATGACCACCGGAGCTGAAAACAGATAAATCGCAAACATCGGACAGATCAGATCTCATGCAGGCAACAGATAAACAACGGACAGATAGCAGATCATAGACAGATTTTCGCCAACAAATAAGCAACGAAAGATGGCAGATCGCACGCAGGCAACAGACAGGCAACGAAAAATGGCAGATCGCAAGCAGCAACAGACAGACAACGACAGATGGAAGATCGCACGCAGCAACAGATGGCAAATCGCATGCAGCAACAGACAACAACGGGCATATGGCAAATCGTTTCAGATCACTCGCATGCAACAGACAAACCACGAAGATTTCAGATTGCACACAAGCAACAGACAAGCAGCAGACATATGACAGATCGGAGACGAGACGAGACAAATTTGCAAAAAGACAATTTGCAAAGACATTAACTCAAAATTACAAGACCTCTGGGTACAATCCAGATTGAATGTACCCGGAGAAACACGGGTTGGTAGGCTATATCTACAGCATGAGAAAAATATGCTCTGATACCATGTTAGAAATTTTGGGGGAAAATAATGAAATTGTCTTATTAATTATCAAAATAAGGAGTCTATATATAGACAATACAAAATAGACTCGATAGACTCAAATCTAAGTAATCTAATCTATGAATAAGATCAAATCTACATATAAATCTAAAACTGAATATCTAAAATATTTCAACAAGTATAATTAATTATTTCCTATTTTTGTAAATATTGCATGGTGTTTAGGACATACCAAAAAAAAATGTTGCAGGTGTTTGAGACGGAGGGAGTATATGTGTTGTGTTTTTTTATAAACATGTGCTGATTATGTCAAATCAGTACAATAACCAAAGCGATAAAATATATAATTTGAAATGTTTTGTTCTTTTTTTTTTTTGACACCATTCCCCGTATATATTATTAAAAAAATACAATATATACACACATTAATAGAATATATAATATATATTTTATTCACTTACAAAAAATCAACACAAATTTTTATTTTTTATATAATAACAATAAAATTCTTCATATCTATCATAAAAATATATATTTATTCAAAAATATAAATCGAACCCAATTTTTCTTTTGATTTCTTATTTTATATATATAAATTTTAAAAACTAAACTATAAATTAACTGATTTGAATTAATATTTAAATTATAATTAAATAATTTTCTATACATTCAAATAAGAAATATCTCACCATTTTATCTAGAAAGGTTTATTTTATTTTTTTATTTGTGGTATTTACAGTTTGTATAAATAGTTATAGTTATATAAAGATAATATTTCATATGTCTCATCTGTCTCATTTTAAATGATCTTTTGGATTTTGTAGTAGATTAAAAAACAATAGCAGTAGTGTGTAAGAAATTTTAACATTTTTGAATTGGGACCGAATGAGTAAAAAATACTACTATCATCTTGTTGTAAGATAATCATTTTGGTACGTATAATTTGTTTGTTTATGATTTAAATTAATGTATATTTTTTAGTATGAGATATAAAGAACTATGTGAGTAATATAAAAATTAATAAACTTTTTATATTGACTTATTGATTTTTATGAGAGGCCAAAATATAAATATTATATATATTGATAATCATATAAAAAAAAAATTAGTTGATGAACAAACACGTACGAGTTTAAAAAATAATAATAACTTTTATATGTAAAAATAATTGTATTGGCCGAAAAGATAACAATACCTTTTGATTTATGATATTTATTTGAAAATTTATTTATTGGTAAGGGTATTATTTACCTATAAGTAGCTAAATGAATGAATTTGTATCTAACAACTAAATAAGGTAAACCGATTATATAGTTATCTCAATTTAGTTTTAAATGGCAGTGTAAATGTATATTTTGTGAGATGGAGCAAATATAAGTTCACTCAACATTTTTCAATTAAACAATTTTTCATAAATATTATTTTAAAAAATACAAATATATATACACATTAATATAATATATATTATTCACTAATAAAAAGTCAATCATTCAACATAAAATATTATTTTTTATATTATTAACACAATTTTCGATACCACACACAAAAAAAATAAAAATCAATTCATTTAAAAACTTTGAGTGAACAGACTGAATTTTTTACAAAAGTATTCAATTATTTTATATTAAAAAAAAAAATTGAAATCAAATCTATAATACAAAGCACAAAATTTACTGAATTTTTTTCTTATGTTTAAAATCTTTTGAAAGTAGTCATAAGGGATGATTTGGCGGTGCAAGGAGCGAACGTGTGAGCTAAGTCTCGCATTTTTTTTTTTTGTTAGATCTAGTTTGCAGGTTTATCCAATGCGTATTTTACAGCAGCAAGTAAGAAAAAAAGGAAGAAATTATTTTGGGTAATATTCTTTATTTAAATAAAAAGGTTTTTTTTTTTTTTTTTTTTTTCAATAAAAAGTACTATAAAGTTAGAAATACAAACAAACAATTTTACTTTCAAAATTAATTGGTTCTTTCTACACTACGTAGATTTATAATAACTTCTCGCCTAAAATATTATTGAAATTTAAATTAAAAATTACTCAAATCTAAACCGTAACATTACAAGTTGCTGCATTTAAGATGATTTCCCTATTCTTTATTAATTTTTAGTATCATTTAATTGTTTTCTTTTAAGATGGATACAATCAAACTTTAATCTTTCGTTTAAATTTATTTTTATTCTAAACATATATCCAACCCATTCAAAACATTTGCCAAAACCCCATATCTATATGTCTATATATATTATATATATATATATAACTCTCCTTGCAAAAAAAAAACACCACCTACAATGAGAACCGCCGTACACCTCCTCCTCCTCTCCATCGCCGCCGTCCAAGTCGCCGCCGCCGCCGCCAATATAACCGCCGTGTTCGCCTTCGGCGACTCAATTCTCGACGCCGGCAACAACAACGGACTCCTCACCATCGCCCAAGCCAACCACGCGCCGTACGGAATCAATTTTCCGGGCCGGGCCGCCACCGGCCGATTCTCCGACGGAAAGTTGACGTCAGACATCATCGCGTCGGAGCTTGGGATCAAGGCCGCCGTGCCGGCGTACCTTGACCCGGCGGTGACCGACGGCGACCTCCTCACCGGCGTCAGCTTCGCCTCCGCCGGGAGTGGGCTGGACGCGGCCGTGACGCCGCGCGTGGGCAATGTTGTGAGCCTGGAGAAGCAGATGGAGTACTTCCAGACCGCGGCGGCGAGGATGCGGCGGAGCGCCGGCGAGGCGGCGGCGAACCGGAGCATTGAGAACGGTTTGTTCTTGATATCGGCGGGGAGTAATGATATGATGATAAATAAGTATATATTGCCGTTAAGACTGAATTTCAGTGTGTCTCAATACCAGGATTTCCTTATCCAGAAAATGGACGCATTTATTAGGGTAAGTTTTCTATTATTTGTATATATTAATTGCAAATCTATTTATTTATTTTTGTTTAATTTGTATATTAATTACTCAATCAGTCACTGCTCACTTTTTTTTTTTTTTTTTTTTTTTTGTTGTCATAAAAAAAAAATATATATTTATATATATATATTAAGTAAAAAAATTATTGGAATGCAAAATTCAAGTCCCACATTGGAATATTAAAAAAAAATCAACACTTGAGATCTTTATTAGTACGAGGTCTTTTAGAGTAAGTTGAAAAAATAAATTCAGGCTTAGCCTAAAGCCAACAATATCATAGTTGGCCCAATTTTAATAATTACACATTTGTATTTTTTTTGTACTATAACAAAAAATAATAATTATTATTATTCACTTTTTACACATACAAGTTTTGGCAATGATGTATGGATTTAAAATTTAATGGAATTGTTAGGACAATATATATTTTTATAGAAAATATCACTTGAAACCGCTATTTTATCGAGATAAAATAAATTTACAAAATATAGACTAAAGACACGTTTTTCTAAAATTTTAAATATTGATTTCAATGATAATAATTATTACGTGTCATTTAAATGGGAAAAGAAAAAAGAGAAGAAATAATATATACACATAAGGTTTGTCCCACAATTTTTCAATGTAGAATAATGTTCACCTATCTCTCTTGAGATATAATCTTGAAATCCTAACAAAAATAAATATTCAACAATTTATTTCCGAAGTTCTAACTTAAAACTAACTAAATACTAAATGGTAGTAACTGTTTACCATTATATTCAAGGGGGGATTTCCCACAAATTTTCAACGTGGGACAATATTCAACATTCACAGTAATGTTTTTTGGATGATATTATTTTTTTTAATAAATATTATAAAAATATAATATATATTTGTATTTTGTGTTGAATGGTTAATAGTGGATAATGTATATATATATATATTAATGTGTTTATATCCGTATTTTTTTAATAATATTTATAGAGAATTGTGCCATTGAAAATGAACAGACTGAATATAATATATTATATTCATTACAAAAAAAATCAACAATTCAAAATAAAATACTTTTTCCGTCTCAAACACCCTGCAATATTTGTGTTCGCCACGGGAATTTAGGTGGGTACTATTAAGTATGGTAATTTGGAGATTAAGTTATGTGATTGGAGAGAAAAATAATTATTTGTATTTTTTATATTTAAGTTATGTGATGGGATAAAGAGAAATGTACATTAATATATATATAATTAATTATTTCTAAATTTAAAAATAATGCAATGATTTTAAGATAAATCAAAAAGGAAATGTTAGTAGGGTATTTGGGAATATAAAGTAAGGAAAGGAAAAAACTGAAGACCTTGTACGTAAGTAGAAACTTTATTAATTGCATTAGACAATTTATTTATGACTTGATATTTTATATATAGATAATAATTATTTTTATTAAGAATTATCTAAACTAAAAATAATGATTTCTTAAAAAAATAATTCAAATCAAAATCAAACGCATGATACAAAGTGCTGAAAAAATATAACAAGGAGATTATTCAATAACAATATTTAAATCTTGACGGTGCAAGAATATGATAAATATAATTATAACAAAAATATTTGTGATAAATAAAATGTTAGGGTACGTAACATAATTCAATCATCATACATTAACTTGAGCTAATCCATATATCTATTAACAAATTCCTTAACTAATTAATAAATGTAAGAAATGAACACATTATTACCTTAATGACAAGCAAGAGTAATAATACGATGCGTTTGTTTAGTATTTTTATAATTTTATTTTTTTACTTTTAATGATGCACACAAATGTTAAAAAGAATAAATATCTTAAGTGTTTTTATTAATTTTCCCGTGTTTTATTGACTTTTATTGTTACATATCCATATTGTAAAATTATACTCTCTCTGTCCTAAACAAGGTGCAACATTTATTTTTGGCACGAGTTTTTAGGTGAGTAGTATTAAGTAGGATAATTTAGAAATTAGGTGATGTGATTGAGAGAGAAATATATATTTTATTTTTTTTATTTGGATGATGTGAGATGATAAAGTGTGGGGTAGAGATTAAGTATAATTAATTATTTTCTATTTTAGAAATATTGCAGGATGTTTGGGACATACCAAAAAGAAAATGTTGCAGGATATTTGAGACGGATGGAGTATATTTTATATTTTTCTCGTTCCAATTTAAAGTACTTTTATTACATCTCATTGAAAATATTCATTTACTATTTAAGAAAGAGTAATTATACACTAGTATAAAAATATTTTTAATTTTTATTTAAATTATAAAAGTACCATTAGCATATTAATCGAATTAACCTATGCTATAGAGGTGATCAACATATATTTATGTATATATTTCAACATATGCTATATTAATATTCTTGAAAGGCTACTGATCTTGTACTGATCCGACCAAATCAGCGTGATATTGATTTGATTGGATTAGCATATCGACCATTGTATGTTTATACATATTTATCATATATATGTTATAGCTATCTTCAAAACTTGATTATAATAATAATAATAATAATTAATAAATATAATAAATAATAAATGCAGGAATTGTATAGTGTGGGAGCAAGAAGAGTGGCGGTGCTGGGGATGCCGCCGCTGGGGTGCGTCCCGCTCATAATTACCTGGGAAAAAATCAAACACTTCCACCTGCCCGGTTCGGACCGGACCTGCGTCGATGCCTACAACTCCGATTCCGAAGCCTTCAACCTCAAGCTCCGACAGCTTTTGTCTGATCTGCCGCCGTCACTTGGCAGCGCCGTCAAAGTTGCCTACGTGGAAACCTACGCTCCGGCAATGGACATGATCAATAGACCTGCCGCTTATGGTACGCCTCCAATTAATTACTAATATTTCTTCATTTATTAATTCATCGTGCTAGAGATATTTTAGTTATTGAGTTTTATACATTAGATTTATTTATGTTAGTACTTCCTCCGTTCCGGCTACAGTGTCTCTAGACACAGGAATTTGAGATGAGTATAACTAGTAAATAATTAAGAATATATTAGTAAAAATAATTATCGTATAATAAAAATAATTTTAGATTAAAATTAAAATAACTAATTAGTTTTATTAAAATTTAAAATATATATAAAAATTTAAAATTTAAAATGAAATTAAAGTTTATAATTCTTTTCCAAAAAAAAAAAAGCAACAAAACAGACAGAAATAGAAATATGGACACGATAAGTGAGACGGATGGAATATATGATTCCGTTGTTATTTAGTTGGTGGCGATCACTGATTTGATTGAATCAATACATAAAATCAACGCGGATAGCATACAGTTTTATAATCTATCAGTCCATTTTCTATTGTTATAATTGTTATTTATGCATTTTTTTAGATAATTTTTTTTTTTTTTTTGTTACGAGTTGACAAATTTGTTCTTTTATCTTGTATATAGAAAAGAAAATAGTAAATTTTGTATATAAAAATAGAAATATAACAATAATTATTGGACGTTTCAAATAAAAAAGTAGAACATTAGTTTATGGACGGAAAGTATAACACAAAATATACACTGCTATATAAAAGTATGTGTTGTGCAATTTATATATTATAGTGTATTGTGTATATATTTATTGTGTTAACAATTAATAATATGTTGTGTTGATTATTGTAATATTATACTCCCTCCGTCTCATATCTATCTATCAATTTATTTTTTGCACAAATATTTAAAAATATTGGTATTATATTGCGATGCAGTAGAAATAAAGGTAAAATGACTAAACTAACATTAGTAGTATTTAATGACATTTATGTAATATATTATAAATTAAAAGGATATTTGTAATGTTATGTAGATAGTACAGTTATTAAAATTTGTTATGGGACGGACCAAAATAAAAATATAGATAGATTATTAAGGAACGAAGGAATATGATGGCAGTATATGTGCTGTTATATTGTGTTGCGTCTGATGATTTGATCAGTATGAAATCATTTGGTTATGTTCATTAGATTATTACATTAGTTTTTATTATTTTAGTTTATCGAATCTATATCATATTTATTAATAGGCTCTGATTTTTATAATAAATATTATTTTCATCCACCAAATATATGTCTATTTTTCTATATTATTTATTCATAAAAAAATATGCCCTTTTCATTTATAAGAAACACGCGTCTAATCCAAATTCGCACCTACATTTAGGTTGTGTTTGTTTGGGAGATTGAATTTTAAATTCACTGTTCATCCTTTTTTTTTTTTTTCCAAAAACATCAAATCAAAAATTTATTTTTTATTTTTTATATTATACTAAAAATCAATTTTATATTCAAAATATCACGTCAACACCTGTTTATATCACATCATACAATTATTCAAATTCAAAATTTTTACTCTTCAAATCCCAACTCAATCCAAACTCCCAAACAAGCACACCCGGAGAGAATATAACCTAAATTTTGTAGTTTCGTAAAATAATTTTACACATTATTCATTCATTCTATATAGCCTGCCTGTTACATGGATATATGATAATCATTTTAATAGTCTTATTGAATGAAATTAAATTTAGGGTTTGAGGACACAGTTTGGATGCTGTGGATTTGGTACAGTGGAAATAGGGAATCTGTGCACAAAGAGTTCGATATTGTGTAGGAATCCATCAAAGTATATGTTCTGGGACTCTGTTCATCCCTCCCAGGTTGTCTACAACGTTTTCTCTAACATCATCATCAACAATATTCTTCCCAAACTAATCTAATATAATATTATCTATATATATATGTGCATATTAATGTTATTCTTGTAATTAAGAAATTAATAATCATGTGTCACCCACCCTACCCTACCCCACCCCTCCATGCATCCACCTAGCACAAAATATTGGCAATAATTGGATTGACTGATATTTCAGATTTGAATGATTTCAAAAATTTTAATTACATAAGTTATAATTGAAATTCATTTATGATTGTTCGGAATATTGAGTTTGTTCTTTTTGGATAAAATGTTTTCTATAAATATTATTTGAAAAAAAAATATATATATATGATATGTACATGTATTAATACAATATATATTATTCATTCACAAAATGTCAATATTTCATTATAATTTTTTTTTTATATTATCAATATAAATTTTTATATCTAATATATATATATAAAAAAAAAAAATGCACAAAGTGAATTGGACCCATTAATTTGAGATAGCACGATATTTAGTAGTATTTAAAATATTGAAGGGATATGAATTTGAAATTCATATTTAATTTTGAAGATCTAGAGTTGATCACATAATGAAATGAAACTATTCTTTTATATCCATCTATTTCATTTGACAAATTAAATAAATTTCAAGTTTACAAAATCTATAGTAATTCAAATCCAACATTTTATATGCTAATTAATACTAAGGGGGTGTTTGGCAAATAGTTTTTTGAAGAGCTTTTAGCTTATTGATCAGTTTTTAGCTGTTTGACCAGTCAAAAGGCTAATTTAGGTGTTTGGTAAATTAGCTTTTTGGAATAGTTTTTTATACCCAAAAAGCTAATTTCTGAAAAGCTAACTTATCCAGCCTTTTGAAATAGTTTTTTCTGTAAAAAAAATTTTATTCCTTATATGCCCTTAAAAATTTATTATACATTTTACACAAATAAATATATTTTGATTATTTATTAATTATATTAGAATATTTTATTATATTATAGTTTTACTTTTATAAATTTAAAATAATTAATTTTTATATAAAAATTATTTTAATTGTAAAATATATAAATTTATTAAAATCAACATAAATAAAAAATATAAATATTACTAATTTATTTTTTTATTAAAATTACATTATATAAATTTTATACTAAAAATAAATTAAATAAATTAAATTTATTGAAAATTATAAATATAATAAACTAATCGATAACTAACATAATAAATATATGCACGAAAAATTTATTATTTTATATTTTACATCATTTTCAATAAAAAAACTATTTATATATTTTAATAAAAATATAAATTTTTTTAAATCTAACTGTAATAAAAATAAATACTTTTATAACACTTTTACAATTTTCAATAACTAATAAAAAAAAAATTTAAACATTTTGAACTCAAAAAAACATAATTGAATATATTGGAAACAAAAATAAAATAAAAATGTCCTCAATTGTCATTTTACGAATAAACAGCTAATATCAAATAGTTGTTTTACCAAACATTTTAATACAAACAGCTAATCGAATCAGCTAGTCAAACCAACTAATTGAATCAGCTAACAGTTAACAGTTATCGGCTAATTGCCAAACACGCCCCTAAGAGTGTGGTGTTGGTGTTGGTGTTGTTTTAATGTATTTTGAATTTTAATGTTTTGTATTAAGATAAATTTTTTACTGTGACAATTTTTTGATAAATAATTAATTGAGAGCTTTTTTAGTAATAAATATAAAAGATAACAGTCCACAAAGAAAAATAAAATAAATTGACGGATATAATGAGTAATATACAAAGAAAGTGAGCTAAAATTGAGGGTTGAAAAAAGTAATATAAATAATACGTTTAAGTTGCAATTATTTCAAAACAGAAGTGATTCAAATATGTTCATTTATATTATCTTAAAATCCAAATCCATCAAAAGAAAGATGTATATGTTTGTTTACCTTAGTACAATATTTGTATTTTAACATAAATGAAAAAATATATATATATATATATTTGTAAAAATATTATTTCATAATTTACTATATACTACTCCCTCCGTCCATAAACTAATGTTCTACTTTCCAACTAATGTTCTACTTTCCTATTTGGAAAGTACAACAACTATTGTCCTATATTTTTTTTTAAACACAAATTTTACATTTTTACCCTGCGTTCATTTATTACTTTTAATCTCTACCATACAATTAAGGGCAAATTTGTCAATTCATAACAAAAAGACAATCACCTAAAAAATCAGTATTTGTTTATAAAAATCTCGTAAAGATGAGATTCAATGCATTTTTATTATTTTTAGTGTAAGATAAGTTATGTAATATGTATATATATATATATATATTATTTCATGCATGTATAAATATGTGTTTTTACAAAAAGAAAAAATGTAAAAATCAATTATATGGCAAAAATTATGTGTAAAAATCGATATACATAAATTTAGGTCCCAATTGGAGGGCAGCCCATAAAATTGGAACATATTCGTAAATTTACAGAAAAAGAAAAAATATAGGACACAAATTGTCATCATTGGGCCCAATAAAGCTTAGGCCCAATAAATGTAAATGTAAATAATGGTGTATATAAAGTAATAATGTCAGATCAATAATCAATTGATTTTTATAAAAATACACCTCAAGAATTAAACATTTAATAAAAACAGAAGAAAACTATATATAGAAGAGTTTAAAATAACTTCAAAATAGTTTTTCAACTCTCCTATTTTATTTTTTTATTTTTTATTAGATGAAATGTGTATGTTTAATTATTCATAAAATGCATTTTTTTTTTTTTTTTTTAGATTATAGTTGAACACTGTAATTTTGATAAAAACGTGTATTTTGTAGCCTTTTTTTCGAAACTGTTGGTGATGATGTGCAACAGTCTTGTATAATTTTGGTGCAAAAATAGTATTATTTGATGTATTAATATTTTTCTGCCTGTTTGTAATTTATTTTTTTATATTAAAATCTTTGTTACACATATAGCCCTCAATAAATATAATAAATATAAAAATTGGGATAAAAAGAAATTTTTAAATTGCTTCGGAAATTCCGAACCAATATATTGCACATTAAATGGCCTCGGAATTTCCGAGACCATTTAAAATACAATGGTCTACGCGCGGGTGACGGTGCGTAATGGCCTCAGCAATAGCTTCGGAAAAATTCCGAATCTTTTCAAAAATAACCTCGGAATTTTCGAACCCACATAAATGGCAATGGACTTTTCTCTGCTGGTACAATTTGGAGACAAAATCCGAAGCAAAAAATAATTTGCCTCGGAACCTTTTTAAATTCCGAGGCAATTTTTCCGAGACCTTTATAGCAATTTATGGTAGTGATTATGGACAATCAAATTAACAAAATAAATACATTAGTAGGAAAAGAGAAAAAGTACTCTATTCGTCGTTTAACAAATTGCATATGCTGCAAATGAAGACGGACGATACTCGAGCTCGAAATCTAAAATTCTAATACTATGTCGGAAGTGCAGAATGATCGTTCCACTTAAAAGTTCAAACAATTACAAAAACACAACCATTAATTTTTATCTGGAAGTCCTCAGACGTCTCCTAATTTGTACTTATATATATCAATTCTACTGATATTTAAAAAATGCTTAAGTGAGGGAGGGAGTATTATGTATAAAGACTCTTTTTTTTATATACAAAAAAATATGCAAAATCACATCCTTGGGTTTCTAGAATCCTACCCAAATTATTTTAGTATTTTGAATTGTTTTGAAACTATTAAGATTTAAATAAGAAATAAAATTTTGATATAATATTTTTATTATATATATATTTGCACAATATACAATAATGTTTGATTATATATATTTTTTAATAGATTTTCATAAACAATTGTATAGTTAAAATTTTCATAAACAATTTTCATACCCCAAAATTAAATTATACTCCTACATCTTTTTTATGAGAAATTTTGGTTTGAACGAAAAGGACTAAGATAATTTAAAGAAGGAATCGAGTATCAGCATTTTTCTTCTTTCTTTTTTTTTTTTTTTTTTTTTTTGAATTAATAAAAATAAAAATAAATATGAACCCTAAAATTTTATTTTTTTTCCTCACTTATATTTATATATGTTGTAGGGAAAAATTAGGTCTGAGTATTTTATCTTCGTATGTATCATAGACTCAGATGATCAGACAAAGATCTGCATCCATTAGTTTCTTTAATTTTGATTTCATGTCCCAATGCAAAAGATTCATGAATTTGATAGACACTATGCATCAACTAATTAATTATTCCTCATTTTGAATCTCCCATTAAATTAAAATTTCCAAAAAAAAAAACCCTATATAATATATTTATGTGTATATATATATATATATATGTGTGTGTGTGTGTGATTCTTGCAAGAATAGCAAAGAAACAAACAAAACAAAGAGAGTAAACAATATTATACCTTGGCAGGGCTAATCTGTGCTGTCTGAATTCATTGGCATTCACATTTTTTGCAGTTGAAAATCTCACTCAGATTAATCAATCAATTGTCCTCACACCTCATTCACAAACTCAGATCTAACTTGCTTGCATTCTTGTCGCCTTCTCCGGTCTCGGCGACATCTTCTTTCCCCGGCGAAAACAAAGAAAGGGACAGCCTACTGTCTACCTCAGGACAGTCACCATTACTAATGTTGTCAAGCTCCAAGCTTTTCTTCAATCTCTTGATCTTGTTGTCTGGCCGCGGCTCCAACGATGATTTTAAGGATAGTTTTAGATCGAGATCAATTTCATCGTCGTCAGAATTAGGGATCTTCCTCTTCGAATTGGTGCTCATAATATTATTCATGGCTTGTAAACACGGCTCGTGTTGAGGCAACCGGATCGCGATGTCCTGGAATCTGCTCGACGAAAAATTTTGGGGTTGCCAATGTCTTTCTAGAAGCTTCCAAGAAGGATGGAGTCTTTTGTTATTGTTGTTTGTGTGGAAGTTTTGATCAGAAGCCATTGATGATGATGAGCCATGGTTGAGCTCAAAAGGTGTGTAAGGGCTGTAACTCATTGAACTGATTAATTGGCTGCCCCAAACTGCATCTCTGTACCTAAATATGGTTAATTAAAGAGGGGAAAATCAATTAGGGCTAAATTCAAGATTAGGGTTCTTGAAATTAATTGGGGACAAATTTTAGAGCTGTAAAGGTAACCTTAAGCTTGGAATTGATGAGCTGTTGGAGCTTTGCAGCATTGGGAGTTGGCTGAGGTTGTAAATGTGTCGATCTCCCGCGGCATCGAATCCGAGCCTTTGCTCAGCAAGAACTGTTTGATTGAAATTGGGGGAAAATTAAACCTCTAAAATCAGAATTGAATTTTTAAGTTCAAGAACAAAAACCCTAATTTTATTTATTATACCTTGATTTGGATCATCAATCTTCTTGCTTCTGTACATCTGATTATATAGCCACATCAAAGCAAAGATTAAATTCAGTAGCATATCAAATTAAATCAAATCAAATCAAATCTAAAAACCCCAATTTTTATTGAATAAGGGTTTTGAACAGAAAATTAAAATTGTAATTACCTGAAGATGGCTCTTGACATGAGCAATGCTAAGCCCTTTAACATTCATCAATTGAAGAACCAACTTAGGAGTTGCCCCTAAAACACCAATTAAATCAAAAATTAAATAAAATCGAAACCAGATTATTATTAATATTCTGAAAATTAATATAAAGGGTTTCTTTTTTTTTTTTTTTTTTTCTTACTCTCTTCTCCTCCCAATCTTTCAACAGCATGAACAAAGCAGAGGTGGAGCTCCGGCGTCCACCGGAGCCGGGGAGTTCTCGACCGATTGTACGGCCTGACAGATGATCCACCAGCACCACCACTTGTTCTTTTGCCATTGTTGTTATTTTCTTCGACTGTGCTATTGCTCGAGCTGTTGTTCCCATTCGTCTGCTCGTCGACGTCTCCTTCGATCTTCGAATTCTCCATAACATCACTCCCTGAGTTCATATTACTTGAGGAATGATTTTGTGCTGAGAATGATCTGATCTGAGTTTAAAAATTATTCCTTTTCTTTTTTTTGGGATCGAAGGATGGATGGAATCGATTAGGAGAGGGAGAGGGAAAATTAAAAATAATTTGGTGAGGAGAAGTGGTTAGAATTGGGAATGAATTAATACTTGTTGTTTATTTTTGGTAATATAAACAAGAATTTCCTCTCTGTCCCTCCAACTACTTCCTTACTTTTCTAGATGACATTTTTTGTACAATGTATTTATATATGTATATGTGTGGTTCGAAGAAAATTAATATATATATATATAATGAAATATTTGAAAACGAAATGCCTAATTGGGTAAAGAAACTTGAAGAATTTGGATTGGCACTGCAGAAAAGTCTTGGGGTTTGTTTGATTAGTTGTTCCAGTTTTTTGCAATTTTAATTAGTAATTATGGAATTTTTACAGTTTGATGACGATTAAAATTTTAAAACCCTAATATCTTATTAATGACAGATTCTTACAACCACTAAACGAATTTTATACAACACTTCTTTGAGAATTCCACGTAATCTCTCTCTCTCTCTCTCTCTCTCTCTCTCTATATATATATATATATATATTTATACATATATAACCCTACCTCGATCCAATCTTTATCTTTGAAATAATTCATCCTCAGTTTTAGATAATTATGTCATTATTTTTTTTTTTTGCTAAATTTATAAATAAATCATTTATAATTAATAATTTTATTCACACACAACATAATGTCATCATCTTTATTTTTAATAAATAATAATTAATTTATTATTATTTTTTTAATTTTTTATTATTTTTTAATTAACTATTTAATAAATTTATTATAATACTCTCGCTTTATTTTTTACCTAACTACTTATATATTAAAATTTCATTAATTTTTAATTTTTATACCCAACTAAACAAGCATAAAGATCCAGATCGTAGTAGAGCGTATCATTTTTTGTATCACATATAAGCCATGTTCTTTATTTGAATCCTGTTATAAACAGTAGCGGAGCCACGTAGGGTCCCGAGCCGTTGTCACCGCCGTTACGTTGATAATATATATTATTTGTTATATAGATCGTTTGTCTGTTCAAATTCAATCAATTTTTAATAAATTGATATTTTTATATTAATGGAATACATTAAAATATATATTTTTACCATCAATTCCATTCAAAATAATAAAAATTACTTATTTTTCGACTTCAACGAAGCCTTTAACCCTTCGGCGAAACAAGTCTAGCTCCGCCACCGGGCATTATCGAATCTAAAAATATTAAATTTGTAAATTTCCTTCTATATTCTAATTACTCAATATGCCTTGATAATTAACCTAATTAAAATTTGAATAAAAATTGTGTGGTGTCCGATTTGATAATAATCAAATAAAAATGGTTTTTTTAAGTCCCATGAACTATAAATAAAATAAAATAATTGAATATGAGTAAGGACAGACATATCTTTGTAAGAAAGCTCATATATCAGTTTCCCATATACATACATGTGCCCCCTTGATCCACTCCAGTCCAGTCCCATTCTTGCAAGATCCAGGACTTCAACGCCCATCACTACCACTTCAACGCTTCTCAATCTGCAGCGGGTGCTGGAGTCCGGGTGCTTCCCAACCCTATCAACCCTACAAGCATGTCTGCCTGTAAACCTTGCAATTAAAATTAACATAGACAGATAATTTTTTTATTACACAGATTCAGAGAAATGACAAAAGTCTCTTAAGTCAAAGATCAATAAAATTGTCTTATCTGACTGACATCTAGACTTTGGTCCTATTAATCTGTTGTCAACAAATCAAATTAATTAATTAATTTAATTCAGTACTCAGAATAATTTACGGGAAAATTACATATATGATGTTGAATTATTTCATTAAGTAGTATTGTAATGACATCACACGTATTATTACATATAAATAAATAATGCGAAATACAAATTAACACGATACAAATACAATATATAAACTAACAATTATAATATAGTCTGCACAATATATATATATTAAAGATGATCTCAATACTATCTTAATTAAAATTATATTTTCTTTGTCCTAAAAAAGTTATTTTATTTTTTCATTTTATTTTTCTCAAAATAATTGTTCTATTTCCTTATTAGTAATCGTGGTTTTTATTATACAAAAAAAAAATTATTATCCCTACTTTTTAAATTTACTATACATTACAAAAAAAAATATTATATTTGTAACGGAATTCAATCCCTAAAGTTCACGTAGCTAACGTAATTTTTATCTTTAATTCCGTCTCTAATGTCATTAGTAACAAAAAAATGTAGATTTAGGGACCAAAAAACTTCGTTACAAAAGTGATATTTTCTTATAGTAATATTTACACAAATATACTTTTTCAACCCTTCGTAAACGTAAAGACAAATTTGGTCATTTATATTCTACTTTATATCCACTTTTAATTTAGTACTATTATTTATTAAATTTTACTTTTCTATTATTTATTAAATTTTACTTTTAGGAAAAATGAAGTATATTATGTGTCAATAATTTGTACTACATACACATAAAAACCCTAAACGCACTTGCATGTTTTTGCTGGTTGTTTTATTATTATTATTAATCAATGTATATTTTTTCTAAATACTATATACTCCCTCCGTCCCGTTGGAATGGTGACGGTTGCTTTTTACACGTAGATTTTTTAATATTAGTATTATATTGGATTGTAGTAAAAAAAGATAAAAATACCCTTATTAATACGATGTAATATAAAAGTAATGGCATTTGTGTAATATATTGTAAATTAAAAGGGTATTTATTATGTTAAATAGGTAGTACAATCACTAAATTAAAAAATGGTAACCTTATTTTGGGACTGACAAAAATAAAAAATTGTAATCTTTCACTGAGACGGAGGGAATATAATATTTATTTTTATCTCAAAATTATAAAAAGAAAAATACTATATATTATAAAAGAACGCATCACTTAATAAAATTTATTTGTGGGTTTTGTTACTGAAGATTCTCATGACGATCTGTAGCTAACATATATTAATAATTTACGTTAATATATATAAAATTTAAATTATAAATTATGTAAGAAGAATACAGTAAGTGCCAAATTGTTGGTGTGAGGTGTGTACGCATATACTTCCAAATATGTCAGATCGGTCAACTATAATATAATTAATTAAATAAATAAATTATGCGTGATTTAATTTTATGCTAATATACTCCATCCATCGTCCCACATAATTTATTCCTATTTTCTATTTTCATTCGTCCCACGTAATTTGTCCTTTTTGAAAAAAAAAATTCATTATAATATTTTAAATTTTAAAATTTAATTTTTTTTAATCTTAATTAAACTATTTTATTATCTTAATCTTAATCTATAATTATTTTTATTAATATACTTCTTAATTACTTACTAATTATACTTTACCTAAATTCTCGTGCCTACAGTAATATACTCATATTATATGGGACGGAGGGTGTAATTAATATAATCGTCGGCTTAAATCAAAATATTCTAATTTTTATCTAGTCAGTTTTTATCTCGTAATTTAATAAGCAAATGCATTCGAGTTGGTGCTCAATTTGTGTGTTCTCTTTAATCTATTTTTAATTATTTTGGATTTGAGTTTTAGTGTTTATAATATTTTGATTTAATATTTTGTAAGAAAATATAATATATTTTTATTAAAAATAAAAAAAATGATAATAAAGCAAAATGAGCATATACTAATATAAAATTGTCTTGGTTTTTTTATTTGAATTCGATCTTTTTATTATAATTAACAAACTAAATTCAATCTGGATTTGTTGGCTATTTTTGTTTTGTGAAATAATTTAAAAGAATATTTATTTTATGTGAGGCACAGGGACTTGCGTAGGTAATATAAATATAATGAATGTGTGTAATATATTACTTCTTCCGTCCCAAGCAAGGTGCAACATTTGCTTTTGGCACGAATTTTTAAGTGGGTAGTATTAAGTAAGATAATTTAGAAATTAGGTAATGTGATGGAGAGAGAAATATATATTTTATTTTTTTATTTGGATGACGTGAGGGGATAAAATATGGAGCAGAGATTAAGTATAATTAATTATTTTCTATTTTGGAAATATTGTATGGTGTTTAGAACATACCAAAAATGAAATGTTGCAAGGTGTTTGGGACGGAAGGAGTATTATTTTTTGAGAAAATGTGTAAGAAAAAATTTAAAAAAAAAAAAAAAAAAAAACCTAAAAGAAAACACTCTTGTAAGTAAAATGATTAATAGATTAAATGTTTTTTTATAAATATATATTGTCGGATTAGCAAAAACGACTGTGAAAACGCATCATTAATATATTGTCGGATTAGCTCGCACGGATTTGTTTTTGGATATCCTTCAAAAGACCTCATATTAGTGGAGTTCACTTGGACTTATAAAGTATGTAATTTTCTTCACAACTTCCAATGTGGAACTTGGGTTTGCACCCCAACAAGGAGTCTCCAAAAATATATATATATATATATATATATAGTTTTTTAAAACCCTAAATTCAATTTAGTTTTGAACTTGTTGGGAAGGCCCTAAAGAGCTATCAAGACGCGCTACGCTACACGTATGTATATAAATGCTATGCGCGGACTAAATAATTTCCGATTTATTTTGTGTGACTAATTATTATATATAATTAATTTATTTTTTTTATTTTTTTTTTCCGGCTAGGTAGTGTATTTATCATTTATGAAGTCATGTGATGCACAAGAAATAAAGCTACGTGCAACCATTCACTTTATTTATTTTAATTTGATTTTGCTTTTGTTGCATGAAAATTAAATTAGAGTACAATATTCCATGCTCGTGTGAGATAATTAATTCGATATATTATGTCATTTGAAATTAATTAATGGACTGCATAAAAGTTGTTCCTACTTCATCTATCTTTAAATAAATAAATAAATAAAAATTAAAACACCACTTTTGACATTACATATGATCACAAGTATCTTGCCAAGAATTCATCAGACCACAAATTACACATAAAGAAAGAAAGAAAAAAACATTTCTTTTGTTTCTTGTGATACTGTACACATAATGATTATTATATTGTATAGCAATCAAAAAGTTCTATAATTTATTTTTGGATTATTCACCAAAAATTATCTCCTAAAAAATATTTTATCTAAATATACTTTTATTCGAAATATTAGATAAAAATTATTCTATATTCAAATTTAAATATCATGTTTATTTTTTTATATTATTTTATTTTTTTTGAATTTTTACGATTTTTACCATTATAATATATTTTCAGTATATATTAAACAATAATTCAATAACATTTTGGCAATTATCATATACCGAATGCAGCATATATCTTTATGGACAACAACAACAACAGAAATAATAATAATAATAATAATAATAATAATAATAATAATAATAAACAATTTAGAAATTAGTAATGAATATATTTAGTAATTTTTTTATATTTTCAGTTATTGTTTTTGTTTTGGTTTAAATAGTAGGTTCAATGCAATATTCAATTAAAAAAAATGTATATTTTTTATGAAAAATCATGAGATTTGTATAATAAAAATTCATAATAAACATAGTGTAGTTGCAACAATTTATTGCATATGAACATCACATCCTTATACAAAACTTAGCAAATTAAATATTTAAATTCCGAATTCGAACTAAATTCACAACCAATAAATCAGCACCTCCCATCGGGCCAAATAAAAAAATAAACAAAAAAGTATCTACATTCATCGGTAAAAAAAAGCCCAAATTAAATAGTTCGGTATTAATTAAAGTATTCGCTCGTTTAGGGCTTTCCATCGACAATTCCCCGGTCAAAACAAGTTTTTGCGACAACGGTTAGATCAATAAAATCGACATCTTTAATTGTATATAAATTTCATTGTGCTTATAATTTAGAACTTATAATTTATAACATAAGTACATATGCTTATTTAATTTAAAAATAAAAAATAAAAAAAAAAATCTTCACATTTTCTACTTTCTAAGAAGAATAATTGGATTTGATTTAATTTACAAGTCGAACTAACACAAAGAATATTAGTAGAATCAATTATGCATTTTCAATTGTACTACGTGATAATATATAAATTAATGTAAATAATTGTGTTAGAAAATATATTTATTTATTTATTTATTTATGTGTGTTTGTCCCACGTGAGTGACATCTCACCAGCCACATTGTCCATTGCAGGTTGCCCTAATGTTACACAACGTTTTTTTGATAGCAACTAGGATCCATCATATCATTATTGATTGTTAATTATTAATTCTCTATATATACATTATTTTTTTCTAAAGAATTTAAATAGTGTTGCAAATTACCTGCTGACAGAGACAATTGTAGAATTGGAAATTGAAGCAGTAACTAATTGGAGATCTAATTTGGGTTTTAAAATAAGCCAGAATCTCTAAAGATGGATGCCTTTAGTTAAAGATTAGCTAAAAATAGGTAAATAATTATATTCTCTTTGTTCAAAAGGGTTTGAATCGTAAAAATTTTAAATTAGAATGGTTATATTATGTGATATAAATGGGTGTTGATTTTATATTCTGAATGTAAAACAATAAAAATTAGATTTTTTATTTTTATTATTATTATTTTATTTTTTTTTTGAAAAAAAAAATTGGTAAATACTGTAGTAAAATTTGAGGTAAATTTGGATTCTATATTAACAAAAAATAATAATAATAATAAAATAATCAAAAAATATTTTAATATAAAACCCAAATTAAAAAATTCCAAATCAAACTCAAAGAAAGACACCAATTTTAGGCCCAATAAAGTTTAAATTTATAAAACGATGAATCCGGACGTGATGTAGTTTTTTTAGACGTGAAACTAGCCCAAATGTCACTCCTCCTCTTGTTTATCTCCCAATGTATAAAATTTTGTCAGATTCATGAGTTCTTTTTCAATTACGTTCTTTTTAATTATAACTTTTAAAAATATTTGTTATTAATTATTTAAAATTATAGGTATTATAAAATTTTTATTTTTATTATTTTCAAACTAAATATATATATATATATTCACTCCAAACCAATTCAAAATATTCCCTTGAAAGGTTACTATTTTTTATTTTTTATTTTCGTTCGTTCCAAAACAAGGTTACCATTTCATAATTTAATAATTATACTACCTAACGTAATAAATACCCTTTCAACTTACACTATATTACACAAATATCATTACTTGTATATTACACAATACTAATAGGAGTATTTTTGTATTTTTCACTACAATCTATTATAATAATAATATTAAAAAATCTACGTGCAAAAAATAAACGACAACCTTACACTGGGACGGAAGGAGTTTTTTTTTTTTTTTCCATTTTCGTCTCATTCAAAAGTATCTTGGTTTTTAGTAAAAATAATCGTAATTAATACCATTTTTTTTTTCCATTTTCGTCTCATTCAAAAGTATCTTGGTTTTTAGTAAAAATAATCGTAATTAATACCAAAATACACTTAATTTTTATTTAAATTACAAATATATTATTATTGCATGCAATTACTTTATAAATAAACTTAAAATCAAAGGGAAAAAAATGTTAATTACAAAAGTATCTTGTTTCTGTTTTACTATTTTAGTAAAGATAATCATAAATTAATACTAAAATACACTTAACTTTTATTTAAATTACAAATATATCATTATACATGCAACCATTTTATACATAAAATCAAAGGAAAAAAAAAATGTCAAAATCCTTTACACATTTTCAATAACCAATAAAATATTATTTTCTCCGTCCTAAAAGAGATGCTATAGTGGGAGTGGGCATGAAAATCAAGAAATAATAGTATGTATTAAATTAGAATGAGGTATAAAGTAAAATGTAAATGACAAAATTATTCTTGCTTTTTTAAGGGTTTTAAAAAGTAGATTAGAGTAATAATTATGGATAATTTTGAAAAAATAAAAATAATTTTGTTATAAAGTGGAGACATGACAATTGTTTTGGGAGAAACCAAAATAAAATACAAGATTATGTTTTTTGAACGGAGTACTATATTTTAATCTACTAAAACATTCCAAAAGACCTCTTAAGTAGGACGGAATCAGCATATTCTTATTAAAAAATATGAATACCCCAAAATCAAATCAAATCAAAATATCATAATTGTAAAAATATTCAAATTCAAAAATTTTCAATTCAAACCCCAAACAATGGACACAAAATATTATTCTCTTATTCTATAGACACACTTCCAATACCTTATGTAACAAAAACATTTCAAACTAAAAATATAAACAAACACTGTAGCTTACCGTTCAAGTTCAATATAATACCAAAATTCTAAAATGTCAAAAAACTTAAAAAACATAGACAAACACTTTAGCTTCTAATTACAAACAAATATACATATTTCTATTTTGAGTTTCAATTATTTTTTTCTACAAATACTTTTGCTTTACCATAATCGGAGTATTACTTTTACACCAAAAAGTAAAAATACAATTAATTTACATTATTTTTAACTATCCACTACAATTAAAGTACTATTATTTATTATGATTTGTTTATCACGTTGAAATCAGCATATATTATATAAAATAAAAATATATTATGTATTGTCAAAATCCATGTTATATATACTATTAACATATTCTATCTGATATGTGTTGTCTTCTTTACGAATATATATTGAGCAAGTTAAATCAACAGTAACTAAAGCATAATAAGTCAAAACCTCTATTAAGAAAACAGTGAAAGGAAAGAATTTATAAAATCGAAAGAACAAATTAAACTAAAATAAAATACATAAATATATTCTCCCAGCACCATTTTCCAATTTCTATTCTTCAAAAATAATAATAAACACTACAAAATACTTTTTAACAAAAAGTCAAAAAAAAAAAAAAAAAAAACTTCAAATACATGCATTATAATCAATATTCAACTCAAAATAATAGTAGTATATATTATATTTTTAACGTAATTCTTCATATCTTCCATCAAAAATCAATTTATGAACGATAAATATTTAGTGTGAATTTACTCGGCATCAATACCAACTACCATGCGATGTAAAAATTACACATAGCAATGCTTGCTGCTCAGATCATATTTATTGTCAAAAAAAAAAAAAAATGTCAAAAAAATAAACACAAGTTCACGAATAGACTCAAAGAGTGTCATAAAATTGACCAAAACACAAGAGGAATCCCGACAATATTAATCAAAATCTATTGCCTTAAGTCTTATGATTAAAACAAACAAAGCATGCCAAGAAATTCATTAGGGCGCAGCTTGTTTCATTTTATGCAAAGTTAAATCGAAAGAGAAACGTAGCAGAACCTGGATTGAATAAGAGCACTGGTCTCGATAGCGGGCAGAGATAGAAGAACTGCCTTTCGGGTACTGAGGAATATGGCGAGTTGCCAACATGAATCGACTAGTGGGGCGACGAGAAACAGAACTGTATGCCGGTCTTGCCCATATCGTTTTCATGTTGTTTCAAAATGTAGCAATAATTCACCTGACGAATAAGTTTCCGGTGTCAGCAAAGGGTATTATTACATAAGAACAGTATGAAAGTGTCCATTTTCGGAGCCTGCAAAGCTAAAAGAGAACAATCGTATAACAGCAGCTGATAAGTAGATAAAAAAAAAGTTCGAAACTTACCTCCATTCGGAAAAGCTTGGTGGGGACAATGACACCAAATCCTGCTGAGCTTCTTACCGAATCCTGAAACTTCTGGAGAGTGAAATGTTTGTTTGCAATTTCAGACAATTTAGTCAGGCTACCGGCACAGGCAAATAAGTGTCCATGGATCCCGGCTTCCCTCAGAACTTTCAATGGAAAATCAAAAGAGAGGTCGGCAAAGGCAGTGAGTGCCAGATCTCCTCCAACATGATCTATGCCAGATTCGTTATTGTTTCCGCCATCGGAGTTATCTTTCATGTATCTTCTCGGCTCAGCGGGACCCAATCCCCTGGCCTTGAACCCCAGCACTGATGTGGGCCCTCTCAGAGAGCAAACTGGAGAAGAATTACCACCCATGAAGAACCGCAGAGGCAAATATGAGGGTGTGTTCAAGAAACCGGTTCCCCATGGCAGCATAAGACCACCGGAAACTCCAAAATTTAATGCAGCCTGGTAGAAACCTAGTGGGATGGCGTAGCGGAGATCGAATTCCTGTTCAGAAAAGACAAAATGTTACATAGATATACAATGGACAGTTTGGCTGTAGTATTGGGTGCTTGTTTGGAAATTCATAGCTTCGGTTTGGATTACTGCGAGCAATATGGCACATCATCGTCAATTTTATACATTTTTCGAATTTTATTATTGCAGAACATGAATCACAACTCATTATTAACTCTACTCCACAATACAATATATACACGCATATATGCCCGTATGTATGCACATAATTTACAGAAAACACAATAAGCAATATAGGCTTTGAAAAAGAACGGATGATTAAGAAATGGAAAGCGTATCTGAAATAAAAAATCTAAAGCACTATTATAATCGATTAGTAAAGAAGCAAAACTTAAATGTTTCTGAGAAATAAAATTATACGAAAGAAAGAGAATCCAAAGAGAAGAACAAAACCTGGCGTATGAAGCGCAGGCTTCGAACATCAGGAAAAAGACCACCAACTTGAGTTGTTGAAACAAATGCATGTCCTTTAGTAGGTCGCATTGGCGAATCTCTTCGATCAATTTTAAAGGTATACTTTAACGCTGACAGCAAACTATGCCCAAGCTGCCTCCTCACAGCATGGGAAGACATTTGAGACGGATCTGTTAAAGTACACCAAGAGAGATTGTAGGATAAATCATGTTTTCCAGTCGATAGCAACCCCAGAGAGAGGCCAAGTGCACGCTCTTTATAGGATGAAAATTTCAACCAATCTTGCGAAAGAAGAGCTAGTCTAGCAGACAAGGGAGTCGACATTCCTTTAAATCGGGGTAAAGACAGTCCCGTGCTTACTTCCAATACTTGACCCCATCCACATGCAACCGAACCATCCCAAATATCTCCATATCCGAGCAAATTCTTCAGTTTCAGTGCCCCTTCCAGAGACCAAGATCTAGCCTATGAGATCAGCTTAGAAATTCAATACTAACAATACCGTCAATTCACGTTTAAACTAAGGCATCCATTTTTCATTCGGAAATGCAAAGAATAATACGATCAAATCAGCATTCACAATCCTTCATTTCCAGTTCTAATCATCAGAATGATACCAGCCATAACCAACATTTTCCTGAAGTGCTAGATTGATTATGTTCAGCTAGAACAAATATCCATAGTTGCAAAAATGAAAGCTATGATAACAATTTTAGCTCAATTCAGAAATTGACATTCCAAACACAATGCTTATGTAATTTTCTATAGCAAACCCTCCGCACCTTATAAGCATTTTCAAATTACCAGCAGCAAAGAACTCAAATGATCAATCATAGATATTATCAGTTCGCCAAACATCATAGTACATAATTACCCAGAACAAGGAATACTTCAAAAACAAAATTGGTACCTCAGGCTTGGAGTAAACCCCTATAGATCCAGTGAGAGGGTTTTTGGCCTCGACAACCTCAATGACGACGTTTGCAGTTCCAGGAAGCTCCGGCGGACCAGCATCGAGGGTAATATTGACCGAATCGAAGATATCTAGGCCCTGCAGCCGCATATTGGCAACACTGGCGGCTCGCAGCAGCTGCTGGAAGCTTGAAGCATCTCTGAACACCGCCTCCACCTCGGCCTCGATCAAATCGTCTCTTGTCTTGTTGTTTCCCTTGATAATTATGTCGTGGACGCGGACCGGCACCTTCTCCGACGAGAGGCGCCTGAAAAGAGATTCCATGTTCGCGTGTTCCTTCCGCATTCGCGCTTCTGGAGTCAAGGTTCTGGATCCTTCATCGTCCTCCTCCTCCTCGAAGTCGTCGTCGTCGTCTTCGTTCTCCTCCTCGTCTTCGGTTTCGTCGTAGGGTTCAGTATTGGGATTGAGGCGTTCCGCGTGATTGGTCTTGCGGCCGGACTCCGGCTTCGATTCCATGGACGGAGAACCGATCGTTGACCGAATGTGGTGCGGATTGTGGACTGAAGAAATGATAGGTGCGGCGGCGGAGGCGGCGATCGGCGGCGGACAATTTTAGGGAACGAGAACACTGAAACGACACCGTTTGGCTTGAAGCTTTGATCTGCGTCTGAACACTTATACGGAACTGGCGAATTTATTTTTAGAATAATTTTATTTATCTTATTTTCTATATATATTTTTTAATTTTAATATTTTTAGATAAATAAAAAATCAATTTTATATCTTGTATATATATTATCTTTATTTACAATATTACTTCATTTGTCCATTGAAGTTTTGTAATATATTAAAAAATAGTAGTAATATTTTATTAATTAGTAAAAATATATAAAATAACTTAGATAATTTTATATTTTATATTTTTTAGTGTACAATAGAAAAAAATATAAAAGTAAAATACTTTCAATTATAATAAAAAAAAAGTATATTTTAATTTTTATTCTAGGCTTATTATTTAACACAAAAAACATTGAATTTTTTTAGTTTGTAACATAAATTATAATTATTCAATTTATACGTCTATTCAGTAAAAATATTAATTTAAATTTCACAAATAATATTTAAAAAATATTTTCAAATTGGAATCGATCTTTTTGCATTTTTTTTTTTATGAATTTAAACACCGTTTGAATGAAATAGTTTTATGTATTCATCTTATCTCCTTCTTTCGGTCATATGTATATTTTTAAATATTTTTTCTATTCAAAAGCAATAGTTATTTGCAATAAAATTTAAAGAATAATAATATTATATTAAAGGTGAATATAAAATAAATAATAAAAGACTAAAATATTTTTTTAAATATATTTATGTAAAAAATAATGATATTTGTATAATAATACTAATAGTAAAATAGAGATAATTTTATGATGATATAGTTATGTATAAAAATAGAACTATTATTATGGGACAAAAAGAGTAATTTTGTCTATTTTATTCAAATATTTTTTCTATTATAATAAAAATAATTTTATACTAATAAAATGAATGTCGTATCATCACTCGATTTTTAGTTCACAGTCATACTAATTCCGTCCAACTCTAAAAATTTTATTTACATTTTGTATATTAATTTTTGAATATTAACTATTATATCAAAAGAACGCAACCTAGTGATTAGGGCACGATGGCTCGAAACTATTTCATGAAAATCTTTGAAAGTATGTCAACTTCTTGTAGTGAGTTGGAGTTTCCTCCACCTTCTCCTATTTCGAATTGTTAAAATATTTTTAAAAAATATATATTATATTTATGATAGTTATTTTATTTAAGTTATTCATATAATTTTTTTATCATTTAAATAATTTATAATTCATTATAAATATATATAATTTATTACAATTGAAATAAAAAATTTCAATTTCATATTAAAGAGAATCCGACCTTTAATAGCCCTGATATTGATAGATTCCCATCTCGATTTTTTTACTAGCATTGAAAAATGTGTTGAGAGCACCATTATGCACTTCATTTGAAAGGCATTCGATGTTGGATCATTTGTTAGATCCCTAAAAGGACGTTTGATGTAGAAAATGGAATTGCAGATAAATAGAGTTGAGAAATGTAAAACAAAATAAATGGATCGGATAAGAATAAATTATTAATCTAACAAATGAGAGTTTTAAAGAGTGAAAATTCATAAAAAATTATATATATATATATTTCTGGTGACTTTTTTTAAAACAAAAAGTTATAACTTATATACGAAAGTTTTGTAAGATCATATTTTAGTATAATTTTTTTAAAAAAAATGTAAAAAATTAAATACTTGAAAGATAAATTTAATTTAATTTTTTTAAAATTGAAATAATATAATATAAATAATTATAAAAATTAAATAGTAAAAAAATAATAAATAATAAAAAAATATATACTGCAACACCATTTCTCTCTATTTATAAAAATATATATACGGGCCTCAAAATATATATATATAAGTAATATATTTTTATTTATAATAAAATATAAATAATTAAATAAAATAATTTTCTAGAATGTTTAGATAAAAAAATATTTCTAAATGTTTTAGACATATAAAAATTGAATTTAAGACTTCAATCTTAAAAATTAATCTTTATACCACCAAACTACAATCTTTTTTATTTATACATATCAAATAAACTATATATATATATAAATTATACATATATAACATAAATATATATGAGTCATTTGCTTACTGTGGGCTCGGGCTGATGCCCGTCCCGCCCGAGCCAGGGCTGGCTCTGGCTAAAGTAGGACATGTAAAAAAAGTTGGACAAATCATGCCAATTAGTTTGTGTACCACTGTTTATTGACTAATTCTCAAAATTCTAGTAAGGTGTTTTCGGTCATGGCCGGCAAAGTACATCAGCCCTTCACAAGTAGCATTTCTCATATCTCAAGTTTGAAGATTAACTTTGAAAAATCTATCTATCTATGACATATGATACTTGTCAACGTCTTGCCTCAATTTTAAACATTCGATATGTGCTTGGTCTCTCTAGATATCTCAAATTTTCTATTATATATGGGAGACTCACTAAATACTTTTTTTCAATTGTTGATCGCCAAAAGTACGAGAGGTTTTCCACACTTGGGCCGATCAGGTTTATTTGGGCTCAGCCCACTTTTTTGTCTTGTGGGCTTTGACCCACATGTGTATATATATATATATATATATTCATAACACTAGGTTAAGATCACTCTGTCGTCGACTTCATCTCTTCACTCTCATCATCATGCACAGTGCACAATCCATCTCCATTATCATTCTCACTCATACACTTCCATACACACGTTATACGCAATTGATTTATGGCAATTACTTGAATCGCGTCACTTCGTATCACATCTCTCTCGTACTCGAATCAATCTCCGTATCGATTTTCTCTCATACGCCTTCTTGTTACTCTTTTCACTCTATTTTTGGTATGTTTCTTCCACTCTTCTTCCTTCACAAGTTATGATCTATTTCTACTATGTTTGTATGGCTTGAATTGAACTCTTGATGTACAAGTTTAAAGGAAGCACTTATGTCAAAACTGATGATTTAGTTTACATCGTTTGGTTGTATTGTTCCTCTTATTCACTCATTCTTTTGGATGATTTAATTTGTGATGTTGGGATTTCTCTACCTTATAAGAGGTGAATGGAATTATATTAGGTTTTTTTATTGTTTGTTGAATTTATATATAATTTTATTTATTCATAATTTTATTATTCATATTTTAATAAATAATAATTAATTTTTTACTTCTTTTTTTTAATCCCATCATATTTTTGTCAATTCTTTAAAAAAATTTATATAATACAATTACTTTATTTTTTATCTATTTTACATTTACATTACAAAAAAATATAATTTTTTAGTTTCCCTGAGCAATCAAAGTGGCATAATAAATCACGACAAAAAAAAAAATTATTGGTGTGTTACTTAAAAAGGTGAAAAAGAAAAAATATGATATTTGTATGAACGTAATATTACTTATATCATCAAAAATTATATTTTTCAATTTATGTAAATAAAAATACCAAAACACAAAACAAAACAATACGAATCATAATCTTGCCATCCAACCATCCATTGAACTAATTAATCAATCCTCGCCGTCGCCGTCGCCGTCGCTGTCGCCGCCGTGAGGAACACAGACGGCTGGCCGGAACGCCAGCGGCCCGGCGGCGTACACGACGGCCTCGTAGTTCTTCTCCATGATCTTCTTGTCTTCATAGCGCAATGGCGCGCCGTTCAAGCCATAATTAATGTTGGTAAGAACGTTGCACGTCTTAAGAGGCGAAGAGACTAATCGAACTGAACACGAATGCAGAGGGTGGTCCAAAAAGTAGTTGTGCATCTTGAAGCCCTTAAGCTCTGCCCAGAAGTAGCCGTTGTCGTCTGTTTTGCACGCCTTGTAATAACTCACTCGGCGCCGATGGTCCTTGCAGATGACGCCGACGGTGGCCGATGCGATGGGCTCGGCCGCCGTAAGGCTCCACGTGCCGTAGGTTAGGCACTTTTGGCAGTAGACAATGCCTTCGACCACCGGGACGACGGGCGGCACCGCCGCTTTTGGCGGCGTGGAGGTGGCGGTGGTTGGGTTGAGGAGGAGGAGGAGGAGTGGGATGAGAAGGGTATTTGGGGTTGTTGCCATTTTTATTTTTTTTTTGAGGATTTTTTTGGTGTGATGTTGTGAAATGATTGATGTGTTGTATGTATTTATATATATATATATATATATGAACTGAATTGGGGATGTGTTTTGCAAGAAATGAGACATGGCAAACGTGGTAACGACTAAAAACTTAGTTATTGCAAAATTCGTGAAGACCACTTTCATGCTTTATATTATATATATATATATGTATGTATATATTGTGTATGTGTGTATTGGGGGTATGGTTTGGACTATGGAATTTTGGGGGTTGACTTGTCTCCATTGAATCAATTTACCAATTATTGATTCGCTAATTCTTTGTTGGGCATATTCTGCCTAGTCAAAAATATTAAAAATAATAATTAATTAATTATTAGTATTAATGAGAGTCTCTTATATCTTTTATTAGAAATTTTTATTTATACTATCATAAATAATGAGACAATCATTTATATATTTTATCAATAATAATTAGTTATAAATAAGAGATATAATTATTAATATGGAGTATATTAATTATATAATTTATTAATATCATATTATATGCATATGCATATATAGTTTATTAATATCTATATGTTTATCATTTAATATTATTTATTTTGACATATAACATATTTTAGGTTTATATTTGTAAGATTTTTTTCTTTATTTTTTTTTGTCAATTTGAATTCTGATAAATTCAATTTAATAATTGTTATAAAAAGAATTTATTCAATTTATTTTGTGTTTCAAAATTTCTTAACTTTTGCAATTTAACATAAAATAAATAATGATAATTATATTGCGGTCTATTTTAAAGACAAAACCATAAAATTTAAAATAAAATAAATATAAATATTTATTGATGATCATATTCACATATCTCTAATCTTATTCATATTTCTTTTCTACGTCTTTACTGATAAATATTCTGGTCAGAATCTGTCCATTTAACAACATCCTTATTGATTATTGGTATAAGTTGTACATATATAGTATATAATTTTTTTTTCTTTTTTTTTTTAGTCATCCCATACAAAAATATTTTTTTTAGTAACTGTATTTTCTACTTACATTAAAAATATCTTTACATGTGACAATATATTACACAAATGTCATTTGTATCACACAATACTAATAAGGTCATTTTAGTTTTTTATATTTTATTGATACCACACTCCAATTTCATGCAAAAAGCAAACAGACAAATAAATAAGGGACGAAGGGAGTATATGTTTATATTTTAATATCAATATATAAAAGTATATTTAATTTAATAAAGTCTGTTTAAATTTGTTTTTGACATGAGTTTTTTTTCTTATACTTCTACTACTGAAAAGTATATATATTTTAAAATATATTGAAAGTGACTTCTGAAATAAGTAAAAATATTTTTTGGTATACAGAATTTGATATTTGATATACATATAATATTATATATACCAATAATTCGGTATACAAAATATTATACAAAAAATTTTCAAAATGGTATTCCCTTCATCTACGGATAAAGTATATATTTATTTTAGGCGCGGTGTTTAAGAAATAATAGTATTTTAATTATAGTGGGTAGTTAAAAGTAGTGTAATGACATTTTTGCCCTTACTTTTTGATATAAAAGTAATGATGTGACGTAAAATAAGGGTATTTATGAAAAAAATAAAGTATTTAATGAAATGTTTACTTTGTAATTGGACGTCCCAAAATAGAAATGTGTATAATTTCTAACGGAGGGAGTATATAGTATCCCTTGTTGTTGTTGTTATTATTATTATTATTATGTAAAATTTTGCAAGTAAATACTACCCTTTGTCCCAAAGTTTTACTAATTTTTGGGCACAAAATTCAAACGATATTAATGTAAATATTTCTAAAATACTACAATTAAATCCTTATAAATGTATTGTTTAATTTAAATATATTGTTTAATTTAAATACATTTATAAGGATTTAAATGTATTGTTTAATTTAAATATTTCATGTAATAATAATAATAATAATAATAATAATAATAATAATAATAATGATAAAAAGTAAAAATTATTTTAGTAATTATTTAGGATAATAAAACTATTGATTTGAAATGAAAACAATATATCATCTAAATTTTAAAAACAATTACTTTTTATTATTTCCTATGCCTCTTAAAAATATGCCTACTGATATTTTTCGTCCACTTCTTAAAATATTCGTACTTTTTATAAAAATTTATACTTTATTCGTGCTATTGAAAAGTTATTATTTTTTATTTTCGTTCGTTCTAAAACAAAGTTACAATTTCCTAATTTAGTAATTTTACTACCTACTTCACGTAATAAATATTCTTTCAACTTACAATATATTACACAAATGTCATTATTTTTATATTACACCGTATTAATAGAGGTATTTTTGTCTTTTTCACTACAATTCAATATAATACTAATATTAAAAAATTTACGTGCAAAAAACAAATGTCACCCTTCCAACGGACGGAGAGAATATTATTATTTTTACTATAAAAATAAAACATAACAAAAAACACACATCATATTAAAATTTGAGCCCAATTATATTTATTAATTTTTTTAAAAGGTAACAAAAACAATACACACCACATTAATATCCACTACCAAAAGTATGAACTTATTTTTTTTAGACCGAATTATACTAATTTGTCTAAAGTAACAAAAAAAAAAGAAAAAAAAATACACCACATTAAAATCCACTACAAAACTGTTTCCGTTTTTTTTTTTTTTTTGTTTTTTTGAAATGGAGGAAGGAAGTTGTCCCTTCATCTCAGAACTATAGTCTAAGTTATATTTGACAAGGAATATTAATATTATATTGATAGTGGATAAAAAGTACGAGATAAAAGACTTTTTTGGCCTTGTGAATCTATAATATAAAAAGTAGTGACAATTGTGTAATAATATTGAAAAATGAAAGGTAGTTTTATAGTTATATGATTATTTATAGAAATGAGACTATTGTTTTAGAACGGACAAAAATAGTAAACAGGACTATTGTATTAGGACGGAGGGAGCACTATATTTTAAATTGGAGTAAACAAAACCAAATTTTAAAGTTCATAGCTCATTTATATATATATATATATATTTTTATTTTTTTTCTTTTCTTTTTTCTTTTTTCGTATGAAAATATGCCTAAATCCCACCCTGAATCAAACAGCTTCAAGATCGATTGAATAACATCCGATTCAACTCAAATCACTCCCGATCAAAACTATACATACATAGATACATACATATACATATATAACACCAAAATTTTCAAAATTCTCATCACGCTAAACTCCACTGTACATATACATACATACACACAGAAACACATATACATAATCCGCCATTTCCGAGCTTCAAATTTTCCAGATTCCTCCAAACAATGAAGAAGAAACCACTCCATAATCATATCCACCTTCAACTTAAACTTAAATAGCCTCACTCGACATGATCTCAAGCTCAGCCCACCAAAGAGGCGAAAGTTTCGGTATCGCGCCGTCCGGCCCGAGCCCGGTAATCTTCCTCAGCCACGCGCAAACTTCCCGGATCGACGGTCTCTTCTCCGGGTCGGGATTCACGCACGAGCCGATCACACCATCCATCTCTTCAAGTTGATCTTCCCGGTACGTTCTTAGAGTCGGGTCGACCGTTTCTCCAAGAGGCCGTGCGGCTTGCAGATAATCCGACGCCCAGTCGTCAAGCGAGTTGTTGCCCGACGAGTACGGGAGCTTGCCGGTCATCATCTCCAACAGTAGGACGCCGAAGCTGTAGACATTGGCCTGTGGGGTAGGCCGGGTCTCAGCTGCCAATTTGTCGCTGAAGAGGAAGTTCGACACTTTGGCGGCGTAGTCTTCGGATAGGTAGATGGAGGAAGAGGTTAAGCTTCCATGGGGTATCGGCGGTTTTAGGTTGTGCATGTGGTCGAGACAGTTCGCTATTCCCATGGCGATTCGGAGACGCGTCTCCCAGTCCAAGTGCTCGGCTTCTTTTACTGCAGAAATTGAAGTTATGTGTTAATTCGACGCCGAGTAGGAAATACGATTCATTGCACCAAAAAAATTAAAAAAGATATGAATTTTGTCTTATAGATGGCATCACTTATCATTTTGGCATTTATACTAATGGTCCTAAATCATCCCATGATACGAACCCCCGGCATCACATTTTCAGTAAGCACACGAAAATATCGCACATAGAATTAGGATCGAGCTTAAATACAATAATTACAAATTTTCTTCCTAACAAATTAGGTCAATGCCTTTCCTCGACCCCTTACATGTGTTGTTCTAGCATTTTGTCCAAAAAAAAACAAAAGGTGGTCTATGTATCACTTCTCTAACATATTATCTGAAGATCGATATCAATTTACGGGTGATTTTCATACGGCTGAATCTCATGGCATGCATCTTTGTATATAGTATCAGTAGCCGAAGAAAATTGGAAAAGCATCAAATAACTACTTTGATAACACATCTATCATGTAAGGGATGATTGTGTCTATATATTTTAAAGTTTAAAGACAATGCACTACGATCAACCCGTAAAGAACTAACAAAAAAATACTCCCTCCGTCCCAGATACCGTATCTGCTACAATGTAGACACGGTATTTTAGGAGGGGTGTAATTAGTAGATAATTAAGAATGTATTAGTGAAAATAATTATCCTATAATATAAATAATTAAAATTAAAAAAAATAAAATTTAAAAATTTAAAATAAGATTAAAGTGTGTAATCATTTTCCAAAAAATGAAAGTGACATGGTATGTGGGACGGACAGAAACGGCAACGTGGACATGGTATCTGAGACAGAGGGAGTAAAAAGTAAAATTGCTCGTAACTTTCCCGTGATTTCAAAATTCAGCGAAAAATCTTTTTGTACTTTAAAAATTGTACGACACCCCCTTATATTTTAAAAAACATTGCAGGAAACCTCCCTTGTATGATTAGAAGATGATTTCTTATATACTCCCTCCGTCCCGAAACTAAGTATCCATTTGCTTTTTGCACGTAGTTTTAGAAATATTAGTATTATATTGGGATATAGTAGGAATAAAGTAGAAATAACTAAAATAACCTTATTAGTATGTGTAATATAAAGGTAATGACATTTGTGTAAGTTGTAAAGGTATTTGTAATGTTAGGTAGAAAGTACAGTTACTAAAAAAAGGAAATGGATACTTTGTTATGGGACGGATTAAAATGGAAAAATGGATACTTTGTTATGGGACGAAGGGAGTATATATTTTGCATGGCGTAAGATTTCATGCAATATTTTTTAAAGTAGAGACGCCATGCAATTTTTTAAAGTAAAGTGAAAATTTAGTCTGAGTTTCAAAACCATAGAGATGTTTCATTAACGTTTTTTAAAATATAAGGGAGCGTCATGCAACAATTTTTAAAGTAAAAGAGGAATTTACGCTAAGTTTCGAAACCACAAAGAAATTATGAGCAATTTTGCCAAAATAAAAAAATCATTCGACATGGAGAAAGAGACTGTTAACGCTTACTCTGTAAATGCTCAAAGAGGGTTCCGTTGGGAGCATACTCGAAAACCAACATCCTGGTAAAAGGTTCCTCTTCCTCACAATAACCAAGTAAGTTGACGAAATTCTTGTGATTCACCTTCGATAGCATCTCAATCTGTAGTGTACAGATCATACATTTAGCTTCACATAAGTTTTGTATAACCACAGGCTTTTGGTAAAACTTGAAATGTGTTCGAGTTTAAAAAACCATAAGAATTCGAAGATTAAACTGCTGAAAGCGGGTGTAATGAAAATGGCAGACAACAAAAGCACACGGGATTACCTTCTTCCTGAACTCCGATTCCAAGCTACTTGACCACTCTTTCTTCGATGCTGCAGCAATGGATGCAACGGCTATCTCGACTCCGCTCGATAATGTACCTTTGTACAATGTGAAAACCGTCAATGAACCGATCACGTTGCTAAAATCTTCACAAGCAACCTCAAGTTCAGATCTCTTCAGCTTCGGAACCCCTGAGAAAACCAAAAAATGTTATCCACTATTGAAATTTGGTGTCTAAAATTTTGAAAATTAACAAATACAAGTGTTGAAGAAAAGATACCCGTTACAAATGCTCTTTGCAGCTGCCCACTTAGCCCTGTAGCCCACGGCTTGACAGTAGAAACCTTGCCACTTCGATAACAGAAAATCCCGACGCTGGTGGCTAAAAGCACCAAAAAGATAGGACCTCCAATGGCCGCATACATTATGCGTTTAGGCTTTCCGTTGGAACTTGCTGGCTCTTCGGGCAGCGGGGTAGGTGGACTAGGAATGGATGATGATGGTCGGGATGGAGTTGGGGGAAGAGATGCGGATGACCGTGGAGTCAGGTTTCGGGGTAGGGTTAGATTACGGGTCCGATAATTAACAGGCTTAGGAGATGAAGATATAGATGAATTTACGAGAGAACTATAATTTAGAGGTTTTAGTTTTTTAGCATTTTGCAGCAACTTTCGTCCGGTAGCCTTTCTTTTATCCTTTGATTTCCTACAAGAGTTAAATGGAAGTGATTATAATCCATCATCGAATATTAAAGAATACGGCAAGAAACAGAAACAACAATGCTCAAGTTGGGTATTTCTATAAGCGTGACAAAACTATACACGTCGTAATAGTATAAGATTTGTGCTTTTTGGGATCACAAACATTAGAAAAGTTGCAACGAAACGATCAACAAAGTTCAGACTTATATGAATTAAAATTGTTACGACTTGAGAATTAAATATTTTTTCTTACCGTGAGATAACTAAGCTTTTATAAGGCGAAGCCTGTCCAGATCGAGATGACCGGTTCTCTTCAATCTCAGACAGCCTACAATCACGACTAGAGCTATCTAGAAGCTCGTTGTTGTCCAGCAAGCTGCATCCAAAGGATCGAACCAACAAATTATTGAAACTATGAACACCATTGATAAAGCAATCTTCTCAACGATAAAACAATGCATTGTAAGCTTACAGGATAAACACGGACATATCATCGCCAAGATGACAAGGAAGCTGCCCACTTAAATTATTATACCGCAGATCTAACAACTCCAAATTTTTCAACTTAGAAACCTCGCCGGGGATGGTACCAGAAAAAGAATTGTTATACAAAACTCTGCATTGATTTCAATTTAACAAAATGTCAACAACTATTATGGAATCGAACATTGTTGTTAGAGTAATAAGTGATATTGAAACATTATATCTTACATAGACTTTATGTGAATTAGGTTGCTGACATCCGGAGCAATTGTACCTCTCAGACAAAGATCCTTGAGGTTCCTGCCAACATTACTCGATAAAATCAGACAACATAAACTTAATAAGTTTCAATAGAGCAAACACAACCAAAAGCTACAATCCGAATCTATCAACAATATAATGTCCCAATGCAAATTCTTATTGAACATATGAAGAAACCGAAAGTCCATAAACAATCAAAGAACCAAAAATGAGATGAATTTAGACAACATCAAACTTACAGAACAACAACGTATCCATCCGAGCACCCAACTCCAAACCAAGAACAAGGATTCTCCACTCCCACTTCGTCGATCCAATTCGATAAAGCCCCTTGAGGATCACTAACAATTTCTTCCTTAAACCTCAGCAAAGCCACCCCTAAACATTAACCACAAATCCAAGAACATTACATTAATGAAACCAAACCCCAAACCTTTAGCTATAATATTCTACACAGAAAAAATTCTATTGATAAAAATAGCAATAAAAGGCCAAGAAATTCGATCATACCTTCATCATTAAGAGAGAAACAAAAGCTCGAATTCAGTACAAAAAAGCAGCAGAGTATAAAAGCATCCAACACACAATCTTTGTATCTCCAGGAACCCCTCATTCTCTCACCCAACAAACGCTCCAAATCCAATCAAACCCTAAACACAAAAATCCCTGCGGTACAAGTGATTTTGTTCGAAACTAAAATTCAATTCAATCAAACCACTCCGCCAGAGCCGACAAACGTGCAAAGCTCCAGAGTTGAATAAACAAATTCCAGCACAAACAAAATGCTGAAAAATAAAAAAATGTAATAATCATAACATGCAAGCGAATTAATTAATGGCGTGATGGCGACTGTGTAGCAAATGAATAATACCAAGTCTACGGCCCCTCTCCTTCCAAAAACGCGTCCTGGTGTTGATGAATTGATGAGGAGGATGATGATAAGGCCAAAAAAAGTAGAACCCCCAACAGAGACGTATTTGTTTGACTTGAAAAGGCAGCCGAAAAAGAGAGAGAAACGTGAGAATTGAGGGTTGGATTTATGTTTTTACTGGCAGTGGTTTTTTGTGGATCCTTCGAGGGAATTTCGCAGGCAAGAAATACACAGATCAGTGTGCTCTGGAGAGAGGGAGGGAATGGTTTGCTTGGGTTGGATTGGATTATTGGAATTGACGTGCAATTAATGAATGGAGTCTGGGACCTGTGGGCCAGGACCTCGTGGAACTGCTGACCGGGTCGTGTTTGGTTTAGTTTGGTTTTTATGGTTTAGGTTTTGATGTTCCAACAAATTTCAGATTTGAAAATTCATGGAAATTTCCGAATATTTTTCTACAGTGATTGGCATCCTTTTTAATTTTTTTTTTAAAAGGTGCTTTTGTTCCTTTATATTTCTACCAGATTTATACTTTTCTTTTTTTTGTTTATTACAAAAAATACTTTTTTATTTATAGTAAATAAGTGCTACATATTTTTTCATTTATATCATAGATATTACATTTATTTACAAATATATCATTAATACCTACTTATTCAATTTATCAAAAAAAAAATTAATTTTATTAAATTACTCACATAATTTTCAAAATACTATTCCCTTTTTCTCATATACAGTCTCTAGTCTCTGTTGCACTGTAACACGGTATTTTAAGAGGAATATAATTAATAAATAATTACGAATGTATCAGTAAAAATAATTATCTTATAATATAAATAATTATAAATTATGATTAAAATAACTTATTAATTTAATTAAAATTTAAAAAATTAATTAAAAAATTTTAAATAAAATTAAAGTGTGTAATTATTTTTTTAAAAAAAAATGACATGGAATATGAAACGGATAGAACGCCAACGTGGACATAATAGAAGAAAATGAGGGATTATTATTTTATATTAAAATAAATCAATATAATATTATGTTTATTAAAATCGATGTCCGACTCAAATAAGTAGCAGAACTACGTTTAGGTTTAGAGGCAAAGACCTCCGAGATAGTACTTTAAGGGAAAGACCTCCGAGATACTACTTCAAGGGTGGGTTTGTTTGGACATTGGATTAGATTTATATTATTCATCCAATTTTTATTTTTTTTTCAAAAACATTAAATTAAATACCTATTTTTCATTTTTTATATTATATTAAAAATCAAATTTACATTAAAAATATCACATCAACACCTATTTATATCACATCATACAACTATTAAAATTCAAAATTTTTACTATTCAAGTCCCAATTCAAAATCCAAACTCCAAACAAACACACCCTAAGAGCAAACGCAGTGATACTTCTGTAGAAGCCTTCTTATCAATTAAAGAAGATATTCTTATCATATTTTAAAAATGAATAGCCAGTGGCCTTTATCTCCAAACTGAAATATGAAGATCTGCTGAAATGCAAGAGAAGCTAGTCTCATTGTACTTTTTTTTTTTTTTTTTGTTCCCTCACCCTTGCTCTCTCTTTACATTTCTATCTTTCTCTCTCCTGTTTTTCTTTACTTTGTATTTTGTATTTTGAATCATTGTGTATGAAATAAAATTTTAAAACACATACTTCTTTTCTGACTGGACAAATAAGCAGTGGAGGCTATTTTAGGTAATTATCACTGTCGTTTTCTTGGTAATAACATGTGTAATAATATTCTCCCTCCGTCTCATAACAAACTATTTATTTTTTCATTTTAGTCCGTCTCATAATAAAATATTCATTTTCTTTTAGTAGTTGATCTACCTAACACTACAAATACCCTTACAACTTACAATATATTAGACATATATCATTACATTTATATCACACAATACGAATAAGGTTATTTTAGTCATTTCTACTTTATTCTTACTACATCCCAATATAATACGACTATTTCTAAAACTTCGTGCAAAAAATAAACGAATACATAGTTATGGGACAGAGAAAGTATTAATAATTTAAGTTAAAATTAGAAATATTTTAATATTAATACTATTATTTTTAATAAAATAAAAAATAGATATTTTGAATGATAAATAATAAATAAAAAAAAAAGTTCTTTAATTACAACCAAGAAAATATTTATATTTAATACTCCCTTCGTCCCAATATTTTTGGCTTATTACTGTAAATGCGAGAATTTAGGTAAAGTATAATTAATAAATAATTAAGAAGTGTATTAGTAAAAATAATTATTATTTAGTAAAAATAATTATAGATTAAGATTAAAATAAGTAAATAATTTAATTAAAATTAAGAAAATTATCAAATTTAAAATATGATTAAAATGTATTATTATATTTTCAAAAATAGAAAGAACAAGTTATGTAGAACGTACGAAAATAAAAAATAAGGACAAATGATATGGGACGGATGAAGTATTAATTTTGTAAAAAGATAATACTCCCTCCGTCCCATAAAGAAGTATCCATTTGCTTTTTGCACGTAGTTTTAGAAATATTAATATTATATTGGAATATAGTATGAATAATGTAGAAATGACTAAAATAATCTTATTAGTATGTGTGATATAAAAGCAATGTAATTTGTGTAATATATTGTAAGTTGTAAGGGTATTTGTAATGTTAAGTAGATAGTACAGTTACTAAAAAAAAGAAATGGATACTTTGTTATGGGACGGACTAAAATGGAAAAATGGATAATGAGAGGGAGGGAGTATATAAATTGAGAAAATATTGAAAAGAAAAATAAAAGATGTGAACAAACAAACTTTAGGATTGTACAGTAAGGGTCGTGGAATGAAAATATACTCCTTCCGTCATAATACAATAGTCTTGTTTACTATTTTTGTCCGTCTCAAAACAATAGTATCATTTTTATAAATAATCATATCACTATAAAACTACTCTTACTTTTTCATTATTATTACACAATTGTCATTACTTTTTACACTAATACACTCTTATAACGGCAAAACAAATCTTTTACCTATACTTTTTACCTAATACCAATATAATATCAATATTTTTTAAATTTCGTACCGACGCAACTCAAACTATAATTTTGGAACAGAGGTACTATATATTTAGATTAAGGAAATATCGGAACCTCCGAATTCAAAGAAAATTCTGTGTATGACGATTTTTGCTGACGTGTTAAGTGGAAAGAATTCTGCCGACGTGGCTGATAAATCCGCCCACACGGTGGATTCAAGTGACAATTTATGATGATGTGGCATACATTATATGCGTTGTCAGCAAAAAAAGTCATTATGATTTGCCTGTCGAATTTAATTTGTAGGGTATTAGGAGAGTTTAGCATTTTCGAGTAACGATTCTCACATTATAAAAAATAAAAATAAAAAATTATAACACAATTTTTTTAGACGTATATAACAAAAATATTTGTCAAAAATTGCCATGTTGGCAAATCCTAATGGAAAATGGTCGTAAAATGCAGCTGGTAAAATGCAATGTGAAATCTACATGCAGTGTTGTGATTTGTAATTCTATTTAAAAAAAAATTAAATTAAATATAAAAAATCGACCTCTTGACTGCCCAAATATGTAGACGCCCAATACATCCTCAAAGTTGCCATTTAATATGTTATTATTATCATTATTAGTATTAATGCTCAACTCAACTCTCCACATCGTGATGGGGTCTCCAAACAGAAAAGACTGTCAGATGGGATTCATTAATTCCAAACATAAACTATATTATAACTTCGTATCTCGTCTCACAAAATATATAGTAATTTTTCTTTATTGATATTTAAATATTAATTATTATATATAATATAATATAACAAAAATAACAAAAAATACACGATTATAATTTTTAAGTATAATACACAAATATAATAATATTTTTAATATTGAATACAATGATTTAAAAATATGTGTTTACTTCATAGTTGGACGGAGGTAGTATAAAATTAAAATTTTGAACGAATTAGAATTTTAATGTAACAATTTGTTAAAATAAATAAATTTAATGGAGTATAATATTTATTTAAAACTATACCATAAATAAAGTAGTATTTCTTCTTTGAGAAAAAATATTATATTATTGAAGATATATATATTTTTAATTTGATGAATAATAATTATTAATTTTTATTTTTTTTAAAATTTTTTATAATAAAACATATGCTATGTCAAAAAAAAAAAAAGACAATTAATAGATATGCTTAATATTTTTAGATAATAGAGAGACTATATGGAAATAAGTTTTTGAATATATATATATATATAAATTGAACTCTGTTTCAATAGAATTTTTTTAAATTTTGAAAATAATAAAAAATTATTTATCTAATTAATATTTTGTTAGGTAAAAAATATACTATTCTGTCTCGCAAGAAGAATATTGTTTGTTTTTTCTGTGTAATTGTATTTAATATTAAAAATATTTTTATATTTGTAATTTATTTTACAAATATTATTGTATTTATATTATAAAAGATTAAAATATATATTTTTTATTTTTGCATTCATTTGTACTATATATATTAATATAATAACTAAAATTAAAAAATTTATATTTCTTTCTTTTGAGATGAAAAAAATATTTGATTTAATAATTTTTATTAATAAATAATATAAAAAGTTTAAAAATATAAATATACATCGCACAAAATTATTGGCTACTTAATTATTACTATAATTATATATATATATATATATATATATAAATATATAAATATATTCCAACCATAATCATTAATGCTAGGGCCGCCTACTTACTTCACTACACTAAACATTTCATAGTCATTTACTTGCCCCATCCATAGGGCAACGTGCTGATTTTAATACAACCACCTTGTCTTAAATCATTATGTATGGATCCTTAGTTTTATTTGATTTTAATTTTAAATAAAAATAATAATTATTTTTATTTAAATTTAAATTCATTCTATTTGTTTAATAGAAAAAAAATTACTTATATATTCCCTCCGTTCCATAATTAAATATTCATTTACTTTTTGCATGTTAATTTTTGGATATTAATTATTATATCAAAACGTATTACAAATCAATGAAAAATTGCAAAAATATTTATATTAGTGTCTTATAATACTAATATAATGACATTTATATAAAAAATTATACAAATATAATGATATTTTTAACGTTAAGTACAATGACGCAAAAGATAAATGAATACCTTGTTATGAATCGAGGCAATATATGTTTTTCAAAATTCATGCGCACTTAAATGGACATATTACTATTTAATATTTATTAATAGAAATATATTATATTTTCTTATGAAATACTCTCTCCGTCCCACATACTATGTCCACGTTGCCGTTTCTATTCGTCCCACATATCATGTCACTTTCAGTTTTTGAAAAATGATTACACATTTTAATCTCATTTTAAACAAGATCATTGTTTTCACTAATACATTTTTAATTAGTTACTAATTACACCCTTCTTAAAATACTATGTCTACAGTGTAGCAGACAGGGTACGTGGGACGGAGGGAATATATTTTTTCCGCCAATAAAAAAATCTTCTTTTTTTCTTTATAATACAAAGAAAATAAACACTTTTGGTAAATGAAATTAATATTATTTAATAAAATATTAAATTAAAGTACTATTTAAAAATTTTAAATCAAATATATGTCCTTTCTCTATCTTTAGAAATAAAAATCATACTATTACGGAGTACTATGTTTTTACTTATTAGGTTTTCAATTTTTTTTAATAGTATTAATCGATAATATCATTTTAAAAAAATCATATCGTATGTCTAATTTGTATTCAAAATATGTTTTTTTTTGTACATTTGGATGTATCTATATTATACTACCTATCCCTGAACTATAGTTTGGGTTGTGTTTAACACGGAATCTAAGGAACATTGATATTATATTGGTAGTGGATAGAAAATACGAATAATATATTTTTTTGCCCTTGTGAGTGTATTAATGTAAAAAGTAGTGGCAATTGTGTAATAATAATGAAAAAGTAACAGTAGTTTTATAGTGATATGATTATTTATAAAAATGAGACTATTATTTTGGGACTGACAAAAATAGTATACAGAATTATTGTATTAGAACGAATGGAGTATTAAATATAAAAAATCATATCCTTAAAATAAAAATAATAATATTGTATATTTAATTATTAACTTTTTACAAATGAGAATAAAATATATTATATATATTGTGTTTGTATATATACATATATTATATTTTTTATAATATTCATTATGAACCAAGTCATAAAAATATTAGGTGAACACATTTATTATCTAAAAAATTTAAGTTTTTTTTTATTTGGAATTTGTTTCAATATTTGTTAATATGCAATCTTGTGATTCTTTAGAAAATTATCTTATTTTTTTCATAAAATATTAAGGTAAATTACTATTTAAATTGTGATTCTTTAGAAAATTATCTTATTTTTTATCATAAAATATTAAGGTAAATTACTATTTAAATTAAAAGTCAAAATTATTCTCCATTGAAAATATTGCATTCTACATTTATTTCTATTACCTCGAATACCAGTGTGTTTAGTTATTATTATTATTATTATTATTATTATTATTATTCATATATACAATGATTTAATATAATATTTTATACGAGAAAATAATATATTTGAATTGAAAATTCTATTGATGGTAAAAAATATATATATAAGGTTGCAAAAGAAATAAAATCCTATTTACTATTCAATTATTTATTATTTCTAAGTCAATTCAAAAAATTTAAATAGTTTTATAAAACACATCCAACCTGTATATATGTTTTCAAAATTATTTATATTATATACCTTTCAATATTTCAAAACAAATTTATTTATACTTTTATATTCCTTTCACTTTTTTAAGGAAATAAATGCAATTATATATGTAAATAACATATTAATTTATAAATTAATTATTTATATATATTATATATAATTTAATTTTTAAAAGAATAATATTTATTTAAGTATAATTTTGTTGATGTATTATATTATAAATATATTAACACAATGTTTATTAACTATGTTTTTTAATGGACTTAGTGTTGGTATTGGATACCAAAAATTATATTGGTAATACAAAAAATAATTATATATATATATATATTACATTTTTAAATAATATTTATGTGAAATAAAGTCATCCTTAGTCTTTTATTTAAATATCTATATTAATCCATGTATTTAATCCTAATATATTTATGCTATAATCAATTATATTTAATAGATTACATATTATTATGATTATTATAAAGGAAGCATCATGTGAGATTAAAGTACAACTACCACCACTATCAACTCGATATTAATTATAATAATGGATATGTCGCAATAATTGGGACCTACACATTAATATTTGGCCCTAAATGTTTTACTTAATCAAGTCTTCCTTCACCGGTCCAAAAGTTTTCCATATAGATCAACTTCCCTATTCCATCCCAAAGCAAAATGTCACTATCTATCTTATTCAATACATATATATATATATATTGCAAGTAGTACACACACAAAGATTCCAATGTAGGCCCATTATGTTTAGGCCCAAATATTGGAAAAACCCAATCCAATATAATGACTTAACATAATATAGTTCAAAATAGTAGAGCATGATCTGTTTCATGAATACACAATAATACTACTTATATAATTGAATCAAATTGGATTTCATTTTAGTCAGAGTCTTCTGGTTTACTATTTTTGATCAATACTATATATATATAGGCAAAGCAACTACTCAGGTAAATATAGACCAAATATAGAAATGTCTATATATATATATTGTATTTATATGCATGTATGCAATAAATCACCTGATCTAGCTTTGCTCACATCTTAGCACCTCTGGTGATCATTATGTCGCCATACGCCTCTGTCTGTTCGACTCTCACGTAGTCAAGTGTAGCAAGAACTGCGGCAACATTATTTGATTAAGCACATTATGCGTTACAATGGAGGATGCAATTTCAGGAATTGTAGAGAAGGCTGAAGAAGATGATACCACAAGTCTGATAGAAAAGAGTAGCTGCAGCCTTTTTGCTCATTCCGAAAGCCAACTGGTTTAGGTGCTCGGCCTTGGCAGTTCCCTGTCTGTCGAAATGAGCCTTGAAGTGCCTGCAAATTCATCAGATTACTTATGGATGGAAATAATTCAATAAGTTTGAGTAATTTTGATGTGATCACATTCTGATGGAGTCTGTTATATGGTCAAGCGGCTGCGGAGTGGCAGACGGAGGCTTCTGTGTTTGCGTCGGTCCTGTTTCCAGTAATGGCTCTGCAGTTTATACAGAGATTAGCTGAAAGAAATGAAAATAGTTAAGATTTTAACTAAGAGAAATAAATACGAGAGTTCTTAATTTTTACCATCATTTGGTGCTAAGTTAAAGTTAGGATCCGAATGCTGCCACGAGAGCTCTTCAGCGACAGGTTCGAGTCCTTTCATGCTGTTGTTGGAAGCTGAAAAGGGTCGTTTTTTGCCAGACCTAAATCAAGTAAAATAATCAATAAATGCATTAGTAATGCTTCTTGACATAGGCCAATGGACAATTTCTGTAATAGTTATAGCTCACCATCCAGAACTGATGTCTGAATTGTGTGAGAAGCCATGGCCAGACCCTGAGCTCGGGATCGATCTTATTTCATCACCTACAGCATCATACATGGACGTATGTGGTTAAAATGCAATGAATTTATACGTACACAACGAAAGTCCAGTGCATACCGGAGTTTCCTGGAGTAGCCGTCATATTAATCTTAGATGCACTTAAGCCTTCATTTCCATCTTTCATTTCGAATCCATTGTCTTTAAGGTTGTTCCTGAGCTCTTCCAAAAATGTATCGGGCGGCAGGTCATGGTTATTGTCCTTTGCTCTAGCTTTCTCAATGGAAATTTCCTTCGCCAGAGTGTCAATTCTACTGTGAAGATCTTCGAAAGGCTGCATTATTCAAGTTCTTAATTAGTCAAAAAGAGCCGTCTTGCTTTTCAACAATTTAGAAAGAGATGCTCTAGTTGTGACACACATCACCCATCTGTTCCCTAAAATGCACTCTTTCTGGTGGAGACGATGAGGATGATGGTTGTGGTGGGACATGAGAGGTTCGACCTGTAAAAACATAGGTTTTAGCATCTGTTCTGTCTTTTTACAAATCATATCCTCCATACAAAGTGAAGAAGATCAGACCTGAAGGCGAATCATGGGGAGGTTGGGTGCATCTGATCCACATTTCCATCAGGGGTGCTGGATAGTGAATTTGCCTATTCCCACTTGTGACCAACCTCTCCACAAGTACAATGGAAGGAAGTTCCATCAGAGTAGCCATCTTCATTGTAGACAACAAATCCGTAGGCAACTGCAAATTACTCGAACGTTATTCTTCTTAATACTACTATGTAAAATTTCCAGGGAAACTAGGCATAAAATAGACTTTCTTTGGTGTATTTAGCACGTAAATGTGAAGTTCTGTTCTGATAGTTGGATAGAAAGCATTACCTTTCGCTTCTTTCTTCTTCTTGAAATAATATCAGAAGAATTCTTAAGCCAGGATTGATATGTCTGGCCTGGAATTATGTTTTGCTCATAATCCATAGCAAGAACTGCAGGTCTTTTTCCCTTCCTTCGTGCAACCCTTTGCTTTGCTTGATTTTTTTTCTGCCAAGAATATACTTGAAAGTTATTGGTTTGATGCATTATGCTGATGCTGCATTTATATAGGTGAATGCTAAACAACCTCGTTAGCCTTCTCCATTTCATCGCACTGTGGCTTGAATTGTTCCTCAGGGTGATTTTCTTGGATTTCATCAGCTATGAGAATTCAAAACATTAAAATGGAGGCAACACCCTAACATTATAATAAATTTATGCAACCTATGCAAATTGAGTTGTGAGACTCTTTGGTTTCAAGGGCTACACAGAACCCAAGCTGCAAAAAAGTGATGAAACAGAAACATAAAGACAAGAAGACTGCAATTCAGGTGTGTCCCATTACCCCAACAATGCAATCAGTAAAACTTATTTGTCCTTACATTTGCGGATATCCTCATTTTGAGGTGGTGATGGTATGAGACTGGTTGGGATCTCAGTGAACTCTGGTGGAGTGAAATTCATATGAATTTCCCCATCCCCTTCTATATCAAACCTGTAGCACTAATCTCAGAGTCAAGAACCAAAACCACAATGTACAAAATCTAAAGGCATATATCATTAGTTTTATTTCACCTTTCGAAGCGATTGAATGCAGAAGCATCAGGTTGATATGAATCATAATTATCAAGTAAGGTAATATTAGCAGCATCAGCTGCAATGGAAATAAAAAAAGAAATAGTTGCTTCTTAGTTGATTAATACCAACCAGAAAACTTGCAAGGAGTTCACAAGCTTAATAATTCATTGATTCCCTCGTTTTACAGGAATTAATGATACCTTGATGGTGGTCATTGTTCAGATCATCCGAGGGGATTTTACTCGACAAAAGGTCTTCAACACTGTCCAATCTCTGCATGTTGGCAAATTCTGTTTTAGCACTTTCAATAAGCAAATTTTGCAGCAGAGCAAATGTTGAAGATAGCAGATACTGGATGCACTACTAAGTGCATCCTTCATTGCTGATTATAGTAATCAAACAAACAAGCAAAAGTTTATGCTGGCAAAAAATGATGTGTATGGTTTCTAAAAGGCCTCCGCAGCCCAGGTATGCATGATACCTTAAGTCTGTTCTTATAACTACTAAAGGTTTTTATAGGGACTTTTTTTTTTCCATCGATTCAACAACTTAGGAACCCTTACCATGGCAATATAAGAGGTCTGCTGAAAACCCATCATGGTGGTTCCATTAGAATGTGTAAACGCTTCCTCAGTCTCCCCCAGGTCTTCCTCACGATTAGGTGGTAATGTAACAGCTTCGTATCTACAGAATCAGTTGGAGAAAAAGAGAAGATTAGATGCATTCCGATGAACAGCATTAGCATTTCCAGTACTGTCACTTTATTAGTGACTATCTTTGCCAACATTTCAAATTATAGTTAGAATTTAGTAACTGCTGTAGAAAAGGTAATCAGTTACAATTGCGCTTGTCTTCTAGATTCTTATATTGCTATAATGTTCATAGATGAAAATCTTCAGCTATGCTTTTTTTCTGACTGAACTATATCAGAGGCAGCATTTTAGGAGTTATGGAGTCATCAAATATCAATGAAATTCTTTCAGATTCAATTCAAAATTAGTGAGAAAAGAATTAAAGCATGGAGACTTGCTTGGCTTGTGATTTCCCCTTGGGAAGTCTAGTTGGATCCGATGGAGCAGTTTTAACCCTCCAAGCTTCATTTATTTCCACCTAACAAAATGTAAACCGCAGTAATGTCCTAAACCCTTGACCAGAAAATCTCCCAACTACAGTTTCAGCAGTGATGTTACCAGCAGACGGGTGACATCATCTGTAAACAACAGCATTATGCAATTAAGCCGTTGTAGTACCCATTTTGAATAAAGAAGTAAGAAAATCAAGACAAGTTTAAGTAGATGAACTTACCGTAGAGAAGCTTAACTTTTCTTTCGTAAACAATTACAACTCCGCCTGAGAAATATCGAGTTTAAGGGTAACGTTGAGAAATTGTTGATTGTAATTAAAATGAATGAAGCAGAAATTGAAATGAATAAATGCATTTCGATACCCATTAGAATTCCAGAGAGCCTGAGAGCCATGGGAACTGAAGGATTTAAGATCTCTTCGCTGAAACAAAAATATCTGAAATTAGAGAAACGTACATACACACATATATATATATATATATATATCAATAAATAAATCACAATATATGAAATTCAAAGGAAACTTGCATCACCAGATTTTGATGATGTCGAGCTTGTCCAGCCTTCTCCTGTGAATCTTCGCATGCATTGTTGCTGCCATCCTTTAAACAGAGACACACACACACAGAAAACACAAGTCGAATCCATTGTTCAGAGTTTTAACGTAGCAAAACAGATTAGATGTAAAAAGCTGTCCAACAGATTGCAATTAAGAATGCTAAATTCTCAGAAACGTTGATGACGACTTATATATTATTCAGAGTTAAAGAATTAAAAAAAAAAAAAAAACACGAAAATCAAACACACTAAACGATCAACATATTGATATCCACAGTGAACCAACACAACAGACACCCTTGCAACTTCATCAAACTCAAGAACACAGCCAAATGTTCCGACATAAAAACAGAGTACAAACTTAAGGAAAGCCACAATCCGACTAATCAACTGAACACTAAATCAAATTTAGCAACGTAGCAGAGACACTGCGCCAACTCAAGATCATAGCCAAAATTCCGAACTCCAAACAGAGTATAAACTATCAAAAGAGCCTCAATCCATCAAATCAACTAAATCTTCAACTAAAACTAATACTGCACCAATCTAATTCTATATACAATTTCAACAACATTACACACACGGAGAGACACCAGCATATAAAATAAGGAAAATAAATTCACCATATCTGGCCGAGCGGAGCTTTGCGTGCAAGAAGCTGATGAGAGTAAAACATACTGAGAGCGTTGAAGAAGAGAAGAACTACAAGTAGGACGTAAGGAAATGCAGCTTCCGTGAGCAGTGCAGTCTGCAGCAGGAGGGAGGGAAGCGTGGGCTTGAGTATCTGTTTGTATAACAGTAGAGTAGAGTAGTGAGTGCTGCTGTCAGAGTGTAACGAACTGGTTGCCCGCGGCGCCAAGGAAGAGAAATTTCAGAATGCTGTGCGGTGCACGCACACCACGCCATCGCCGTGGCACCGTAGCCGTTCTGTTCCATCCCCGGCCATTCATAGGCTCGCTGATAAATAAATAAATAAAGGCCTCGAATAGAAAGCCGACGTTGGTTTAACATCGCAATATTTATCACAAAATACTCGGTGCTTTCAATTTCATAGGAAATTAAAAAATAATATTTGTATATAAGACAATTTTAATATGTATAAATATAAAAATAAAAATATTTTATGATTCATTTTCTTATGTAATTAACATGTATTACTATTCAAAATTCAACCTATCAATAATTTAATTTCATTTGTATATAAATGTATTTCTTGAGGATGTGTTTAGTCAATAAAAAATGTAAGAGTATTTCTTTTTTTTTTTTTTTTTTTTTTTTTTTTTTGCGTAAATTTTATTTTTAGTTTCGCAAGTGGACTCTTGTAATTTTAGTTCTATAAGTAGAGTCTATGGTAAACTAGTCTCGTAAGTGTAAAAAATTTTGTTGTTTTAGTCCTCCGGTGCCGGAGACGCTCGCGTGACTCACTGGAAGCCACTTGTCCGCCAGGTGTCCCGCCAGGTTAGTGACACTTGGTGGACACGTGGATTTTATTTTATTTTTCATTTTTTTAATTTTTTTTAATTTTTTTAATTGGACAAAATAAATAAAATTAAAAATAAAAATAAAAAATAAAATCCACGTGTCCGCTAGGTGTCGCTGACCTGGCGGACACGTGGCCTCCGGCGAGCTACACGGGCGTCTCTGGCGCCGGAAGACTAAAACAGCGAAAAATTTTCAATTATGGACTAGTTTGCGATAGGCTCTACTTACGAGACTAAAATGATAAAGAAGTCTACGAGACTAAAAAAAATAGTTTCCCCTGTATTTTTTTTTTTCAATTTTTGTATATTAATGTTTTATTTTTTAAAAATATAATATTAATTATAGCTATAAAAAGTTATTTTAGAAAAATAATATAAAATATTTTAAAAATATTTTTTTTGAAATTAAAAATAGAATTAAAAATTAAATAAAAATACAATAGGAACTGCATTCATGAATTAAATATGGCTTAAGCATTAAGAAATGTGGCTGTGGATGTGAATAAGCCGCTCTGCTCGTCCGAACCAAACCCAAATAAAGGCAACTTAGGCTCGGACTCTGAGCTTGGGGCTTGGGCTCGGACTCGTGGCCCTTTGAGCTTGGTAAATATTTGACTTGATGAGATTAAATTTTATTCTGAAGCTCAAGCTCAAATTAAAAATAAATTAAAAAAAAAAAATCTTGTTTTTCAAAAATAAAGATAAAGCTCCGGGAAATAGTCTTTTTTTTCTTTTTTTTTTCCAAAAAACAAATAAATAATTGTTTTTCATTAAAAATATTTTATTTATTACTAAAACGTCATATTACTTTTTAGCATTTTAACTATTTTTTCTACATTTTTTACTATATAAAAAAAGGAATACAACACATTAAAATCGACGCTTAAAGTTAATAAGTTTATCTTTTACCTAACAAAAGAGTATATTATATTAAATAATTATTTTAATTTAAGACCCAAATTCAAAATCAAAATTTTACGAACAAAACATACTCATAACTCTCAAAATATAGTAAGTAGCAAAAGGACAAAACATTAGATAACAATGGAGTAATAATAATTCTCCCTCCGTCCCAAATACCGTGGCCGCTACACTGTAGACACCGTATTTTAAGAGAGATGTAATTAATAGATAATTAAAAATGTATTAGTAAAAATAATTATTCTACAATATATATAATTATAAATTAAGATTAAGATAACTAATTAGTTTAATTAAAATTAAAAAAATAAAATTAAAAAATTTAAAATGAGATTAAAGTATGCAATCAAAGTGACATGGTATTTGAGACGGTTAATAATAATAATAATAATAATTAATAATGTATTTTTCAAGTGGTTGGGCCCACACAAAAATTTTGAAAAATAAAATAAGGGTGTGTTTGTTTAAGAGTTTGAATTTTGAGTTGTGATTTGAATAGTAAAAATTTTGAATTTGAATAATTGTATAATGTGATATAAATACGTGTTGATGTGATGTTTTGAATGTAAAATTGATTTTTAGTATAATATAAAAAATAAAAAATAAGTATTTGATTTGATATTTTTTAAGAAAAAAAATAGAATGAAAAGTGGAAATCCAAACAAATTCTTCGAACAAACAAACCCTAAGTCACACATAATTACACGGCATCAGTTGCCAAATATATATAGTCTTAGATTATATATTTAAAAGAGATTAAAAAAATACAAAATTAGAAGTGAATCATGTTAAACAAATTTACAGAAATTCATATTCTAATTGATATGATCATATACTCTTTCGTTCCAAAATATCATATTTAATACTCTCGCTTGGCCTATTAAAAATATCTATTTATTATATCAGTATGAATAATTACATATTACTATTAAAATAATATTTACATTTTATATAAATTATAAATATATCAATATACATACCACGTCATCTGCCATATAGATTTATTAGACTTTTATAATATTAATACAATTTTATTTATAGATAAATTATTTAAATATAAAAATATTTTTAATATAAAATATAAACTAACTTGCACCGCAACCGAGAGTAATAAAACTTAATAAAAATGCTAATACGAAGATATAAGACTTGCAGAACGGAAATTTCTCCTGCAGCTTTTGAAATTTTCATGTTAGAAAAAAAAAATGATTAATATATTAGTCTATTATAAAATAAAATAAAATACTGTCCGGCCATAAGTGCCAGCGTTTGTCTCTCTGAATCTCACTCTCTACGTGGGGCGCCATTAATTTACTTCTCCTTCCTTCAGTCAAACCTGCACCCTCCAAAACCGCCGCAGCTGTCGCCGGCGACCGTCCTCCGCCGCGATGCATCCTTCTCTGCTCCTCCTCCTCCTCATCCTACTTCCGCTCTCCGCCGCTTCATCGCTACCGCACCACCATTCCGATTTCACCAAAAGTCGCCTCCGCCGGTCCTCCGAACCGCCGCGAGAATACGTCGAGATCGCGCGTCCTCTATCCACCGACTCCCTCACTCCGTCATGCACGCTGCAGATCCTCTCGCACAGCTTCGGAAACTGTTCCGCCTACCGCGCTCCGACCAATACTACCTATTCGCATCCTCTGAATTGCAGGTGGTCACGCGCCGTGTTGCATCTCTCCGCCGCGGCGAACGGATCTCAGCGCGACCGAATCGCCGCCGTTTGGCTCTCCGGCGCGGAGATTCTCCGCACCAGTCCCCCGGAGTCGACTTCTAACGAAGCAGTCTGGAATGTTCGGAAGGATGTTACGAGATACTCCTCTCTCCTCCGGAAATCGAATCTCACTCTGTCGGTTATGCTGGAGAACGTCGTTAATGGCGTGTACCATCTGAATCTCACCGTTCTGTTCTACGACGTTGCTACCAACGAAACCGCCGTCTCCGTTAACTCTCCGTTATCTCTGTTTTCGCCAAATCGGAAGGCAATGATTAGGGAATTAGGAGAGCTCCAGCCTGTATCAATCCCAGAGAATTACTCTTTGGAAATGGATGAAAATCCTGCCGATTTGATTATCCCCATATCTGCAAGCGGAGAGGAAGGATTTTGGTTCAAAATCCAGAGCCAACACGACGCCATCTACCATGGAATCAAAATTCCACCAAACACGTACAGAGCTGTAATTGAGGTATATGCTTCATTCCATGGATACGATGAGTTCTGGTACTCGAACCTCCCTGATTCCTACATACAGTTGAATCATTTGCCTACAAAAAGAGGCAACGGAGCGTATCGAGAAGTCGTAGTAAGAATTGATAACAATGTTGCTGGATCATTGATTCCATTTCCTGTAATCTACGCAGGAGGAATCAATCCATTGTTCTGGGAACCTCTGGTTTCAATTGGGGCTTTTGATATTCCTTCTTATGAAATCGAATTGACTCCATTTCTAGGCACATTGCTTGATGAGAAAGTGCACTATTTAGGGCTTGGGGTCTCTGATGCTCTATCATTCTGGCTAGTCGATGCAAATCTGCATTTATGGTTAGATACTAAAGTGGACAAGGTTCAGGCTGGGGTAATTAGCCCCGGCGATCCGAGCAAATCTGAGATCGAGCGCGAGTCTAAGTTCCAGCAGCTGGATGGGAAGTTTGAGGTTGAGGGGACGAGGAAAATCGAGGTCTCAGGGTGGGTGAATTCGAGTGCTGGAAATATCACCACCATTGTTACCAGCAAGGTGAAGCTCGAGAATGAGATAAAGCTGAAGAGCAATGGAACAGTAAAGGACATCGACCATGAAGTAAAGATGACTAGTAAAGTGACCCTAAAGTCTGATGCAGGGCAGATCATTTCCTACGTCGAAGTGGAGAAGAAGTACCCTCTCGAAATGACAATAACCAGCCTGCCCGGATCAGGATCAGATGACTACTTGATGATCACAAAGCTGGAGAATTCAATGGAGGAGGAGAGGAAGAATGGCACGTTTAAGAGCAGTCTAACCAACACTCAGAAATCGAACGGGTGGATGTTTGTGGAGGATTGTAATGTGATATCTGGTGCATCGAGCACGCATCAAACGTATGAAATCAAGGATAGTTTTGGTTGCTATAGCCGTGATGTTCTTGCTGAAGATGGCTCGATCAAGAGCGACACCGAGTATCTTGTCTGTGCAGTTGTTGCTGCTTCATGAGATGAGAATGGAGCTTAAGTTTGGTAATGATCTCTTCCCTTCTTCAGCTCTTTTTCTTTTTATGAACATTTGAATGCCTTTTTTTGTTGTGTGTTTGGTTTTAGGAGTAATGGTTTGGTGTTGTTTGTGTGGGAAAGATTTTGTGGAATCACTGCTTGGTTCTTGAATGTTTTAGATAAAAAGTTGGCTCTTTTTATGCCTGTTTAGTATATAATCTTTGGTAAGTTTAATAAGATAGGTTGGATCAAATCTTAGAGGTTGCTTTATTCTATAGTGAAAGAGAAACTTCTTCAACTTTTAGTTTATGAGCTTATTGTGAAATACTGTGCTAATAAGATGTTATAATATTTTATACGACACATTGTAACATATTATTATTATTATTATTATTATTATTATTATTGAAAACTGTTACGAGAAAACGAAAAACGAAAAAGAAAGAAGACAGAGATTTTACGGGATTCGGTGACGGTGTGTAACCTATGCCACGGGCAAGAACCGAATAGATTTTATTATACTGATTCAGAAATTTACAATTATGTCATCCGACTAAGAACCATAGTGTCTATTTAGAAGCATCCCAAAACACCATAAATTCTAAGTTTATTTGTTATTAATTAGGTAGACCGCAAAATCAAGTCCTGTTTCAACAATAATCATATTTTTTCACACTATTAACTCTTCAACCAAAAATACTATGTTTCTAATAAGTTGTTACAATATTTTACATTACACTCATGAGTGAAATTGTAACACATTATTATTATTATTATTAACCATATTTGTTCAGACTATTGACTTTTCAACAACAAATACTATTTGTCTAATAAATTGTTACAAAATAGGACACTCATGGGGTAATATTGTAACACATTATTATTATTATTATTATTATTATTATTATCATTATTATGTGTCTAATAAGTTGTTACAATATTTTACATGACACTCGTTGGGTGAGATTGTTATATATTATTATTATTATTAACCATATTTGTTTACACTATTGACTAACAACAAATACTATTGTCTAATAAGTTGTTACAATATTTTACATGACACTTATGGGTAAGATTGTAACACATTATTATTATTATTATTAAATATATTTGTTCACACTGTTAATTCTTTAATACAAATACTATGTGTCTAATAAGTCGTTACAATATTTTACATGACACTCGTTGGGTGAGATTATTATTATTAACCATATTTGTTCACACTATTGACTCTTCAACAATAAATAATATGTATCTAATAAGTTGTTACAATATTTTACATGACATTCATGGGTGAGATTGTAACACATTATTATTATTATTATTATTATTATTATTATTATTATTATTATTATTATTAACCATATTTGTTTACACTATTGACTCTTCAACAACAAATATTATGTATCTAATAAGTTGTTACAATATTTTACATGACACTCATGGGGTAAGATTGTAACACATTATTATTATTATTAACCATATTTGTTCACACTATTGACTCTTCAACGACAAATACTATGTATCTAATAAATTGTTACAATATTTTATATGACACTCATTAGGTAATATTGTAACACATTATTATTATTATTATTATTATTATTATTATTATTATTATTATTAATCATATTTGTTCACACTATTGACTCTTCAACAACAAATACTATGTATCTAATAAGTTGTTACAATATTTTACATGACACTCATGAGGTGAGATTGTAACACATTATTATTATTATTATTATTATTATTATTATTATTAAACCATATTTGTTCACACTATTAACTCTTCAACAACAAATATTACGTGTCTAATAAGTTGTTACAATATTTTACGTGACACTCATGGGGTAAGATTGTAACACATTATTATTATTATTGATAACTATATTTGTTCACACTATTAACTCTTCAACAACAAATATTATGTATCTAATAAGTTGTTAAAATATTTTACATTAGGGGTGAGATTGTAACACGTTGTTATTATTATTATTATTATTATTATTATTATTATTAATAATAACCATATTTGTTCACACTATTAACTCTTTCACTACAAATACTATATGTCTAATAAGTTGTTCCAATATTAAATGATATTCATGGGGCGAGATTGTAACACATTATTATTATTATTATTATTATTATTATTATTATTATTATTATTATTATTATTATTATTATTATTAACCATATTTGTTTACACTATTAACTCTTTAACAATAAATATAATGTGTCTAATAAATTGATACAATATTTTACATGACACTCATGGGGTGAGATTGTAGCACATTATTATTATTATTATTATTATTATTATTATTATTATTAACCATATTTGTTCACAATATTAACTTTTCAACAATAAATAGCTTTATTTAACTGCTTTTAACTTATTAATTTTTTATTTTTTTATTTTTTTATTTTTTTTTTTATGGTCAACCGGTTTAGTAAACTAGTATTTTCAAATAACTTATAAAAGTGAAAAAAATTAGTTTTGAAAAAACTAATAAATACAATGTTTCATATTTGGGTGTGTTTGTTTGGTGGATTGGATTTTAAATGTATTATTTATTTCATTTTTGTCCCAAAAATATCAAATTAAATACTTATTTTTTAATTTTTATATTACACTACATTTAAAACATTACATCAACATCTATTTACATCACACGACTATTCAAATTCAAAATTTTTACTATTCAAATCTCAATTTAAAATCTAAATCCCCAAACAAACACAATGTTGCCTTATTTTGCCTTTTTTTTTATTGTACTCTGCTGAACTTTTTATTTTACTCCCTCGGTATTCTTTTATTTTTTGCGCCTTAATCTTTGGATATTAATTATTATATCAAAACGTATTACAAAATAAGAAAAAATTGCAAAAATATTTTTATTAGTGTCTTATAATGCTAATATAATGAAATTTGTATAAAAAATTATACAAATATAAAGATATTTTTAACGTTAAGTACAATGATGCAAAAGGTAAAGAGTATTATTTTTGTTTGTCTAAATTAAAACTTTTTATTATTCTTTTAAAGTAAACATAACTTTTAACTAAATATTAAAATACTTAATTTTATTATTATTATTATTATTATTATTATTATTATTATTATTATTATTATTTTATTACAATATATATTTATAAACCTAATTATCTTAATTCCCGCGCAAGGGGTTAAATGGAAAACTTATCGATCAGTATTATTTTAGTATATCTATTTTTCAATTAGGTTCTAATTTTAATTTTATAAATTCATGACAATTGAAAATATTAATTGTTCTATATAATTTTTTTTTTTTTTTTTGTAAATACATAAATTGAATTTGAATTTTTATTTCATTTATAAAAATTATTAATATCAAATATTTTTTACCAAATGTTTTAATATAAACACCTAAAACAATTAATTAACTAGTCAACTTAATTAATCTAAAAATAACAACTAATGGTCAAGTAAAACCTGTTCCAAAAAATCAAATTATGACACTTTAAAGAGTGAGAGAAAATGTAGGTAGAATATACTCCTTTATTGATTCAAATCTATGTTCATTTTATTTTTTGAATTGTCATAAAAAAAATATTTTTATTTCTTTTTTAAATAAAAAATTATTACACTTTTATATTTTTTTACTATAAAATAAAAATGTAATTATTATTACTCACTTTTATTAAAACTCGTACCCGGTCAAATGAGCACATATTTGTACGATGAAGGAAGTAGTATTTATTATATTTCTATTACTTACTAATTTTATGTTTTTCAATATTAAAAATAAAAATTATATTCAATCTTAATTGTTATTCAATTATATCTTATCCAAATTTTTATTATATTATTTTACAATAAAAATATAGTAATTTTTCAAATATAAAAAGAATAAATAATGTGAATAAAATTTATCATCCGGATGAAAATGGTAAAAAGATATTTAAGTCGGAATAGAAAAAATAATATTTTAATATAAAATGAAATGATAAATTAAAAATATTATTAGAAAATTATTAAATAATTAATAAAAATAATAAAGTAAATAAGAAAATTATGGTAAATTGATTACTATTTATAAAAAAAGAATTAATATATTATACTTACTCATTATTGTGTCTGTAATAATAAAAATAATAAGTAGGTATAATATATTATTTTTTTAAAAAAATATGTGTTGTTTTTTTAACAAAACAAACAAATATGTAGTATTTTGAATATAAATAAAAATTTATTTATGATATAATAAATAAAAAATAAATATATAATTCGTCATTCAATAATTTTAGGGGAAATAATTAAAATACTAAAATCATAGCTAAAATTTCACAAACAAATACATTCGAAATTACACATTTCTTATTGGATAAACTGTTTTTTTAGTTGTGTATTTGACCTCTTTATTATTTTAAGACTTCAAGTGGAACATGTTTGAAAATAGTCTCGTAAGTAAAAATTTTTCACTAAAATGATCATCCGGTGCCGAACTCGTTACAGTGGCCAGCCGTGCCAATGCGGTGCTGACGCGGCTGACATATTATCGTCATGTAAATGTCACGTCGGATGACTATTTTCAGACATAATCCATTTAAATCTCCTAAAAATGATAAAAGATGTCATATACGATACTAAAAAAAATAGTTTACCAAGACATTTTATAAAATTTAAAAAAAAAAAAATTCAATGCGTCACTGACGTCGCATTTACGTGACGATGATACGTCAGCCGCATCAGCGCCACGTCAACAACGGTGGGCCAACTTGGCGAGTCCGACACCGACTATTTTAACAAAAATTTTGTATTTATGAGACTATTTTAAAAAATGATCCATTAAAATCTTAAAATGATAAATAGGTTAAATACATCACTAAAAGAATAGTTTACCATTTTTTATTTTATATTATATTAAAAAAAATTATATTTATAATATCATACTAATAACTATTTATATCATATAAAATAGTTATTTCATTCAAATTTTATTATTCAAAATTTAAATTCAAACCAAAAAAAAAAAAAAGAAAAGAAAAAAAAACTTATATATATACATATATTTAAAAAAATACGGACCCATAATAAATGCCAATGAATACTCACCCATTTCAATTCAATGATATCTTCAATTTTATATTACATTATTCATATGTATACATATCCAAAATCTTAGAACTCATCCTATTTAATACATACTTTTCGTACAAATTTTTATTAATTTCGAAATGATTAAAAACATCAAAATGATTTCAAAATGCTCCTTCTGTCCCACATAATTTGTGCCTATTTTTTATATTCGTCTGTCCACATAATTTGTCTTTTCTATTTTTGGAAATATAATTATGCACTTTAATCGCATTTTAAATTATAATTTTATAATTTTTTTTTAATTTTAATTAAACTATTTACTTAGTTTAATCTTAATCTATAATTATTTTTACTAAATAATAATTATTTTTACTAATACACTTTTAATTACTTACTAATTATATTTTACCTAAATTTCTGTGTCTACAATAATACACATATATTAGATGGGACAGAGGAAGCATATATTTAAGAATCATTGATTCATCTTTGGATACCATACCAACAACATATATATATATATATATAACCAAATAGAGCTATTCCATCGTAATCATACATAGGAATAATACATAGGGTGTATTTGTTTGGGGATTTGGAATTTGAATAATAAAATTTTTTAATTTAAATAATTATATGATGTGATATAAATAGATATTTTGAATATAAAATTAATTTTTAATATAATATAAAAAAAATAGATATTTAATTTAATATATTTTTTGAAAAAAAAATTGGAATAAATAGTGCATTTGGGGTAGAATTCCCGAACAAACACACCCTTAATACAAAAACAAAAGTACAATAATATGACCGTACACATTGTTATTCAACACCTTTATAATTTTGCCCACCTATAATTTTATTTAATTATTTTTGTTGCATGTGATAGAGAATTATTGGACATGTTAGTCACACGCACACATCCACACCTTTCAATTTTCTTTGTTAATTTAATTATCCTTAAATTCAAATTTTCAATTAGCACTGACACGACTTATTTTTAAGATAGGTACAAAGCTATTGATTAAAATGAAAATGAAAGCTATTTATCATCCTCACAATAATTAACACATTTTTCATATTTATTTGTCTGACATCTTTTTATTTTAAATAAAATTTATTAAATTTAAATATATTTAATAAATACTATAAATCAACTTAATTAACTACATAGTATATAACATAATACATCATGTAGGATCCACTCAAAACTCTTTTATTTTTGTGTCTCATAAAAGACAAATATTTTTTAATAAATATTTAAAACTCCACATTTTCTATTAAAAGGTAAACGGTTAGCAGACCATCTTTATCATTTTAGGATTTTAAATGGAATATGTTAGAAAATAGTCTTGTACGTAAAATTTTTTCGATAAAATGATCCTCCGGTGGCGGACTCGTCACGTTGGCCCGCCATTGCTGACATGGCGCTAACGCGATTGACATGTCATCGCCATGTAGATGCCACATTAACGACACATGTTTTTTTTTTTTTACAAAATGTCTTGGTAAACTATTTTTAGTATCGTAAATAATCTCCTTTATCATTTTTAGGACTTTAAATGGATAATGTTTGAATATAGTCTTGCAAGTAAAATTTTTTCGTTAAAATAGTCATCCGACATGGCATCTACGTGGCGATGTCAACTGCGGCAACGCCACGTTAGCAATGGAGGACCATTTTAGCAAAAAAGTTTTACTTACGAAACTATTTTCAGAGATGATCCACTTAAAATTCTAAAACGATAAAGTGGATCAGAGGACTAAAAAATAGTTTATCCTATATAAAATTAATTATATCAATTATAAATAAATAAGCGTATTTTTTTTATTTAATTGTATCATAGAAAATTGTATTCTTTACAAATTGATATTCATATCGTATGTATTTTTTTATTATCATATAATTTTTAAAATATTTAAATACATATTCTAATTTTTTTTAATCATATATATTAAATTTAGAGAAAAAAAAAAGTAGTGCTATTTAATTATATTATTATCACTTTCGGTCCATACAAAAAAAAATAATAATAATAATAATAATCAAAACTAATCTTATTCAAGTAATTTTTCATTAATTTTAGTCCTTTTCTTCACAATCCAAGGGAGTGCATTGATGTAAAGGTAATAGACGCTAATGTATTGATTAATTTCAAATAAACACGGCCGTGCTTACGTTTTCACGTTCAAACAAGCAGCAGTAAACACGCCCGTGTTTCTTCTCCTCCAAATCAGATGCTATGTTGAAGAGATCGAATCGGCGGGATTGCAGACGGCGACTGATTCTATTCCCCTGAAGCTATTAGCATTTTCATTCGATATTTATACTCATCCCGGTAACCATCAATTCGCCTTAAAATTCTTGTGGTGCTATGAGATTGAACAATATATATACATGACAATGTCTCTTTTCAGATATTTTGATACTCCCGTCGTCCATGAACAATATATCTATTTTTTTATTTGATTCGTTCCATAACAAAATATTTATTTTATCTTTTTAGTAATTATACTTTCTACTTAACATTACAAATATTTTTTCAACTTACAATATAGTACACAAATAACATTACATTTATATCACATAATACTAATAAGATTATTTTAGTCTTTTTTACTTTATTTATACAATATTCCACTATAACACCAATATTTTTAAAACTCTATGCAAAAAACAAATAAATATATAGATATGAAATAAGATTACTTTGTAGCTACCTATTGAAGAAATCATAAGGAACTCACACGACATTTGATTGTTCCATCCCACGCCTACGCCGTCTCTAAGATAAAGCGGTTATTTTTGTTCAAAAACTCATTAAAAATATCTAAAGATTCTATGGATAATGTACGAGTATAAAGCGGTGAGCACGACGGCGCCACTGGCTTTCTTAATTTATTTTATTCAACTTTCGTTGTTGCCTGTATTTTTTCTTTACTATTTGAACACGGGCGTGTTCGCCCATGTTTCTTTTAAATCAATTGCCGCACCAATTAATGTTGAGCCTACATTGTGACGGAAATGACTAAAGTTGATAAAAATTTGATTGAATGAAACTAGTTTTGATTAATTTTTAAGTATAGGATTAAAAATGAAAGAAAGTGATATTAAATGGATTGATTTTTTATCTTAAATTTATTTTAAAATTATCAATGTTAGTTATATAAAAAATAATATTATAATTCATTATTATTATTAACTAGTTAAATATTATTACTTTAAATATATATATTAATAAAAGAGGTCAATTATCATAATCTTGCTAATGAACAAGCACATAAGATAAAATCTTTCCTAATCAAATGTAAACAATTTCCTTAATAAAGTAAAAAAAAAATGGAATTATTAGTTTTGCTCAGTGTTTTAATTTAAAGTGTTTTTTTAATTTTTTTTAATGTATTGTATGAATATTATAAAAAAAAAAATAATATTTTGTATTGAATATTAATTTTTATAAGAGAGTAATATATATAAATATATTATATTAAAAATAGTATAAAAAAAAAATTAATTTGCCCAAACAAACCAAGTTTAGTTTATTTCTTGAATTTATTTTCTTTACTCCAAATTCTTATGATTTCTATAAAATGTATATACATATTATTTTTATAAAATATAATATCTAATTCATTTTAGAAAAAAATAATCTTAATAATAAAATATTTAGGATCTGTTTAATTGTGAGTTTTTTTTACCAAATTTTAATATTTTAATTTTTTTTACATTTAAAATATTAGAGTAGCTATTTTATTATTCAAAATTAAAATCAAATTAAAATCTTAAAGGAAAAACACCTTTTCTTTCATAAATTGTTTGCCATCTTATCAGTAACCTAAATTTTCAGGAAATTCTCTACTCTACTGTACTTCACCATGTGTCTACGCCCTCTCCTCCTCCTCTTCCTCCTCCTTCACCGCTCCTCCGCCGCCGCACTGCCGCCGCGGAGCCGCCACTTTTACTTCTCCGATTACTCATGGAGCGCCGCGCAGCAGCCATCGCCGGAGTCAATCGAAGTCTCACGCCCTCTCCCCTTCGATTCGCTCATTCCTTCATGCACGCTTCCTCTTCTCTCCCACAGCTTCGGCAACACCGTCGGCCTCCCCGCCACCGTCGCCGACTACTCCCCTCCTACTGACTGCACCTGGTCGCGCGCGGTTCTGCAACTCTCAGCTTCCTGTAACGGCTCGCAGTCGGACCAGATTGCCGCCGTCTGGCTCTCCGGCGCGGAGCTCCTCCGTACCAGCACGCCTAACCCTACGTCGGACGGAATATTCTGGAATGTACGAAAGGATGTTTCTAGATACTCCTCTCTCCTCCAGAAATCAAACATTAGCTTGGCGGTTATGCTCGAGAACGCCGTTAACGGCGTTAATGACGGCGTTTACCTGCTGAATCTCACTTTTATGTACTATAACGGTGCCGGAATTAGTAACGCCGATGATACCTTCGATTTTCCGATGTCTATGGAGGTTTCGAATTTGGAGGATGCCTTCAGTTTGAACGAAAATCCAGCGGATTTGATTGTTCCTATCTCCGCAAGTGGAGGCGAAGGATTTTGGTTCAAAATTGAGAGTGAATCCGACGCCATTAACGAACAGATTCAAGTTCCTGCAAACACATACAGAGCTGTGATCGAGATTTACGTTTCCTTCCACGGAAACGACGAGTCCTGGTACTCAAATCCGCCCAATTCCTACATCGCGAAGAATCATTTGCTCACAGAAAGGGGAAACGGAGCCTACCGCGAAATCGAGGTGAAGATCGACGGTTTCTCCGTCGGATCAGTGATTCCATTGCCGGTGATATATTCCGGAGGGATCAATCCTTTCTTCTGGAAGCCTCTGGCTCCGATCGGCGCATTCGATCTGCCTTCATACCAGCTCGAACTAACTCCAATCCTCAGCAAATTGCTCGATTCGAGGAGCCACACGTTCCAGATTCAGGTAACCGACGCGATTTCGTATTGGCTAGTGGATGCAAATCTGCATCTATGGCAGGATCATAAGTCGACAAATGTTCTCGCTGGCGGAATCAGGTACAGAAATCCTAAAACTCGAGTGCAACGCAGCGAGCAGTTCCGATGGCTGGACGGCAGGGCGGTGGTGCAGAGCAACAGGCTGTGTGAGTTCAAAGGCTGGGTGTCGTACAGCGGCGGCAATTTCACGGCAGCGGTGGAGCACAAACTGGTGGTGGACAACACGGTGGAGTTCAACCGCCAGGGGAAGGAGAAGCTGCTGAAAGTGCAGGTGGAAATGAGGACAATAACCAAAGGGAAATTTCAGAGTATGGAAAGCTCAAACATGGAGGCAGAGGCAAAGTATTATCTCCGTTCAGTAACAAGCGAATTTCCGGCGACAATGGCGAGGCTGGAGAATCGGGTGGAGGGGAGGAAGGTGAGGGGGCAGTGGTCGAAGGATTATGACAACATGCAGCAATGCAGAGGGGCGGCGTCGGGGCCGGCGACGACTTATCATAGGTATGAAGAGAGGGATCGGGCGGGATGCTACCGGCGCCGGGTTTATGCGAGAGATGGGTCGATCGCGAGCGATACGACGACGAATCCCTGTGGAGGTTCTGCAGCTGTTTGATTAGGTTTCCATGGCGTTTTCATGGAGGTTTGTGTGTGTTTGAAGGTGCATTAGAGGGCTTGGTGATGGATGTTTGATTTGTTCTACTTGTGGGTCTTATGTTTGTATGGAGTAATAATCTCTCCATCTCCACCTTCCTCTTGTAAAATTATGCATAATAATAGTAACATTTTAATGTTAAATGATATAGGCAAAAAGTAAAATAAAATTATTATTAAAAAATTATTAAATAACTGATAAAAAATTATTGAAAAATAAATAAAAATAATAGTGATATTATTGTTGTTTGTTAAATTAAAAGTAATAAAATTATGGAAAGATAAAATTATTTATTATAAATAAATTATGAATAACGACGGTTCAACTGACAAATCACACTAGACTAATCATACGTGGCAGGTGACCTGAGAGGTCGGGGATTTGAAAGTCATGAATCCAACCCCACACACCTGTATGAACACATTCTATTTAGAAGGCTTTTTGCACTCCATATTTGCTCTTAATTGGCCGAAGAATAGCCATCTAATCGTTACTTGGTAACCACCGATCATGAGAGAGTTTTACGAGGTTTTCTCAACCGAATAAAATTATTTATTTTTAAGATAAATTTATAATACTTTTTATACGAAGGAGATCGTGATTCCAAAACTCTTCATATTCCTTTATTCCATCCAATAAAAATATAACATGCGGCGAAAGCTAATTTATTTTTTTATTTTTTTAAAATTTGCGAATAATTTCACACGTTGCAATTTGTAAATCAATCCATCTGGACAAAACTGTGCGAAATTCATTTTTTCGATTCCTTCCACAATCATCGCATCGTCCGATTCTCATATCGTCCTCCAGCGTCCACTTCGTCGTTGAATTGTCGTTATCGCCTGCCAGTCGTCCACACCGACCAATACTTTCGGATAAATAAAAAAATAAATTAATTTTCACCACGGGTGTGTTTGTTTGGGGGTTTGAATTTTGAGTTGGCATTTGAATAGAAAAAATTTTGAATTTGAATAATTGTATGATGTGATATAAACATGTGTGATGTGATGTTTTGAATGTAAAATTGATTTTTAGTATAATATAAAAAATAAAAAATAGGTGTTTGATTTGATTTTTTTGGGGGAAAAATTTTGGATGAATAGTAAAATTTTGATGATAAAATTCTTCAAACGAACAAACCCGTGCATGTCATTTTTTACCAACTATCCCCTCAGCTTTTTATACTATTTATCCTACGAAATTTCTTATATTAAATTAAAATATGTATAAAACACATTTATCTATATTAAAACGAAAAATAAATAAATATATATATATATATATTATGCGATTTATCTTGTTTTTAACTTTACCAACTCAACTTCTCGTATCTAAAAAAAAATAAAAATACAGTAATACGAAACACAATGTGAAAACCCCCCCCCCCCCACGTGTGTAACAAAATCGAAATAATTGTTCGTGTGGTATATTGTTCTTGTTCCTCAAAACATAACTCTCCCCTGTTCGCGCAAAAACTACGAACACAATATGAATATTAAGTTACAAAAGACATACCTCACTATACATACACTTCCTTCATCTTCACCCTTCATCTTCAGTTCCCCGCCGGCGGCCGCCAAAACCCTTTCCGGCAAACCAGAAACTTGTCCCGATAAACTCCGACGTCCCAGTGAAGGGATTTCAAAATCGGCTTCAGCCTCACCGCGACGTCCAGCGTGTCTTGAACCACCACGTACCCGCCCGGTCTCAATATCCTGTCCATTTCCGCGGCCACTTCTACCAGATCGCATCTGAGAAACGCAGATTCGATTATCCACAGCTCGCTCTTATTCGAGTCAAATCATAAACATAAAAAACACGTACCTTTTCGACACATTCCCAAGAAGGAAGCTCGAGTGAAGAAGATCGTAGGTCCGAGGGTATGTGTTGAAAGATTCGCACCAATCGTGGTATACGCCGATCATCCCTCTGTCGAAGATGACGGGAAGAGTATCCGGTTCGTGGATAGGGACGACGTTCATCACCCACACGGGGAGGTTTATGAGCGCAGCCGCGAATCTGCGGCGAAATGCCAAAAAAGCAAGAAATCAATTTTCGCCGTAAATCCTTCGATTCAAATTAATCAGAGTGTACAAACCCTCCGTAGCCTGCGTTCATGTCCATAACGTTTCTCACGCTCGACCAATTTACGTCGATGCCGCCTTGATAAACCTCCGAGACGAGCGCAGACCAGTGCCGGGTAACGCCTCTAAAAGCTTCTGCAGCATCCGGTTGTGCCGGGAGGCTTCTGGGTTGTTCGGTGAGACGTTTTGGCCAGGGCGGCGGCCATATGTTGGAGTCTTCGGGAAGAGGCGCGAGGCAATCGTCGAGCGGCGCATACCTAGCGTGATTTGGTAAACGATTCATACGACGACGATAAAATAGGATCAAATCGACGACATTTTATACCATGAGCTATTTCGCTTGTTTCCGGATTCGCATAGCGGCGGATCCTTCTTTTCTCGGCTCTGATAGCAGGCGGACAACGAAGGTTTCTGATAAACGACGACGCCGATTTGGGATGATTCAAAAAACGTCTTCTCCACCGTCTCCCAGCAGATCGATTTTGTCAGAGCCACCATAGCTGCAAAAGAAATCGAATGTCTCGCAATGTCAAGTCAGTCGATTAGGCGACGAAAATCATCAGTGGGAGAATACTAACATTTCCAGACATTCTGATCTCTTTCGTTGTTTTTATAAACCGGCGTCGCTGACCATACGAAATATCCTCCGGGCCGGAGAATTCTGTTCAGCTCCATCAACGGTTTCCCACCTGCAATAGCATCGAATGAGTATAGAACATTCGACGATAATCGAGACGAGTATTGTGTGGGGTGAGCCATACCGTCGCCGTCCCAATGGACCCGACAACGAGCACAGTGAATAAGATCGTAAGAATTGTCCGGGAACGGCAGCTTTTGCGTTCCGATCACCGAGAGCGTAGCCGGGATTCCTCGTTCGAGGGCAAATTGTATTTGAGCCTCGTGTTCATCTTTTGGGGCAAACGACATCGTGAGGACATTTCTCTCCATCATTGCACCGCCAAAGCTCGCAACGCCACAACCAACATCAAGAATCACCCGCATTTTCTTCCCCAACTCAATTTCCGGTAAAGCCTGTGTTGTAACGAATTATGATTAATGATCGAATAACAGATAGAAACGTAAAGAAGACACAGATCTACGTAATTCACCAACAACGTGTTTGCTACATCCATGGACAGAAACGAAGAACAGATTTATTGAGGATGGTAGGTTACATATTACATATACTAATTTTTGATACAGATTAACCTAGATTACATATCTCTAAAGTCTATTCAAATAAACTAAAAAAATACATCAAACGGGCTCAGTCCAATATGAACTCAAAAGCTCAATGCTCAATGTATAACACGAAACCTCATATAAATGGCAAATTAGATTCAAAGCATAATCAAAACCACGATCAAGACATGGAATCCCTAAATATCGTATTCTAAACAAGAGGGCACGAATCAAATCGAGCAGTAAATTGTAAGAAACCGTGAATCTCGCAAATGAAACCATTCGACTCATATGCATTTGCACAAGCTCTATATCTAAAAATCAGATGTATTGAACTAACTACCTTCACGAGGGAGTTAATGTACTCGTCGACTCCATTCTTGAACTGCGTCCCGCCGCCTGGGAAGACGAAATAGTCGCCTGATTTCACCACCCAATGCTGGTCTTTCTTATATTCGACGAGCTTTGGGTGAGGAACATTGTTGTACCATATCTGCAATACTTATCCAATCAAGAAATTGAACATCCAAACATCCAAATTCATCGTCTCCACATAACCACATCGATCAATGCATAAACACAAAAACAAATTGAATCAAGTAATCAGTTCAATTCAGTGGTGTAATCTCAACATCGAAGTTCCTAAATCCATGAATTATCTGAAGTTCAGAACAAGTTCATCGAACTCTTAACAGACATTTCAACAAACACCTTGTATGCACACTGAAATATACAAAACCTTACCACCGAAGGAACCAGTCATCTCACCATATCCCTGCTCTTCGGCCACGCCACCGGAGCTCGATATCCGGCGGGCAACGGAACCAAGCATCTCGGACTCGGATCGGGGCAGTGCCTCTCCCGGTGCTCCATGTGCCTGCGCGACGGCAGCTTCTTAATCGCCTCCGAGTTATCCAAGCACGGTATGTAATCCACCGCCGACGATCCCTTGCAGAGCTCCCACTCCACCCCGACCACGCGGTCGTCGTCGTCGTCACCGACCGCACCGGAGTAGTCGACGGCCCCACCGACATTAGTTTCGTTGGCAGTTACGGTTGAATTGGCGATTCCCGAGCTATTGTTGAGCAAAACGCCGCCGTTTGGTGGACCGCCGGGAAGAGACGAGCGCTGATCGGAGACGAAGGAGACCGGCTCGGTTAGAAACTCGGAGTCGGAGATTAGAAGGTAAGTGAGGAAAATGAGCAGGAGGAAGAAGACGAGTGCGAACGCGTTTTTCTTTTCTTTCCAGAAATTGGGAATCATCGATGATATCGCCATTTCTGATTCGTGATGAACGGATTCTAGCTTCGGATCTTTGGTTGCGCAAACATGGCAGAGATGAAAGAGCTGTATGTCGTCGATTGGATTCAAGATCTGCGAGTCTGCAACTGGTTGATTTGCTGGGGGAATGGGAAAGGGACGAGTATGATATGGAGGTCCGGGAGTTCGAGACCGGATAGATCTTTGCCGTAGAAGATTGTGGGTCCTTTGAGATTAGCGGCTCAGATCTTCCGGCGTTGAGCGGCGTGGGAAATTTGTGGTGGAGTGTGTGACAGTCTCAGCTGATATCACATCATAGAAAGCATTTATTAGAGGACAGGGTCAGAGATGTTTGTTTGTATTTTATTACTACTATTGGTTTATAAGTAATAATTATTGTAGTGATGGTAAAATGGAAGAAGATCATGGGACGAGGTTTAATTACATTTTTGGTATGGTTTGTAAAGAAACATTTTAATGTCCAGATTTGTGTTTTAGCTGTACTCGTTGTTTTGGGTTCAATTGGATTTCTTGCTGTTTTGGGTGTCAATGGTTCCAATTTTAATATTTATATTTATTTTTTGTACTCGGATACAAAAACATATTAAGAAATTAATAATTTAGTCGTCCCAATACAATAATCTTATTTACTATTTTTATCTGTCTTAAAACAATTGTCTTATTTTCATAAATAATTATATCACTATAAAATTATCTCTACTTTATTATTATTATTATTACACAATTGTCACTACTTTTTACGATAATATACTCACAAGGGCAAAAAAATCGTTTATCCTTACTTTTTATCAACTACCAATATAATATCAATATTTTTTAAATCTTGTGTACAACACAATAAGACTATACTTTTGGGACAGAGGAAGCAGTATTTTATTAGTTAATCGAAGTATGTAAGAAATTTTGACATTTTTGCCCTTTAATTTTATGTAAAAAATAATTATATATGTAGTATATATGAAATTTGTACTTTGAAGTGGAGCGGACAAAAATAGTAAAAATAGTAATTTGAATTGGGATGATAAAGTATATTTTCGTAAGAAATATACAAAAACAGTGTAAAGACTAAATTGTCTTTATATTTTTTTTAAGTAAAGGTAAGATAGTAAATAAATATAAAAAATATTAATAGTTAGTAATAAGGTCCTCAGTTACTAAAAAAAACATATAAATCTTTCAATTGGACGGATGGAACTATAAATATGTAAACCTTAGAAGTACGAGGGATTATATTGTACTCCCTCCGTCTCAGCTAATTTATTTCATTTATCTTAGGCATTGAGTTTCAGGTATTGTATAATTAACAAGTAAGTAAAAAGTGTATTAGTGAAAATTATATGATTTAATAAAAATAATTATACTCTCTCCGTTCCATTGAAAAGTTGTCATTTTCTAATTTCGTCCGTCCCAAAACAAGGTTATCATTTCCTAATTTACTAGTTGTACTACCTACCTAACACAATAAATATCCTTCAAACTTACACTATATTACACAAATGTCATTATTTTTATATTACACAATACTAAAAGGGGCATTTTTGTCTTTTTCACTATAACTCATTATAATACTAATATTCAAGAATCTACGTGCAAAAAATAAACAACAACTTTGAACCGGGACGGAGGGAGTAGATTAATATAAATAGTTTAATTAAAATTATAAATTATAAATTATAAATTTTTAAATGTAATTAAAATGTATAATTATATTTTCAGAAATAAAAGAACAAACTATATGATATGAAAGAAAATAGAAAAAATAGACAAATTAAGTTAACGAAAAAATATAATTTATATAGTAATTATTTTTATAATATTTAGGGAGAATTATGCAAAAAAAACATAAAACATACAAAGTTTTTTTTTTTTTTTTTTTTTATCAAAAATACTCCTCCGTCCCAATTCAATTACTCATTTTATTATTTTCTTTAGGATTAATTTTTCTATTATAATAAAAATAATTATATACACAAATATTTTTAACTTTTACAAAAATATATTCCATCGGTCCTGTCAAAGATGATCCTTTGTTTTTTTTTATCTCATAAAAGATAATTATTTTCTATTTTTAATAAATTTATTCATTTTATACATTATAAATAGAGCTGTCAAAATGAGTTTTGAGGTTATTACGGCCTAAACAAATACAGTTCAGGGCTACTTCTAGAGACTTCTCAAGTGTAGGGGCAACAGGAGGATGACCAAGTTGGAAGGCGTCGGGAAAATAGAGACGGAACCATAGTTCCAGGAACCAAAAATGACCCGACGCAGCAGTGTCTAATTTTTTACCATCTTTATCAGTAAGGCAGACACTAACCCTGGATAGCCTTCAAAGAGATTGACAATGAAAATGGTGCCTAATGAAAAGAATCGACCCGAGGCTATGTGTATAGCAAGATCAAGATGAGAAGGGAGGACACATTTCGAAGGGGAAACTACAACATACTTACAGAGCAAAAAGAGCAGAAAGACTGTGTGTTCTCGGTCGATTACAGGGGTCCCGTCTGCTCCTTGTTGGTCTATTAGGAATTTAGTCCAGCCCCATTATTTCACGTCTGTCAGAGACCAGCCCAAGTGGTCTGAGTTGGGCTCCTGCCCATCTAGGGTACCCATTACAGGGTCTTCCCCAACAATTGGCAGATGGGTGATCATGGCCACGTCTATGAGAGTGGGGCCGATGGGGGCTGTTGGAAGAAGAAAGGTACAAACCTCATGATGCTATAACGCCGCCATGGCCAGGAGAACTTTCTCATGTAAATGACATGGGAGAGTTGATAGACGTATGGCTTGGTCGATTTGTTGAGTTTTCCATTACTCCTGGTAATGTTCTGCTACTCGTTGGTACCAGGTACGATATGGATCATTGGGGTCCGTCAAGTGCGTTTTGATGTTGTCATGGAGGCGAGTGGCGTTGTAGTTGGGGTTGTTGATCGCCAGCAGATTCTTTGCCTCTAGAATTTCTCTCATTCGGTTGAAGTCTTCGGCAGTTGTGCAATATGGACGAACAGTTGGAGTGCGTATTTTCGTCGACACAAGAGCAGTTTTAGGGAATGATCCGTCAACAGGGAGTGTAGGGATGCATTGATTCGCCATGGCTAGAATTGTAGAGATTATGATCTACCAAAGGGTTTTAAAGAAAGAAAGGTTTTGTGGGATCAGGAGCAGTTGCCAAGGTAATTTCTCAGTAGGGTTGTGATTTGTGAACTTCCAAACGACGATTGAGAAATGGCGTTTGAAAGTCCTTTGGCAGCGGGCAAGTTGTTACGTATGAAATTTAGAATTAGGTTTAAAAGCCCAAGGAAAAAAGAAAAATGGGCCTAGCAATCGAGTCGATTGAACTGGCCGAGGGGCACTGTGGGAAACACAGGTAAAATGGATATATTTCTAAGGAAACAGCGGGTCGGAAAGTCCTCAGGTCGGGAAGTCCTCAGGTCTGGAAGTCATCAGGTTGGAAGGTCATCAGGTCGAGAAGTCATCAGGTCGGAAGGTCCTCAGGTCGGAAAGTCCTCAGGACGGAAAGTCCGCAGGTCGGACGGTCCTCAGATCGGGAAGTCCGTAGGTCGGAAAGTCCCCAGGACGGATAGTCCGCAGGTCGGAAGATCCTCAGGTCGGGAGGTCTGCAGGTCGGATGGTCTTTAAGTCGGGAGGTTTGCGGTTGGACCAATAAGTCGGATGGTCTGTAAGTCGGGAGGTCTGCGGCTGGACCAATAAGTCAGATGGTCTTTAGGTCGGGAGGTTTGTGACCAGACCAAATAAGGTGGAAGATTTGCAGTCGGGCCAAGGAGGCGGAAAGTCTGCGGTCGGTCCAGGGAGTTAAGTGAGAATGATACTGTGGTCGGTTGAGAACACGTGTCAGGAGGAGAAGGGTTAGCAGACGGTTGAAAAAGAGACATTGTAACCGTTTGGGCGGCGGTTTCTAGTACTGTTTCTCAAGGGATATTTAAGGATTTGGATTTTTCGGGAGAAATCATCTTCAATCAACTTCAACAAAGTAAAGTCAGATTCGGGGATCACCACTTTAAATTTTCAGTATTTTTGTTTTCCAGTTAATTATCTTATGTACTGTACAGTGTTTAGAGATTCCTAATTTCAGACGCTAATTAATCAAATTTAAAGATATTTTCCATATCTTTGAATTTTACTTTTTATTTATTAAAAAAATACATCAACAATAATAATAATAATAATAATGTCAATGGGAAGACCTAAGTTCAACTTGAACTAAAGAATTGAATTACATGCTGCGTATTGGCAAAAATTAGAGTTTTAATTATTATTAATAAACTTTAGAACAAAACATTAAAATCATATTTATTATTAAACATGTTTCGCCCAAGTCATATTTATTACTTGTTGACTTTGTAATAGTTAAACCTCAATTATTTGTAGGTCTAATTTAAATTCAAGTTGTACATATTGAATTGTAAATTATGTCATGTTTATTTGTAAAATTTATCTATAATATATTTATAATTTTATTACTTCTTCATTATATTTTCATTAATTTTTTTTATAATACTTTCATATTAATTTTTAAATATTCTATTTTTTATACTAATATATATATTACTTCAAGTAAGCAATATCACAATTCTTCAAAATGTTTTTATAATTTTTTATTACTATTAATAAAAAATTTACAAATTATAAAATACGTGTATTCTTTTGAGGGTTTGTATTTTGTGTTTGTAATTCGAATAGTAAAATTTTGAATTGAAATTATTATATATTGTAATATAAATAAGTTTTTTAATGTTATCTTTTAAATATAAAAGTACACTATAAAAAATAAAAATAGATATTTAATTTGATATTCTTAAATAAATGATGAAAAGTAAAATAATGAGTAAAAACTTAAAAAAACACACCATCTCAACAAGAAATTGTAAAGTTATCATCTCAACAAGAAATTGTAAAGTTATATTAAAACTACAAACACTAAAATACTATATATATATATATATATATATATAAACTAATCGATATGATTCATAATATATAGTATATATATATTGGAGACACTAAAAATATATCTCTAAATTCAATTAAATATCATGTATTTTGAAAGAAAATAAAATTCCAATGAAATAAATATCAACCATTAATGAAAAAATCTGCATAAAATATAAGATATCGTACAAATATTAAGTGCATAAATAGAACCATCAAAAATTTGACAGCAAAATAAATTAATCGTGTCAATAAATGAAGTATATAAATTAATATCTTTCGAAAAAGACAATAATATAAAGATCTTGGCAATAAAGAAAGACACGCAATCAAATCCTTCAGAAATATAAAACGACATCTGATGGAAAATGAAAGATTATAAAATCTTTCTGTTGGCCAATTAGAACGTGCCATGGGGCACCATTAAAAAAGGAAGTCGAGGCCATGGTCAGTTCATTTGAGACACTTAAGTTACATCGAATATTCAAACAAAGGGGTAAGTTTCTAGACTCTTTCTATTGTTCTTTAAATTCTTCGTGTCCTTTGAAGCGTTTTTCGTCGAAAGTCACTAATTTTGACAAATGATTCAATATTGGTTGACGAATCGATGGAGTTAATGTTCTTTGTCGTATGCCTAAGCCAGAAGAAGGATCAAAACTTCCAAAGCTGTTGAGGAATTTGTCAAAGCCAAGGGAAGATCTTCAAAGTTTTTCTCAAAGATTCGAGGTGTTCATCGCGTTCTTCACCAAAGCATCAACTCGGCTCTCTTCGATCCAAAAGTCAAAGGAACACGCCGCCAAAAGTGTTATGGAACACCAAATGCACCTCTTCAAGGATTAAAGCTCCAAAAGCCGTTGAAGAATCCATCAAAGTCAAGGAAGAGCATCCAAAGTTCATCCCAAAGCTTTAAAGTGTTCATTGCGTTCTTCACTAAAGCATCAATCAGACACTCTTCGATCCAAAAGTCAAAGGGACACGCTGCCAAAATGTTATGGAGCACCAAATTCACCTCTTCAAGGATCAAAGCTCCAAAAGCCGTTGAAGAATCCATCAAAGCTAAGGAAGAAATCCAAAGTTCATTCCAAAGTTTGGAGGTGTTCATCGCGTTCTTCACCAAAGCATCAACCAGACTCTTTTCGATCCAAAAGTCAAAGGAACATGCTGCCAAAAGTGTTATGGAGCACCAAATCCACCTTCTCAAAGATCAAAGTCACGGATCATCCAAAGAAGACATCAAATTCAAATCCGACGATCAAATGCCCACACGGAGACCAAAGCTCTTCAAAAGCAGCGAAACCAAACTAAAAATCAAAGCCTCAGATCGTTCAAAGAGGACATCAAATCCAAAGCCGACGATCAAATCGCCCACACGAAGACCAAAGTCCTCTAAAAGATGGCGAAGTTAAACCAAAGATCAAAACTTCAGATCATTCAAAGAACACATCAAATCCAAAACCAGCGATCAAATCGACCACATGGAGATCAAAGTCCTCCAAAATGTGGCAAATCTAAATCAAAGATTAAAGTCTCGGATCGTCCAAAGAGGACATAAAATCCAAAGCCGACGATCAAATCGCCTGCACGGAGACCAAAGCCCTCCAAAGTCCGGCAAAATCAAACCGAAGACCAAATATCTTCGAATCAAAGAAGCCATAGAAAATTAAGTTGGAAAACAAATTGACCCGGAAGGAGAATCAAATGACTCATTAAGACCCGCTTTAAATCTAAATCAAATATAATTTGTACAAATTTTATATTTATTAAAAATAACACAAGTTTTTGTCTACATATATTATATCATCTCATTAATATTTTTACATTATATTAAAAATGATATATAGTATATCAAATAATAATTTTAATTTTAAATTTTATTACTAAGATACACACCTATATGCTCTTGTTTATTTGGTTTGTTTTTTTTTAAAAGAAAATTATGTAATAATTGTGATTTTCTGATAATAAATTATTATTATCTTTTAGAAAATTATTACATAAAAAAAAAATCCAAACAAAAATAAAAAGTAAAATCAAAATTTAAAAGAACACACAATTTATAATTCATAATAGTTTATAAGAATATATATATTTAAAAAGAATAAAATTAGGTTTTGCCGGAGGCTTATTTAGAACGCACTCAATGAATAATGGATGCAAATTTTTACATTATTTATCTAGAGCGCAATCGGCGAATAACGCCTCATCAAATATCTTCTATTTTTATTTTTTTATTCAATGAATAAATATTTTTATTTACATTCAAAATTATTTATTTTATTAATAAAATTTAATTTATATCAATTATAAATAAATAAATTTTATTTATTTATATTATACAAAATTTTATTTTCTACAAAATAAAAAATATTATACTCCCTTCGTCCACCTCTAAGGGTTACATTTACTTTTTGCGTCATTATACTTAATATTAAAAATATCTTTATATTTATATAGTTTTTTGTTCAAATGTCATTATATTAGTATTATAAGACACCGATGGCTTTTTGTAATTTTTTCTTAATTTTTACTACGTTCTGATATAATAATTAATATTCAAATATTAACATGCAAAAAGTAAATAGACTCTTAGAGCAGAATTTAAATGTATCTATTTGTTTTTTTCAAAGTTTTTTTTACACTTTTTTCCCAAAAAAATTAATACGCTATACATATTTATTATTTTTATATTTCATACCTAATTTCCTATATTTCACATAAAAAAAAAATTATTTTCCAAATATCTCACAAAACAAACGCATCAATTTTTAAAATATTTAAATATATATTTTAAATTTCTTTTATAATTATATATTATTACTTATTTTAAAACTATCAATAATAACACTTACATTAAAAGAAAAATAATAAAATAATAATAATCCACTACTTAATTTTACTTTCTTAAATTGTATATTACTCAATTGTCATGGGACAAATAAAATATTACTATAAATAATCCCACTTTACAAAAATAAAATAAAAATAGTTAAGATGAAAAAAGAAATAACCAAACAAGGAAATTTTAAATAGAAAATTAAACTTGAATATAACAATTTGTAGATGCTAGGAGTCAGCAGATTGTTTTTTTTTTTTTTTTATTTTGTAACGATCTTTTATAAATATTTTTTATTTCTCATAAAAAAATCGTCATTTAACGTTTGCTAGTATATTTTTAAATATTAATTATTATAGTAATAAATAGCATAAATAAAAAAATATAAAATTATTTATATTAATTTTTTATAATATAAATATAATACTAAAAATATTTTTAATATAAAATACAATAATCTGAAAATTAAATAACATCTTTCTCAAGAGAAGGAAGAAATATTATTTATATTCGGTTGAAAGTTTAGCCAATGCACATTTTTAAGTAGTGCAGCATATTATCAAGTAATAAAAAGAAATAAAAATATTATTTATAAAAAAATACAATAGACATATATTAACATAATGTATATATTATTTATTTACAAAATATTATTTTTATATTACCGAAGTTAATATAAAAGATGCATCCAATCCTATATAAAGCCATTCCGAAATGACTATTTTACCCCTAAGCATGACAAGTGACAACTGATTCCAACAAGAAAAAACTTCTACTACTATTTCTTTATAATAATAATAATAATATATTGTAGAATAAAGAAAGCTTTTTGATCTGGTGTGAACCTGTGCGTGCTTCGAAACCTCTTTTTACCCCTCACCCATTGGAGAGCGATTTGGATTTGGAATGGCGGTGGAGTGATTCAGCAGCCCACGCCTTCGTCTCACTGCCTCTTCCCTGTCCATACCCGAATGTGGATCGATCTGCTTTTGCTTGGGAGCGACCGAATCAGTTGTTAGTACGGATTTTTCGATTTGATCCGATGGTAAAAAGGTGGGGTCATTTCCTGGAATTTCTGTTGCTCTGGTTGGATTTTTTTGGTGTTAAATTGCGGTGTTGGTTTATGGGCGCCTTTCTAAGATCTGTGATCCTGACTGCGGTTGTTTTGTACTGTTCGTTGCGATTGTTTCTGGATCTTAGATTGATTTTTGAGAACCTTGACAGTTAGGATTAGGTTTCCGATTGAATTTCTAAGTATGATGTTAATTGAGCTGTGTGTCATATACATGTGTGTATAATACAGTGTGGATGTGTTTGGAATTTATGTAATCGCAATTTTCTGAAGAGGAAATCTGAATGCAATTGGAATTTTAGGCGATTTTGATGGCTGCAGATTTTCTATCACAAGAGGTTTTTCGTGTTCTGTGTGAATGAGATGAGTGAAGTATAGATTTAGGATGTCACCACAATGTATATATGGTATGGATTGATACTATGATTCATTCTTGAATCCTCAATTTGTTGCATACCCCAATTTATAGTATACTAATTGATGCTCTTGTTGCATACCCAGTTGTTGTAATAACGAGCCAAATTGACCTAAACATTACTTACTCTGCGGTGAGAACTGAGATTTTATGCCTCATATAGTGGATAGGATGAAGCCAGTGTTGATTGGTATCTGCATTCGATTGAGTGTGCCAATGGAGGCAATTTCAGATTTTTCTGCTGTTTTGTTTCATCATTATTTGAATTTGGGGAATCTTTGCTTCACCGTGCTAGATAATTTCGCACTTTGAGCTTCTTAGGAGTGTGGAAGATCAGATCCATGAATTGATCTCAGATGTTACTGAATAAAATTATTTCTATGTGTTGATTAGAATGAAATTACATAGGTGATATCAAGTTACGAGTATATAGTTGTGCATAATGTGATCTTGTATTGGTCGGTGGTGAAAATGCTTAGATTTATTGAGGGGGTTTATCACTTTTCCCCATCATCGCCTGAAACCTCGCTTTGGTATTAAATGTAGTATAGTTTGTAATGTCCATTAGAATAAGGTTGAGGTTGAAATGAACGGTCCAATTGTAGAAATTATTTGTTTTTCAATATCTTGTTTAATTTGCCAAACTCGATGCTCTATCTGTTTTAAAAACATCTGAATAATTTAGTGATATCTTATCCGTAAATTCATATAGTTCTGATTTTCCTTTTAGATCTGCTGCTCGAAATGCTACTAGTTGTAGAATTGAAAATGCGATTTGCTCTTTCAGACTGCCCTCACATTAATATTTCGTGCTGATCTATATACATACATATATATATATGGAGTTCTTGTTTATCTGTATTGAATAATGGTTTTGATGTGTATTCAACAGGGATTAATCTATTAGTTCGATCATTCTTTGCCTGCAACAGCCGATGAGCTTATACATGACCTGCTGTATAAGTACAGCAGCCTTTTTCCAGAGCAATACTGAAACTTTCATCTAGTTTCTGAAGACATGGTTTACAGTAAACTTGCAGAACTGTTTTCCTCTACAGCAAATCGTTTTTCCGGACAAAAGGCTTCTACTCCCCCAAACAAATCTTCTGGATTGCCGCCTTTTCCTACTAGTTCTCTTAATGGGAATCCCTTCTCCAACACAAAGAAGATTCCCATGAGACTGTCGTCGTCTCTTCAAGATCTGTCTACTTATAATCTACTCGACTTAGAACGAGGCAACCCTAGCACTGGACCAGTACCACCATATCTCTTGCAGAAAGATGATGGCCTATCGAGTTTTTCCAAGGAGAAGGCACCTCCCGGAACTTCATCCAGACAGAAAAAGTGGGTACGAGTTATCTGTGTCCTCATCGGGTTATTGTTGATTGCTTGTCTTTCGTTTGCTCTCCGGTTTCTTTACTCAAATTGGTCTCAGGAATCCTCCAAGTATTATGTTGTCCTTGACTGTGGCAGCACTGGAACCCGTGTTTACGTTTATCAGGCATCTGTTAATCACGATAGAAACTACAATCTTCCGATTTTGTTGAAATCTCTGCCTGAAGATTTCCAGGTCAAATCTGGTGCCCAGAGCGGTCGAGCTTACTCCCGAATGGAGACTGAACCTGGATTTGACAAATTGGTGCGTAATATCTCCGGGTTGAGAATAGCGATCGACCCTCTCGTTCAATGGGCGCAGAAACAAATTCCGAGTGAGTCGCATAAGACTACATCCCTCTTTCTTTATGCTACGGCCGGAGTTCGCAGGTTGCCGAGTTCAGAATCTGAATGGCTTCTCAAAAATGCTTACACAATTTTGATGAATTCGCCGTTTCTATGTAAAAAAGAGTGGATCAAAATCATAAGCGGCATGGAGGAAGCTTATTATGGATGGATCGCGTTAAATTATCATAACGGAGTCTTGGGATCCCTTCCTAAACGCGAAACCTACGGTGCACTTGATTTGGGTGGCTCGTCGCTGCAGGTAACTTTCGAAGGTAAGCAAAGTGGTCACGACGAAACGAGTTTGAAGCTGAGCATTGGCCCCGTTAATCATCATCTAAGTGCTTATTCGTTGGAGGGTTACGGGCTCAATGACGCATTCGATAAATCCGTCGCTCATCTCCTCAGGAGACTTCCCGGTATCAGTAACGCCGATCTTGCTGGTAAAGAAGTTGAAATTAATCATCCTTGTTTGCATTCTGGATACAAGGCGCGATACACTTGTTCGCAATGCTCGTCGATTAAGCTAGAGGATGGAAGTTCTCCTGTCGGAGTCAAAGAATCGGGGAAAGGAGGAAAGGTCGGAGTTCCGCTACAGCTTGTCGGATCTCCAGACTGGGAACAATGTCGCGGGCTTGCGAAATCTTCCGTTAATTTGTCTGAATGGTCGGATCGTAGCCGTGGAATCGATTGCAAGCTCCATCCGTGCGCACTTCCCGAAAACGTACCCCGTCCGACCGGCCAGTTCTTTGCAATGTCGGGATTTTACGTTGTGTACCGATTCTTTAACCTAACTCCCGCCGCATCTCTCGACGAAGTACTCGAGAAGGGCCGTGGATTTTGTAAAATGGAGTGGGACGCCGCGAGAAAAAGCGTTGCCCCTCAGCCGTTTATCGAGCAGTATTGCTTCAGGGCGCCGTACGTCGTGATTCTTTTGAGGGAAGGGCTGCACATTCAGGATAACCAAGTGAGTATTGGTTCCGGAAGCATCACATGGACTCTCGGGGTTGCGCTGTTCGAAGCTGGAAAAGTTTATCCATACATGGCGCGGTTTCGAAGCTACAATGTGTTCCGGGTTAGGATCAATCTGTTTGTTCTTGTTGCCATTTTGTTTGCCTCGCTGTTCGTCCTGCTTTGCGCGTTGTCCTGCGTTGGCAAGGGCGGGCTTCCGAAATTCTTGCGCAGATCGTATCTCCCAGCTTTCCGGCACAGCAGTGCGGCCTCCGGGCCAGGCCTCAATCTCCCGGCGCCTTTCCGGTTTCAGCGATGGAGCCCGATCAGTACAGGTAAAGCTCAAAGATTTGTAGTTTCTTGAAAAATAAGTTTTTTTTTTTTTTTTTTTTTTTGAAGTTGTGAAAAATTGTTAGGGGATGGAAGGGCTAAGATGCCGCTGAGCCCGACGGTGGCGAGCGGCCGGCCGAGCCCATTTGATTCCGGGCCGGGCTTTGGCGGCGGTGGCGGAATCCAGTTCTCCGACTCGTCGCTGTACTCGTCGTCGAGCGGCGTGGCGCATAGTTATTCGTCAGGGAATTTGGGGCAGTTGCAGTTTGATAACAGCAGCCTTGCGTCGTTCTGGGCCCCGAACAGAACCCAAATGCGGCTTCAGAGCAGGCGGTCGCAGTCCCGGGAGGATCTCAATTCTACGCTCGCCGAGGCGCACCTGGCAAAGATTTGACGGGAAAATTGAACAGGGAGCTACGATTATGTTATGAGGTGAAGAGGATAAACATATGGTGAACGGCGAAAGTGTGTACCGGTCATGAGATGTGTATCTGATATCGTGGAAGAAAAGATTATATGATTGTTCTTCGCCAATGCGATACGAAATGAAAAGAGTCGATGCCGTCGTCGTTGTCGAAGGCCTTGGTGAATATGGAAGAAGTGATTTCCCAGCAGAGTTGAAGAGCCTGTGAAGGTTTTTGAAGAGTAACTGCAGCAGCCATAGCCATTTCTGGGATGCATTGCTTGTTATAATGTACAGTTGATGGAGAGGATATTATTATTATTATTACTGTTATTACATGACTTCTTCTAGATTCATTTTTCGGGGAGATTTTTGGGGAAATATTGGTAAGTTTTAGAGTTAGAGTTAGAGTTAGTGTAGAGCTAATAAAATGATCATACCATATGAGAGGGAGAGACCTTTTTTCACTTTGTAGTTTTCCACTTCCCCAAAATGAACGGATTTCTGTCTTATCTGTGTTCTAGTCATTAATTTACTCTTGATTTTGTTCGTTTACTTAGTGCGTGTTTGTTTGCGGAATTTCCCCGAATCTACTATTCATCCAATTTTTTACTTCGTATTTTTTATTTTTTATATTATACTAAAAATCATCAAATCAGCGCCTTTAATATATACAGAACATATGTTATGGATAAACAAGTGTACTCTGGGTAAATCTCAAATGAAATTTGGAGGTGTCGATTTTGAATTCATGATATCACAGTCCCGAGCTCATCCTCGCGCCACCATATCAAAAATAATGGTTTTTTATTGTACATTTTGTAGTCCTAGACTCTTTACTTATGGTTTGTTTAGTTTGAATTTGTCAGACTGATTTATTTTAAAAACATAACAATGGACTACTTGAAATTTTGATTGTATTGTTTATATTTAATACTACACAAAATTTATCTAATCACATTATTATCTTACATCAATCTAATGTCTTCTTGCAGGATAATGAAGACGAACATGAATGAGATCAATTGGCTTTTTGTATAGAACTGGAAAAAAACCACTCATCAAATTCAAATGGGATTGTTAAGAGTAGGGGCTTTAACTACAAAAGCTGCTCTTTTTTCTGATCAAAAGCAAGTGTAAAATCTAACAAGGTGATAATATCTAATTAGAAACTGTTAGAATCCAAGAATCAGACCTATAACTCCGTTTTCGGCGACGAACTAGCATCGACTGGGAAAAACCATCGCAGAATTTGCGAAAATATACCCGTTGGTGTTATTAGTTCCGGGCTGCAAAGCGCGTTGTAGTCATGCTTTAAATGAGGGGCAGCTATTTTATCCTGAGGGAATCAGCCAAATACGAATTTGTAAAACTACTTTGCTAAATTTATGAATTAAGGAATCGAAAACCTGGGCATAAATATACCTTGAACACCTCGAACCGGCAAAAGTCAGAATTTCCGCAACCCTATTCCAAGAGGAGGAGATTCATCGTTACAAAATGTTCAGGGAAAAGACTTCAATAAACATTTTCAAACCACGACAACGATTACAAAGAATAAAACAATAATGAGCTTACCGCCATTGGAAGAGGCTGTTCGTTGTGCAGTACTTGCACATAGTAATTGTTCGTATTGTTTTCCGGGCAGCTATATAGAACTAACATGTTATTTCCGGCGAATGGGGCGACTGTGCTGCCATACCATGTTCTCTTTTGGGGAGGTTTAGGAGGTAGTTGCAAGGGTTCTTCCTTTCTTATTTGTTCAAATTCTGAAATATCAAGTGGAACAGCACGACCGTGAGTCCGGGAAGAAACTATGAAATAAAACATCTAGAGAGAGGGACTGAAAATGTTGTCGTAGAATGTTGAAAGAATTAAGCACTCACCGGATCCATCCAGAAATAGCCCAATCAAACACGAAAATGGAAGTAAAGTTTCAGCATGAGCGAATCGTAATTTGGCCATCTCATAGGTTCCAGGAACAAGTCCATCTATAAAAGCAGAAGAAAATTATAGTTGAGGTCAAATGAAAGGATTGGGGATAACAGGGACTAAATAAATCGATTTTCATATTAATCATATTATAATGATCTCTTAAAAGAGCCTACAGATGGAATCAGCTTTGATAACTTCAACTAAGAATATCAAGAAACATATTCAATTATTCACACCACATGGTATACATAAATTCAGGAACACGGATACACCATCGTGACTCGGATTAGATCATGATGTAATAACACATCAATGAGAAATAATTCAATGTTAAGAAACTAGGCTGCATGCGACAGGATTTCGATGTATAAGCACTTGTTCCCTTTCTCTGCTACTAAATGGCTTCCAAAGATTGCAAATAAGCTACTAATGAAAATCTTTGTTTAAGTATTCAAATAAGAAGCTGAAAATAATAAGATTGGTAAAAAGCAAGAGTTTCAACTTTAAACTTTTATTGTTCTTTGTCTGAGCAGCATTTAATCCTCAAATTCAAACTTTTTCTTTCCTGTCGTTTTTCAAGTATAAAGCTCCCCTTTCAAACGGTTTGCTTAACCATCTTAACAGCCCCACGTTATTGGTTACTAGAGAATCAAAGTGGATTCGCCAATTAATCACGAAATGCTGTGGTTCTCACATAGAATTTTTTAAGAAGTAATTTGCGAGATCATGCACCTTTCTTTCCTAGTTCGAACAGAGGCCCTCAAATGTTTTTCTAACAGGAAATGTTTCAAGTTTTGAGAAAATCAAAGATAGGAAGAAACATACCTGCTTTAGCCTTAATAGCTTGTTCCATTGAAAGAATGACATCATTAAGTAATGGAACTCCCATCCGATAATTTAATGAATTACCATAGCCTTTCAGTACGAAGACCTCCAGATCATCTGTCCACTCCAACAAAGCAACCTACAAACAAAAGATGTTTCTAGGTTAATGGTCCAAAGGTTTACGAAAGTAGGTGCTTTAAGGTATTGACACAAGAATCAATGAAATCACGAAAATTGTGGAAAATTTATTAAAATGATTACATGCCTTTCTTTTCAAATATAAGCTTCTACTATGACATGAAATAGATGAACAAATCTCATCCTGCACGATATTTGGGAACAGGGGAAGAGAAAATACCTGAGATGGACTGAAGAGAGAACAAGCTTGATCTGTTTTGTTTAGTAAAGAAGCTTCCTACAAGCCCATGAAGAAAATGTATATACATTTCAATATGAAAACCAAAAAAAAAAAAACAGAGAGAAAAAGTATATACATTTCAATATGAAAATAAAGATAAAAAGTCTCATCCATTTGGACTACCATTAAAAAATAACATGTCCCACATTAGTGTTAACCTAAATGTAATGTAAATTCAATACATACAAGAGTCCAACAAATTTCAACTTGTCATCAATCCATAGGCACCATTAGAAAATATATAGGCTCTCGAAGCAAGCATGAGTAGGTAGACTTATGAAATTAAGTTTGGTGAGGATCAACATTACCTGTTTGCAAAGAAACCAAAGGGATGATACATCCGCTCTTGAGAAATTTAGGCTCCATTGCTGGGCTAATTCCTTAGATATTTCATTTAGCACAGGTTCCTTGAGCTTTAGAACTTTCGGTTCCTGACTTTTCCTGAATGCCTTTGATAAAAAATAAAAGAAAATTGCGAACTTTCAGAATATATATAAGTGATTAAGAAAATAGCTCTTTAACTAGACGAGTTGAGACCCAATTCTGAATTTTACTAAAATCACAGCAGTTTCTGTCAATGAGCAACGTAATAGACAAGACATCCATAAGTCTAGTTACAAATAAAGTCAAGCAAATAACAACAGAAGAAGTCCAAAACACTCCATAAGGTGTTCCATTGAAAAGAATAGCCATCAATGCCAGAACAACATATGATAAAAATCCCCAGAACAATGACTTAAAACCAATAACGTATAGCAAAAAATTGAAATGGTTAGTCCCCCAAGTTTGATTGCAATTAAATTCTACAAACTTTTACTGAGAAACTTACCATACTAGCTTAACCATTTAAACAACACCTAATTTGAGAAATCAAAAGATTTAATACTGCACAATATTTACCTTATAGTTTTGGCAATGATCATGGAATCTCAAGTATATATCGCTTGCTCGGCTTTCACTGGTAACTGCAAAAGCACGATGATGTCCTGGTCCAAGATTGCCTCGACCACTAAAAAGCCCCATGCCAAATGCTACTGCACTAACTGCAGCTCGAGCAACCTGAAATGAACTATAACACATGAACATTCAAGTACATGGCTCGCCAATCAGACGCTGGCACATGTAGACTATCATTCACAAATAACTTATTTAGATATTGAAAACAAAAGAATAATCTTAACATTCATCCAAAGAGAAATAGAATATATAGCCATGTAGATTACTTGCTCCTCAAAAGAAGATAATATTAACACCACCAAAATGATCGCACACATTCCCTAATTCTTAGCACAAAGAATGATTTAAAACATGATAACAATAGACAAAATAAGGTGTGGAATAAAATATGCAGAGAATCATGGATGCTAAACCTGAGTAGCTCTAATTGGATATATGTCAGGGTGGTAATCCTCTTTAAACAGTTCGGGAAATTTCTCTCTGACTCTAAGTCCAAGCTCATACAGTTCGGTTTCTCCTTCACTAATCAACTCTCCACCCTTATACTTTCCTGTCCATGGAGATCTCCACCCCTTTAACCATCCAGGAAAAACAGATGATTTCTGATCTTTTACATTTCCTGTAAGTATTAACAGGCGCGTGGCCAAGGCTTCCAGATCTTTCATCTTTTTCTTCGTAGGCGCTCTAGTCCCATGCCTAGCCTGCCAACTCAATCATAAGGAAAAATCTCCGGGCACAAAGATACACAAATTCAACTTGAAACAAATTTTTCAAGAAAAATGCATAAATCAACAGTGCATAAACATGGTTGCATCTTATCTGGGAGAGAATTACCACAAGATTTAAGTGAATGGGTCTACATTGACTCGGAACACTCGAAACAATGTTTGAATTTGCAGAAATATCTTTGGCGGTTTGATATCTGCAGTGAAACATAACATCCATAAGATAAGAAGCATTTGGCCTTACAAAATCTAACAAAACAGATTTCTTGGACACTAATTCACTGACAAAATTTTGATTTATCACAGAATTCAGCTTCTCCTAAAACAATATTCCAATTCAAAAACACTAGAAGATAAACTAATGAAACGGATACTGTTCCATCAAGTGCACATAGATTAGAGAAAGCTACAATATTCGTAACTACGACTCCCATTAACTTCTAATTACAAGCCAAACCAGCATGCACTCAACACGACAGCAACAAAATCACGCAAAAACCACATTTCTACACATGATTGCCCAAATTCAAATCGTGAATCGCGATCCAGCAATAAAGCACCCAACGAGAACTAAACTATAAAACTAGAAACACCAAAAACATCTCCGAATTCACCAGTTTCCAAAAAATCAGAAGGGCGAGATGAATTATGGATAGATACCTAGTAACAGTGGACAAATGGCGACGAACGTCGAAACTTTCTTCAGCGACCACAACAAAAAGTGCTGCCCCAAATAATAAGAGAGAAAAACAAAGGATTTGCGGATGAGCTGCCATGGCTTCCCACAAGAGGAGGAGCGTGGTATCGAAAAGAATTTCTTGTTCTCTCTCTCTATATATATATACATAAAACAATCACATCTTTAAATACAAAACCCAAACATCTTTCCAATCAAAACCGAAACAAACACACCTCTGAGGAAATACGGAACTGCGAATAAAGAGGGCAACGTCGAGAACATAAAACTTAAATAAATAAATACTACCTTTCGGTACACGTGGCGAAAATCTATTGGATGTATGACGGTGCCGCTTCTCTCTGCCTCGTCGGCCCTCGCTTTTGACAGATCACAATTCGCAGATGTAGAGTTTCGAACAGTCGATCGGTTCTGTGGTTCCGAACCGCCGGTTCAGGTCTAAACTGGAACCACCGTCAAACCGGAAGCAAAACCGAACTTTGTTAATGATGTGTTTGTTTGGAGAATTTGTAAAGATTTTAACTATTCATTTATTTTTTAAAAATATATATATATAAAAAATCAAATACTCTCTCAATCTATCTATTTTATCATTTTAGTTTGTCCATCGCAAATGTATTCATTTACTTCTTTTTTTTTTTTTTAGTAAATATATCTTTCACTAAAATATAAAATTATCCCACTATTTATATAATATTACACAAATACCATCAAACAACACCACTTAATACCATAAATATTAAAGGTATAATAGTCTTTAGGTACCACGTATCAATATAATACTAATATACGTGCAAAAAATAAACAGATAGATAGGCGATGGACGGAGTATTTTTTTTATATTCTATATTATATTAAAAATTAATTTTATATTTAAAATATCATATCAATTTTTATTTATATCATATTATACAATTATTTTAATTCAAATATTTTACGTTTAAACTCAAAATTCAAGCCCAAACAACCACACCTTGGGGTAGGTAGGGTAGGGGTGGGAATTTGGGAAGAAGTTTGAGGACGATGGGCGGCGGCTGTAGTAATCAGGTTTAAGGTAATCTCATAATTTTATTCTTTTTAAATAATATAATTAAAATTAAAATTAAGGAAATAAATTAATAGTCGTCCCAATAAAACTACAATTACTGATGGCAGTTGATTTGAAAATAATATTACAATATTCAATTATAAATGTTCATATTGTTGTACTGCTATGTACAACTATGCACATATATGTTGTCACACAACACTATCATATTTTTTTTTTCTGTTTTCGTATAATAGAATATTTATATAATAAAAAATTAATTGTACCATTTGAGAATGTTAAGTCAACTTGGACTGTGTTGTGCACAGGTAGCTGTCTTATCAATTTTGTTATGTTTACACGAGCAATTTTTATTAATTTTTGAATGATAAGATTAATTTTTTTTATAATAAAATTGAAATTAATTAATGTGTTTATTTGAAAGCAAAATTGTCATATTAGAGTATTATTGATTTTTTTATTAAAATTATTATATATTATACCCTTTTGTCAAATGTACTTATTTATTTTTGTAGAAAATTAAAAATAATATTCTTTCTGTTTCAAAACATTATTCAATATTTATTTTTGAAATGAAAATTTAAGTAAACAGTACTCCTTTCATCCTAATCAATTTGTCCATTTTGATTGGAGTATAAAATTTTATATATTATGTAATTAATAAATAATTAAAAATATAATATAAAAAATAATTATAGATCAAGATGACTAAATAATTTAATTAAAATAAAAAATTTAAATTTTAAATTTTAAATTTTAAAATATGATTAAAATATATAATTATATTTAAAAAATTGACAAATTATCCGAAACAAATAAAATGAAAAATATGAACATATTACGAGACAAGGGAATATAATACTATATTTATTAAAAGTGATGTTCAACATAAATTTGAGTATTTTTATCATATACTCTTGGTATTAATATACTATAATCAAATACTATGTATTGAATTATTGATTAATTAATATCATGATACTGTAGAAACATTCCAAACTGAAAACATCCCAAAATACCAAGACAAAAGCAATAAAAAAAACCACACAAAACATTCCACCCAGTGATGAGCAAGAAATATAGAGAGGAATGGATGAAGCTGTGTGGCTAAAGACCATAATATCTATCTCTCTATCTCAAATCTCATTTCCAAATGATCAAAGGCTGGCAGGAAGATACTAAAAGGGCTGGCTTAGCAGGGGTGTCTGCTGTCTAAGTCAAAGCCCTTAACATCTTACCAACCAATCTTATTTGGAACTCACACAACAAAAACACTACACCGCAAAATCATAAAAGATGGATGAACATAATAATGCTCTTATTAAGACTTGACTCACTGACTTACTTACTGGGACACAATTTTACGCAGCAGCACCCTCGTGAAGGAGCATCTGGTCGAAGTGCCACACGCCTATCACAACACAATCAAAATACATACAAGAATTATTACACAATATTAGTAGAAGTAGAAATAGAAACAGAAATCGGTTATACTACTGGGGTTTGGTTTTGTAACTTGTATGATGCACATACCATAGCCTTTGCCCACTCTCCTCAACTGGGCTACATATTCGGATATCTTCTTTATCGACTCCACCTGCAGAGGAGAAATGGGGGTTTGATATGATGATAAGAAGAGCTCGCTCATAAAGGATGTGATGGAAGATTATATGTAATCCTCATACCTGCTCGTCTAAGTACTCGCCCTCGATGAAATCAGTTAGCTGCACGTCGTTGTTTCGGGAGGCTACCTGCGAATGCAACAGTAGGTGTGTTTTAGCGTATAATTGACAAATTCTGACCCACAATCCAGCTTCAGATCGATAATGTTTATATTACAATGTTGACGATACTCGTGGATAATCTATAGAGGTAAGAAGCAACACTTACAGAATGCAGATTTAAAAGCTTCTCATTTGTCAGCTTCTCTAAAGAAAGTGCCAACTCCATAGCTGTGGAGAAATAGTGAATAAGTTATTAACACAACGAATAAAGAAAGTGATTCCCATTCCTGGAGTAATTTGACAGATCGTTTATATTTAATGACTTTCACTTCATGAGTTACTAAATTGTCACTTGTTCATATAGCTTCAGAAACTATGCAGTCCATTTAAGTATGCATCTCTAAACAAATTGAACACCACGAAACCTTAAAGGGAAATTGTAGCGGTTTCATAAAGTTGATTTTTTGTAGTGATATTACACCACCGGCTAATGGGTTCCACCACTTCAAATCATAACATTATCACTATGAATCACATACATCAAAATGCAGTTGACGGAGAAGTGGATTCCAAATACGTGTCCGTTCCAAAATATAAAGAAATTGCCCAGTAGATTGTCATGGTTTTTTTACCCAGAGAAATTACACCACTGAGCAGCAGGCTCCACCTAAATAGTATATGACCATCCTAGAGAATCACATGTGGGCCCTTACCAGCAGAGGAAAGGGGGGGGGGGGGGGGGGTAATGAAGTGTCATGCCCAAAAACAACTTTGAGACCCAGTCAAACCAGTGAAAGAGCATGAATTGCAGATAAGAAATTTCCATAAAACATATATAAATCAAGGCATCTACCAAAGGGCACTGTACTTAAACTGCCAGTTCTATAGATCCAATCACATTAAATTTTTAATAGTCAATTATAGTCATGCTGAGCAGCCAATTTCACCTATAAGATCTCCAATTGAAGCATCACTTTTAGGGATATGTTAGTTCAGATTATATTCGCCTTCATGGCTTCACATAATGTGGAGGGTTTTCTTAGTAACTATACGACATCTATTTCCATTTCTTTTTGTTAACTTCTACTTCCCATGCTTGCAGTGTGGTTGAAAATTCAGTGGTTTACAGCTAAAAAATGTGGTGTAGAAATGATGGCTAGGTGAAAAAACAGAATGAAGTGGACACAGCAATGTTCAAATATGATATTGGACCAACACAGGTGAGATGATTGCTAAGTGGATTCAGCAAGTTTTCACAAGGTGAATAACTACTGGAGCAATTTTCAAGTATTTGAAATGGATGCAAGAGTTGATTATGATCAGTAATTGCTTGCCCCACAGTAATTCAGCATCAGTTGTAATAAAAAATGTGACAGAAAAGTTGGTAAACCACATCAACAAACATCAATATTTTTGTGAAAAATATATCGTGATGAGAAGCAGAATGCCCCCAGAAACAGCTATATGCATACTTCCTAATTCAGTATGGACCGATCCAGGACGAGGATAAAGACAAACCTTGGTCCCCATCTCATATGTCACCAAGAATGGATTATCAAACAATATTGACAGATGCAAATATATATACCATCCAATTACTTATAGGATAATAATGCAAGCTCTCATCAGATAACACATCCTACTCTATAATCTTAAATACATAAGCATGAGCTAAGAAGCATTTACCATATAATGCATCCCCCTTTTCAGCATGGTCGAACTCAGAGAGCGGCATCAATATTGACTGAAGCTTCACTTTTCCACCTCGCTTGTTCTGAATATTATTGAAGAAAGGATAAGAAATCAGTCTATTCCAGAAATATACGTCAAAATCGAGAAGAGAAAATATGTGAAAAACAATCAAAAGACCTGGTATTCCATTAATTTCTCAGCGTGCTGCCTTTCTTCTTCACTTGACTCCTTGAAGAACCTTCGTAAGATACGAAGCAATTAGATCCTCTCTCCAAAGAACAAGGAGATTCAAAGTTCAGCACAGTGAAAACAGAAGGAAAACATCAACAACTTTGTTTCTTACTTTGCCAGTCCCTTGAGTGCAACGTTGTCTCTATCAAAGTAGGCAAACATGGCATGGTACACATATGAAACATTGTACTCCACACTGGAAGGAAAAGGTCATTAGACACAAACAAATAACAGAGCAAAAAAAAGCCACAAGACAAAAGCAGATAAGGCGGGAGAGCGAACCAACACAGACATTTCAAACCGAAAAAACAGATTTAAACACAAGAGATCCAGAAATTCAACAGAGTCCCTATCTTAACCTACTTGATTTGTTCGTTGATAGCGGCCTCACAGTCCTCAGCGTACTTGTGACGAGCAAGTGAATCCTGGGGAACACTGGGCACAAGCGAGAGCTCCTTCTTCACTTCCTCAAATGGCTCGAAAACGACGCCGCTGACCGTCTTGGTGGTGGTGCTTTTCGCCGCTAACATCAGGACTCCATTTCCATTCCTTCCCTCGAAACTCCTCGCCGGAAACGAAGACGGAACCGGCGACGAAAACAGGGCATTCAGACCTTCGCCATGGGAATTCAACGGGCTGAAAGCCGGTGCAACCTTTAGAATCATCCTTAACGGATTACAGCAACGAGGAAGACGACGAACAAGAGAAGATGAGATTTGCTCGAGGGATTTGAAAAGTTGGGAAGCTGTAGAAAATGGGAGAGATGAGCAACAGCGGATGAGTTTGGATTATATGTATACGGATTTTTTCAGGGGTTTGCAGTAGACCGTTGGATGAATAACACGTGGACGGATAGGATTGAGTATTGGGCGGGAGCGCGTGTCTGGCTCGTGGAATAGTGTGGAATTTACAGTAATAAAAATAACCTCCGTAACTAGAAAGTCCGGATCCAATTCCGGATCGGAATAGAGTTCGAATCCGGGTCGGGTTGGACCGTTCTACTCAATTTTCTTTTTCTTTTTTTTTTTTAATTTAAATTATAATGCGATCTCATGTATATATATTTTATATAAAATTTCATACTAATATCTAATTAAAATAAAATATAAGAAATTCAAAATAAAATAAAAAAAAAAACACGAAAATTGTTTCCTTGTATTTAGTTTTGTGTTTTGATTTTTAAATTTTAATTTGAAGATGACATTTATATAAAAAAGTGTATAGTAAAAAATAAATTAAATTAAATTTCAAGTAAATAGAGAAGAAATAGAAATAACAACACACCCTAAACACCCTTTAAATGCTCTTGCCTTTTTTTACAGCAAAATAATGAATTAAAATATTTTAAATAAAAAACTTATATATATTGGGTTTAAAAAAGATTAAGAATTGTTTTTTTATTCTTACATTATTTAATATTTTTTTATATTTTATAGTTAAAAATATATTATTTTCTTACCAAATATTTTTAAAAAAACAAACTGTAATAATCAATTCACTTCAATGAAATCGCAATTCCCCTACAAATTTTTTTTTAGTTTTAAATAATTATTACTAAAATTCTAGCAATCAATTCACTTAAATAAAATCACAATTTCCCTACAAATATTTTTATAGTTTTAAGGGTAAATCGTTTAACTGGACCTCTTATCATTTTAGTCCCGTAAGTGGAGCTTGTCGCAAACTAGTCCCATAAGTGAAAATTTTTTGCTGTTTTAGTGTCCTCCAGCGCCGGAGATGCCCGCGTGGCTCACCGGAGGTGACGTTCCGCCATGTGTCGCTGACCCGGCGGACACGTAGATTTTTATTTTATTTTTTCATTTTTTTAAAACTTATTTTTAATTTTATTTTTTTATTTGGTACAATTAAAAAAAATTAAAAAAAATGAAATAAAATAAAATAAATCCACGTGTCCGCCAGGTGTCGCTGACCTGGCGGGACACCTGGCGGACACGTCACCTCCGGTGAGCCACGCGGGCGTCTCCGGCGCCGGAGGACTAAAACAGCGAAATTTTTTCACTTATGAGACTAATTTGCGACATGCTCTACTTACAGAACTAAAATGATAAAGGTGTCCAGTTACGAGACTAAAAAACAGTTTATCCTAGTTTTAAATAATTATTACTAACATTCTAGCAAATTACAGGGAGTGTTTATTTTGTGAGATTGTTAAAAAAAAAAAATTATGCGAAGCATAAAAAATTGTATAGAGAATATAAAAATAATAAATGTTTATAATATATTACTCCCTCCGTCCACGGATAAAGTATACATTTACTTTTGGCGCGGAGTTTAAGAAATAATAGTATTTTAATTATACTGGATAGGTAAAAGTAGTGTAATGACATTTTTGCCCTTGCTTTTCTGTATAAAAGTAATGATGTGATGTAAAGTAATGGTATTTATGTAAAAAAGTGGGGTATTTAATAAAATGATTACTTTGTAATTGGACGTCCCAAAATAGAAATATGTATACTTTATAATATTTGTTTGAAAACACTTGGGAAGAAATACTATAAAGAACAAAGTCATTGTTTGCGCGCAGTTTGAAATTGATTTGAAATAAAATATTAAATTAAATTTGCATTTAAATAGTATATTAATATTATATTTTGTAGAAAAAATTATTTTCATTAAAACTTTTGCAAAATGTTGATTTCAATGTGAAATAAAAAACAAACAAACCCATCAAATATTAAGAGTGTGTTTGTTTGGAGATTTTTCGACTGACATGCACTATTCATACCAATTTTTTTTTTAAAAAAAATATCAAATTAAACATCTATTTTTTATTTTTTATATTATACTAAAAATTAATTTTACATTAAAAAAAACATTACATCAATAGTTATTTATATCACGTCATAAAATTATTCAAATTCAATTTTTTTACTATTCAAATTTTAATCCAAAATCCAAACCTTCGAACATACACACACTAAGGGTGTGTTCGGTTGAGAGATTTAGACAAAATCTCACTATTCATCCAAAATTTTCTCCCCAAAAACATCAAATCAAATACCTATTTTTTATTTTTTATATTATACTAAAAATCAATTTTACATCCAAAACATCACATCATCACCTATTTATATCACATCATACAACTATTCGAATTCAAAATTTTTACTATTCAAATCCCAACTCAAAATCCAAACCCCCAAACAAACACACCCTAAAAGTACTTTGAGTTTGAAATAGAAAATATAAAATTGAAATATTTGTTCGCGATGATTAACTATATTTTAATATGATATTTTAAATATAAAAATTAAATTTAAAATAATATAATAAATTAAAAATAAGTATGGTGTGTTCTTCCAACATAGTTTTTTTGTCATACTTCATTCTTGATCAATATTATAAAAATATTAAATATGCATATACATAATTTACACAATATCTATGATATTTAAGGTGTGTTTGTTTGTGTGAGATAATTTGATGAAAAGAACTTTTTACGTGAGATATAAAATATAATAAATATATGTTATATATTAATATTTTTGAAAAAATATGTATATATATATTTTTTTGTTAAAAGAACACATTCATATTATCCACTAATTTATTATTAATTTTTTAATAAATTTCTTATAATATTAATTACTTAGTTTTACATGTATTTTTTTTTTTAAATTTTATATCTACAATAATATGGACAATTTTTATTGGGAAAAGGAAGTATAAATTTGGAAGAATAATAATACTTCATTCGTCCCATAACAAAGTATCTATTTTTTCATTTTAGTCGGTCTCATAATAAAATATTCATTTTCTTTTTTAGTAACTGTACTATCTACCTAACATTACAAATACCGTTACAATTTACAATATATTACATGTCATTACATTTATATCACACATACTAATAAGGTTATTTTAGTTATTTCTACTTTATTTATACTATATCCCAATATAATACTAGTATTTTTAAAATTACGTGCAAAAAATAAATGAATATTTACTTATGAGGTGAAAGGAGTAATAAATTTAAAGTGTGTTTGGTACAAATAAATGATATAAAATACAATAATATGGACAATATTTATTGGGAAGAGGGAGTATAAATTTGGATGAATAATAATAATAATAATAAATTTAGGATAGGTTTGTTATAAAGAAATATAAATAGTTTTATTTCTCTTATTTAATTTAGCAAGAAAATTAAGAGTTTGACAAATAAATCATTTATTATTTTATTTTTCGGTCCAATATAAAAAAATGCTTTATGCAGTATATTTATTTTTATTTTTTATTTTTTAAATTTTTACTATTATTTTGAAAAAATTATACTAAATTTTGATATTACAAGATATTGTATTTAATTTATTATTTGAACAAAATTAAGTTTTTATGAATTCTCATTAGGCCATCTCCAACCCTCCACTTTATTCTTGCCGTTGCTACAGTAAAAATTGCAGTTGATCTACAGTAATTTTACTCCAATCATAAACTTCAATTTTTACTCTAAAAAGTATATTCCCTATATATTTCTTTTTTATATTATTTTATATAACTTTTCATATTTATAAATTACACCCCAATTTTAATTTATTTTTATACTAGATCCATACACATATAATTTATAAATTATTTAAAAATTACATATATAAAAATTAACATTTATAATTAATAACTATTACAAATAAAATAATTTTAAATAAATAATTAAATGCTATCAAGACAAATAAATAAAAATTATCACTTTTCAAACAGTAAAATTATATATCAATTTAAAAAATAAAATTATATATTTCTTTTCAAAAACTAAAATTATATCACTTTTAAAAAATAAAATTATACATTATTTTTCAAAAAATAAAATAAAATAACATACAATTTTTTAAAATATAAAATTATATCTCATCTACTAAAAAATTAAAATTAGACAATACACAAAAAAAAATACGAAAAATATCCCCATTAATTATTTATTTTTAATTAAAATACCTTTTTTTTTTTTAACATTTTTCAACTCACTTTTTTGTCAAATGATACTTTCATTTATCTATAATTTCATTATATTTTTTCTGTCTCATAAGAAGGATTTTATTTTCCATTTTCGTCTGTCATAAAATAAGAGTATTATTTCTTAATTTAAATTTAGTAACTGTACTACCTAACTAACATAATAAATACTCTTTCAATTTATAATATATTATACAAATATCACCACTTTTATATTACACAATACTAATAAAGATACTTTTGTCTTTTATACTATAATTTAATAGTATAATACTAATATTAAAAATTTACAAGTAAAAAACAAACGTCAGTTTTTATATTAGATTAATTTTGTCATAAATTCCACTATGGGTGTCTTTGTTTGGGAATTGAATTTTAAATACAATATTCATTCTATTTTTTCTCTAAAAAAATATTAAATATTTATTTTTTATTTTTTATATTATACTAAAAATTAATTTTATATTCAAAACATCACATCATTACTTATTTATATCACATCGGATCGTGTAATTATTCAAATTCAAAATTTTTACGATTCAAATCCCAAATCAAAATCGAAACCCCAAATAATCACACCCATATTGGTATCAAAAGAGTCCTGAAGGAGAGAGAGTTGATCGAACATGTTGTCCCCACCACCACTACACTACACTACGCTACACTGCAACCGCCTTTTGATGATCGTCAGTCACACAGTCATCACTCTCTCTCCCTCTCTCTCTACAGTCTACTCGAAGAAACCCTCGCCCCTTCCCCTAGCATTCCATTTCCATCTCCCATGGCAGCCAATCCGCCGGAGGGCTACGCCGCCGACGACTTCCTCGAGCAGATTCTCGCCATTCCTACCTACGCCGCTCTCCCCGACGGGGCCACCTCATCCGATACTACTACTTCCTTGAACGATGATACCGTCTCTCAGCTCGTCCCTTCCGCCGCCCTCCACCATCCTCCGCCCATGTTCCCCTTGAGCCTCAGCCTCGACAGCGGCCGCGACAACGGTGCCTTCTCCGTCAAGCCGGTGAGTTCCGATTTCGCTGTTCTCCTATTTTTATTGCTTCCTGTGCCGATTTTTTGTTGCATTTGCTCGATAGAGATCGAGATCGAGCCTTCTGTGTACTTGACAGAACCTTCATCTGCACAAAGGGGCAAAAAAAATTTTAAAAAATCCGATTGGCGATTACAGCTACCATAGCTATCGAATTCGTTCTCTCCGCATAACATTTGCAGTATCAATCATTCGAATTTCACGACAAACAATTGGTTTCAACTAATTCGTCTTCGGTTTTGGTTAGGTTTTCATAAATGCACAAATTTCTGTTTGCAGGAAAGGGAAGCAGTTGATAATAATTTAGGGAATCTGTATCCTGCTTACGATCATTTGCAGCCTCATTCAGTGCGTCCAGTGCCTCAAGTTCAGCAGGTCACACTCACTAATTGATTGATCAACATGAATTTCGATATTTTTTTCATACGGTTTGCCTTCAAGTAATCGATTGAATTGAGGTTTGTGCTTGCAATCATGTGAAATGGTGACATTTAGTCAGAACTGATTCTTGTAACATGCTGTTTGGGGATTAGATCAGATTGAGCCATCGTGCATTTTCTACTACAATCAAAGAAATGAGTTGGATTCACTTTTTATTTGGCATGCTATGTTTGATTTCTGGGATTCATATTAGGCTGCACTATTCTTGTAGTGACGGACGTTAGGGTTTACGTTTTCGGCGGTCGATTGTAGTTACAAGGTTGTAAGTTATTCCCCGAGCTTATTAGCATTCTTCTATATGTTATGGAGTTGGGAGAAATAGGTTAGATACGAGGATGAGGATGTTATTAATGAAGAAATCATAAACTAAAAGCATCTTAAAATGCTACGGTTTCTTACTTTTGTTTGTGCACTTTCTGTGTCGTCGAGTATGGAATTAACAGAATAATTTTCGAATAAGAATTTAATGCTAAGATTAGGCTGTGAATCATTAGGTTTAATTGTCATCTCAAATCGTTAGTGTTTAGACATTATATGCTTTCGAAGAGAAGACTTATTTATTTATTTTACGATGCAATCGCTTTAGTACGCTCGCTTGAACAGGCCTTTCAAGGTCACCACATGATGCCGTGTACGACAGCCACTTTGCCACAACCACCTGGAATTAGGCCTAGAGTTCGAGCAAGAAGAGGTCAAGCGACGGATCCCCACAGCATCGCCGAGCGGGTATCTGTTAAAATTCTCCAAAACGACACTGTTTCTGATTGAGAAATAACAAAATTATGGCTTCTTTGTTACAGCTGCGTCGAGAAAGGATATCTGAACGAATTAAGGCCTTGCAAGAACTTGTTCCCAGCTGCAACAAGGTGAGTATTTTTCTAAAAAAAATTATACCGCTACTATACGTTTAGCTATCGAAGTTCTTTTATGTTCTGTATGCATGTGATTGAAACCTCAAAACCTCACATGATTACATATTACTGCTCCTGACTTCCTTAGAAAAAAAAGTGCGATTTTTGTAATGACTCACATGGTGTAAGAGTGCCCTGAGCTGTGTAGGAAGTCTACGATTAGCTGTTCCTTTTTGTTTAATTTTTGCAGACGGATAGAGCTGCCATGCTCGACGAGATACTGGACTATGTGAAGTTCCTACGACTTCAAGTCAAGGTAGACTCCGTAGTTTTTTTTTTTTTTTTTTTTTTCCGCACCAAAATTTGATTCGAAGAAATTTCAACTCCATCCCCACTATATTCTTATCACAATTGATCAACAGAATGTCCAAATATGCGCAGGTCTTGAGCATGAGCAGGCTAGGCGGGGCAGGTGCAGTGGCGCAGCTCGTCTCCGACATTCCCCTGCAAGCCATCGAAGTACTCGAGTCGCCGTATTCTTACAATCGTTTCACGGACAAGGACAACTCACGAAGTTTTTTTTTTTTTTTTTTTTTTTCAGGATGATGGGGGCGAAATGGGATCGAAGCAGCACGCGTGGGAGAAATGTTCGAACGAGGAAACCGAACAGGAGGTAGCTAAACTCATGGAAGAGGATGTCGGGGCTGCGATGCAATTCCTCCAATCGAAATCTCTCTGCATCATGCCGATATCGCTTGCTGCGCTCATCTACCCCGCGAACCAATCGGAGGATTCTGTGCTCGTCAAGCCGGAGCCGGCGGCGCCTTCTTAAGCCTACCTAGTAAGGTTTTTCTACAAGCACTCCCTTCATCGATACATACATTACAAATAATATATATATGTATGTATGTATAATGTATGTATCTATTGGTGTCCTCACTACCCTACCCTACCCTACCCTACCCTAGCCGTGGAAATGCAAGGAGATTGCTTAAGTTGCTTTTGTTGTTGTCTCGATCAGCCATTGCTAATGTGTCTCTTTCTTGCTTTAATCCATAATCTCTCTTATATCTGGAGTAGGGTGGATTTGTGGGGGCGGATTTGGTTTGTCTTGTATTATTATTATTATTATTATTATTGTTATTATAGGAATATTAGTATGTTACTTTGTGAATCAGAATTTGGGGTTTTGTATATTATGATTTTATTGTGATGTGATGATAGTCATTATTGTGTTGTTAGGTGGTCGAGAATCCAATGATAATATGTGGGGGACTGACTGATTGCAAGATTAGATCGGGCACTTCATAAGTCGTACATAATTTGATCTCCTTTTTATTTTTATTTTTTATTTTTAAATATTATTATATATTTTACTCATATTTTAAATTTTATAATTTATATTTTTTTAATTTTAATGTATAATTGTTATACAATACACCTCTTAATTATTTATTAATTATGTTTTATTTAAATTTTCGTATCTAGTTGCTACAATATATATGGGTATGGAAGGGATATTATTATTACTATTATTATTCTTTTCGCTCCATTTTCTTGTTCACTATTTTTATTATTTTTGTCTTTTTTTTTTAATTTTTTTTAGAAATATTATTATATATTTTAATAATATTTAAAATTTTATAATTTATCATTTTTTTAATATTAATTATACTGTTTAATTATTTTAATTTATAATTAATTTTATTATATAATAATTTTTTTACTAATATATTTTTTTTAATTATTTATTAATTATATTTTATCTAAATTTTTGTAAAATTATTATTTTTTATATCAAAATATATACTTATGACGCATGCAGGAGAAAGTTATAGTACTATTATTTGTAATCGATTATATTAATTTTTAAATCAATAGTTGTTATAACCCTAAGGATAAATTTGTTCCTCACTCCGCCCGGTAATGTTTACTTTTTAGACGCGTAGAACTTTTAATATGAGTATTATATTTACATTGTAGTCAAAAATAAATAAAAATATTTATATTAGTATTGTATAATATAAAAGTAATAACATTGATATCATACTATCTTCGAGTTTTATTTACATTTTGTTTTACATATTAATTTTTGAATATATAATAGATATAAAATATTTAAAAGGTATAATAAATAATTACATAATTTATTTATTTTTAGAATAAACACCCCCAACAATTCCCCAAATTGGAGGAGGAAAAAAATTTAAAAAGATTGCCTCCCCACACATCTCTTCTCCTCTTTTAAACCCTCAAACCAAACAAACTCTAAAAGAAATAATTATTGTATATAATATTTTATAAAAACATATACTTTTAATTTTTTGATAATCTAATGTGGATATAACATTTCAAACTCTCTCTCTCGTGTGTGTATATATATACACTTTCTCCATCCTAGCTACAGTGTTTATTTTTACCGTATATACGAAGATCTAGAAAGGGTACAATAAGTAAATAATTAAGAATATATTAGTGAAAATATTATTGTATAATAAAAATAATTTTAGATTTAGATTAAGATAACTAAACAGTCTAATTGAAATTTAAAATTTTAAAATAAGATTAAAGTATATAATTATTTTCTAAATAAAAAAGAAAAACGACATTATAAATGAGACGCATGTAAATGAAAAAATGTACACCGTTCAAGTAAGTGGGACAAAGGAAATATTATTTCTTTCGTTATTTAATATTTACTTAAAGATATTATATTTATTTTTTATATTTTATATAAAATATTATATCCAATAATTATCCATATAATATATATTTTTAAAAATATATATTTTTTATTTTCATATAAATATAATCAATCCTTCGGTTCCTATTATTAGAAGAATAAATTACAATTACGATAACTTACGTGTTTAATTTGATGTATATATAGATCTCGATATTGAATTGCAACATATTGGATTTGTATATGGTTGTCGCGATAATTCATTATATATATTTTGAATTTTTCCGAATCTAGAGAGGCTTTAGGGTTAATCAAAGCATAATTAATATATATGGTTTGCATTGTATAACTAGTTTTGGTTGTTTTTGTATATGCATTCTTTTTCATTCGAAAAAAATGACTCCAAGAGTACTACTCTATACGACACATCTAAGACAACTTGCGATATAAGTTTTTTGAAAAGGAATGTGCATTGAACATTAACTTATTTGTTAGAATTTTGTGTTTTATATTTTGACGTCGATGTTGCAGTGCACAAACAACATCGAGAACATTCTTAATATATATATATATATATGTATTTTTATATGTTGTTTGCGAAAATAAATAGCCTTTTTGTATTCAATTAATCATTATCTCTTGTGTGAATTGGTAATTTATGTATGTTTATAATACACATTTTCTCTTTCTTTAATACTCCCTCCGTCTCGGAACTAAGTATTCATTTGTTTTTTGCACGTAGTTTTAGAAATATTAGTATTATATTGGGATATAGTAGAAATAAAGTAGAAATGACTAAAATAACCTTATTAGTATGTGTGATATAAATGTAATGACATTTGTGTAATATAATTGTAAGTGTATTTGTAATATTAGGTAGATAGTACAGTTACTAAAAAAGGAAATTGATACTTTATTATGGGAAAATAGATACTTTGTAATATAAATGTATGATTTTTTTTTTTTTTTTTTTATAAATTACAGTTGTTGAATAATATAAAATATTTTAAACATATGTGTAATATTTTCTAAGAGAAATAATAATTATAGATAATATTTTATAAAAGAAATATAGTAAGTCTGCCCTCGCACCATTATATCATTCCTTTTCACAATTTCATGTCATGCGAAGCTTTTTTATTTTTATTTTTATTTCCATGATAGTTGCTTGTGTACAGTCTAAATTATATTAATATTTTTTCTCATATTCTTTAATTTAAAATATTACATTTAATTCTTTTAAAGTCATATATTTTGAAAATTGTAAATATGAATAAACATTAGATATTAAGTATAATATTTTAAATAGATATTATAATATTAATATATTTTTTATATGCTATTTTGAGTACAAAATAAATATCAGGTATATATTAATTTTTTTTAAGAAAAAATTATCTTTTAACCAACTGTTTTGTTCACTTAGTGATTTTAGATGAAAGTATATATATATATATTTTATATTAGGTATGAGAAATTATATTGTATCAATGTGTATATATTGTATATTTTTAACAATATTTATAAAAAATTATTTCACTTAAAAATACTACAAACCCAATATATTGACTATTGAGGGTGTTTGGTAAAAAAATGAAATTGCAGAAAAAATTAGATTAGAGAATGAAATTGCATTAAAAAAAAAATGAATTAGATAATGAAAATTAATTCTCTTATTTGGTAAATAGATAATTCAGTTGAGAAATGTAAAAAAAAAAAATACAGAATGAATGGACCAAGAACAAATGATTAATAAAAAAAAAAGAGTTTTAACAAGTGAGAATTTATAAAAAAATATTATAAATTATATACGATATTTTGTAAGATCATAGTATATTTTTTTAAAAATATTGTATAAATTAAATACTTGAATAATAAATTAAATGTGATTTTTGTAAAATTAAAATAATATAATTATAAAAAATTATAAAAATTAAATAGTACAAAAAAATTAAATATTTTTAAAAAATACTCCCTCCGTCTCACCCACCATGTCCACATTGTCGTTTCAGTCCGTCCCACATCTCATGTCACTTTCTTTTTTTTTTTTAAAATAATGATTATATCCTTTGATCTCATTTTAAATTTTTTAATTTATTTTTTTTAATTTTAATTAAATTAATTAGTTAGTTATGTTAACCTTAATTTATAATTATTTATATTATAAGATAATTATTTTCACAGATACATTCTTAATTATCTATTAATATACTTAACCTAAATTCTCATGTCTACAGTGACCCAGACATCCAACGTTGGAAGGAGTATATTGCGATATTTATTTCTCTCCATTTATCCAAATATAAAAAAAATAAAAATAATTTTCATTTCTCTAATTTAAATAAACAAAAATAAAAAAAATATATTTTCATTTCTATCTGATCAACTCCCTGTACCATACACATCATAGGGTTTTATCCCCAATAATTTTGTGTGTATATATATATATATATATTTAATTTATGTTAATATTATTATAAAATTATATAATTAATATTAATCAATGACACAGTTTGGCTGCAGTCAACAGTTAGATGACATTCATTCATAGAGCACCCAACCCAATTGGAATTTATTAATACCAAAATGTTCCCTAACTAATTGCTTGCTTTTTAGGGTTTGGGTGGTTGAGTTTTGATACTATTATTATTATATTTATTATTACTATTATTATTATTGGTATAATATTTTTGTATTTTATAAATTTTAATTTTATCTTTCAAACTAAAAGTAGAGATTGAATGTGATATTATATATATAAATTAGTATAATAAAAAATGAAAAACTAGAGGTGTGTTTACTTATGGGTTTTAGTTTTGGGTTTTGATTTTAAATAGTAAAATTTTGAATTGAAATAATTGTTTGATATGATATAAATATATGTTGATGTGATATTTTGAATGTAAAATTAAATTTTAGTGTAATAAAATAAATAAAAATTGAGTGTTTGATTTGATATTTTTTTTAAAAAAAAAAATTAGAATAGTAAAATCAGGTTACACCTCACAAGCAAACAAACAAAGGCTACATGTTTAATGTTTAGTGCATGTCTTCTAATTCATTTTTTAATTCTATATATATATATATGCATGTTCCCTCCCTCGTGCAAATATGTGCTCATTTGACCGGACACAGAAATTAATAAAAATGAATAATAATTGTTATTTTTTCTTTTTATAATAAAAAAGTACAAAAATATAATAATTTTTTTATTTAAAAAAAAAACAAGAATAATTTTCGGTGACAAAGAAATATTATTTATATACATATGCATCTATATAAATATATATATTTGTGTGTGGGTGTGAATATTTTATTTCATCCCACAGATGTCTGGTGGATTTGATGTATGTATAGATTTAAGATTAATTAGAAGAACCATGTTTACTCTTTTCAGATTTACTTATTTTCGCATTGTTCGTTATTAATACTATTTTTAAAACATAATATTATAAATTTATTTATATACAAAATATTATTTAACACATTATATTATATCATAATGTTATTTTATTCAACTAATTATTTTCATTTTTCAAACTAAAATTTTCAAAATATTTTCAGTTTAACATTAAACTATTTTACTATTCATCGATTTATTTTCTTAAAAACAACGAAACAAGTATTATATTTTTTATACTTTCTCTGTTCCCATAGACTGTGTCTGCTACACTGTAAACACAATGTTATAGGAGAGATATAATTAGTAGATAACTAAGAATGTATTAGTGAAAATAATTATCCTATAATATAAATAATTATAAATTAAGATTTACATAACTAATTAGTTTAATTAAAATTTTAAAAAAAAAAATTAAAAAGCTTAAAATGAGATTAAAGTGTATAATCATTTTTAGAAAAAGGAAAGTGACATGGAACGTGGGACGGACAGAAACAGTAACGTGGACATGGTATATGAGACGGATAGAATATTAAACAAAAAAAAAAAATATCAATATGTATTATACTTCCTCCGTCCACTTAAAATGTTTACAATATTTCTATTTTGGGACGTCTAATTACAAAGTTAACATTTCATTAAATACCTCACTTTTTTCCACAAATACCCTTATTTTATATCACATCATTACTTTTACACAAAAAAGTAAGGTCAAAAATGTCATTATACTACTTCTAACTACTTACTATAATTAAAATATTATTATTTCTTAAACAACGCGCCAAAAGTAAATGTAAACAATGGACGGAGGGAGTATATAATATCAAAGAAGCTGTTTAAATTCCAAAATTTTAGTATACACTACTCATACTCAAAATCCAAACTTCACAAACAAACACACCCTAAAGACTTTAAGGGTGTGTTTGTTTGTGGGTTTTAAGTTTTGAGTTTTGATTTTTAATAGTAAAAAATTAAATTTAAATAGTTGTTTAATGTGATATAAATATTGACATGATATTTTGAATATAAAATAAATTTGGAGTATAATATAAAAAAAATAATTATTTGATGAGATATTTTTGGATTGAAAAAAGAGTTTGAATAGTAAAAACGGTAAAACTTACAAAAGAACGCAACCTAAAAATTTGTTTGATTTTAATTTGAAAGTGGGACAGTAATTTGAATTTTAGTTTAATAGTATTTTGATATGATATTTATAAAAGAGAATAATAGATTTTTATTGAATATTGTACCAAATAAATAATAAAAAATTAAAATTTTCTTATTATTTTTTTAAAACAGAAAGAACAAACGCACCCTAAATTATACTCCCTCCGTCCCACCTACTATGTTCATATTGCCGTTTCTGTTCGTCCCACATTCTATGTCATTTTTTTTAAAAATGATTACACACTTTAATCTTATTTTAAATTTTTTAATTTAAATTTTTTCTAATTTTAATTTAACTAATTAGTTATCTTAATATTAATTTATAATATTATATATTATAAGATAATTATTTTCGATAATATATTTTAATTAGCTACTAATTATATTTATCATAAATTCTCGTGTCTACAATGACGCAATCATCCAAATGAAACCAAAGGAGTACTACTACTGCTGCTAGATTTTCAGGGGACGAAAAGTTAAAATTTTATTGGAAATTGAGATTTATCTTAGTACTACCATTCCATATAATTTGTCTCTATTTTCTATTTTCGTCTGTCCCACATAACTTGTCCGTTCTATTTTTTTTTGGAAATATAATTATGCACTTTAATCGCATTTTAAATTTTATAATTTTCTTTAATTTTAATTAAACTATTTACTTTTCTTAATCTTAATCTATAATTATTTTTATTAAACAATAATTATTTTTATTAATACACTTCTTAATTACTTATTAATTATTCTTTACTTAAATTCCCGTATATACGGTAATACACTTATATTACATGAACGGGGAAGTACATTTTTCCACAAAGTCAAATCTAATAATAATAGTATTTATTATCATGCACACAAATAGTATAATAATCTGGTTTTGTTTTTCAAGAAATAACATCCTTACAATACATCAATCACATATTACAGTTTAAATAAAATAAAAATAAAAACAAAATTAAATTTAATAAAACACACGGGTGTATTCTTTTACACAAAATTTTTCAAACGCATTTTTTAAAAAAAATTAATATATTACACACATTCATTATTTTTATAATATGTACATAATTTTCTATATCTCACACACAAAACAAACACACCCCAACTAATTTCCAAACTAGGCATATTTTCCACTTGAAACTTTGAATTTAGTCACCTAGTGTTCCTAGGTGAAACGAATTTTTCAAATATATTATTAAAAGATATAATATAAAAATATATTAGCACAATATATACTACTTTATTCATTCACAAAAAATAATAATTTAATAAAAATATTACTCTCTTTTTTCCAATGCAATAGTCTTATTTACTATTTTTGTCCGTCTCAAAACAATAGTTTCATTTCCATAAATAATCATATTACCATAAAACTATCCCTATCTTTTCATTATTATTATACAATTGCCACTACTTTTTACACTAATATATTCACAATGGAAAAAAAATTATTTATCCTTACACTTTACCAACTATGCCCAACGCTATAAAACTATACTCTTGGGAGAGAGAGAGTATTATTATATATATATATACTTTATAAGATTTTAGTGTTAGTTTCACTCTTATTTTTTAAAATATTAAGGGTGCGTTTGGCAATTAGCTGATAGTTTTTAGTTGTTAACTGATTCAATTAGCTGATTTGACTAGCTGATTCAATTAGCAGTTTGTATTAAAGTGTTTGGTAAAACACCTGTTTAACATTAGTTGTTTATACATAAAATGAATTTTTTAAAATATTTAATTTTGTTCATTTTGGTTTGAAATTTATGAAGATTTTTGTTATTAATTATTAAAAATTATAAAAAATTTATAAAATATTTATTTTTATTTTTATTATTTAGTTTTGAAAAAATTAGTTTTACTAAAAATAATAATTTTTTATTGAAATTTTGTAAAATATAAAATAATAAATCGTATATATATTTTTATTATGTTAATTATTATTTTAATATATATAAATAAATTAATAATCTTTATTTTTTCTATTTGATTTAGTTTTAAAAATTTATATATTTTACAAATAAAATAATTTATATGTAATAATTAATAAAAGTAATTATTTTAAATTTACAAAAATAAAAATATAATTTAATAAATTAAATATATTAAATAATTAATAAATACTGTTATAAAAATATATTTATATATATAAAAGAAATAATTAAATTTTAAAGGTAAATAAGAAATAACCAAAATTAAAATGAAAAAGCTCTTTTAAAATGTTAGGTAGACGAGCTTTTCAGAAATTAGCTTAACTCTTTCAAAAGCTAATTTACCAAACACCTAAATTAGCTTTTTAACCGGTGAAACAGCTAAAAGCTGTTCAATAAGCTAAAAACTCTTCAAAAAGCTATTTTCCAAACACCCTCAAAATTAAACATTTATTTATTTATTATTTATATTACATTAAAATTTATTTTTACATTCAAATATTACATCAATATACATTCATATTATATCAAAAAATTATTTTAATTTTTAAAATTTTACTATTCAAAACTAAAATTTCACAAGTAAACAGCAAATCTTTTATCATTTAATTCGTATAGCAACGTTATAAAAACAAAAAAAAAAAAAAAAATACTATTTTTTAAAAATTACATGTATGCATGAGGATTACTATTCATCACATGATGCTGCCATTTCCCAAACTAAATTAATTATATATGCCTAATTAAAATTTAAAATAGAATAATATCACTCTCATTGATTGACTTATGTCTATATACATATATATATTATACCTACCCACTTCAAATTAAACTAATTAATTAATAAACCATCACTTTTCACAAGATATCAATTGCTATTATTTAAAATAATAACACTTGAGTAATTAATTAATTAATTAAACAGATTAATCCAACTTCCAATTATTGACCTAATTGTCAAAATCCCTTGGCAACTTTTTCTCACACCAATTATATATATATATATATATATCATTCATTACTATAAATATCACACACACAAAAATTAAGTACCCTTCATTCTCATTTCTTCTTCCAAATATATTTCTTCTACTTCTAACTCTACTTCAAGCTTTCTTCAAAAAATTTCTAGAGAGAGAGAGAAGAGAGAAGAGAGGAGAGAGATAGGAAGAAATGGGTGGAAGTCCGCCGTGCGCGTCGTGCAAGTTGCTTAGGCGACGGTGCGCCAAGGATTGCATATTCGCGCCGTATTTCCCTTCGAACGATCCTCACAAGTTCGCCATTGTTCACAAGGTTTTCGGCGCTAGCAATGTTAGCAAAATGTTGCAAGTAAGTCGCACGTGTATATATATATATATATATATGTGCATAATAACGAACTTGTTTTAATTTGTTACATTATTTATTATTTATTGCTCTCTCCGTCTCGTTATTTTTACTAGTTTTGATTTTAGCATTGTTTTAGGTGAGTCAGCGGTTACAATGCTGATTTAATATAATTAATGCCATAATGAAATTACAACAATATATATACAAAATAATATTACTTTCGTCCGACTTTAAGGGTTTCATTTACTTTTTGCGTGTTGATATTTAGATATTAATTACTATTAAAAACATAGTACAAATCAATGAACAATGACAAAAATACTTCTATTAGTGTCTTATAATACTATTATAATAACATTTGTGCAAAAAATTATACAAATATAAGGACATTCTTAATATTAAATACAATGACATAAAAGGTAAATGAGACCCTTATAGCCGGACGGAGAGAGTACATTAGATATAAATTGCCACCATATATATAAAATTGAACCGACTATACATATTAATAATTTATACACCATATGATGCTGCATTGTTTTATTTTAATATGATATTTATAGTATTATCGTGTATTGATTGAGACTATCAATATGGTGACAAAGTTTTAGGTGACATACAAGTTCCTCTAATTTATTTTTATTTTTTTCAAAATATATTTTAAATAATTTTATATACTATATTTAAAACAATAAAAAAAATTAAAAAATATTTGGTCCGTACTAACTCAAAGTACTATTTTTACTATTTTTATTCGTCCAACCCTAAAGTATTCATTTTTTATTTTAGTAATAATACATTAATACAAAAATATTATTATTTTTTTACCTAAATTACAAACATATATTACATATACAATTATATATATCACGACAGGAGCTGCCGGCGCCGCAAAGACCGGACGCGGTGAGCAGCCTGGTGTACGAGGCGAATGCGAGGGCGAGGGATCCCGTTTATGGGTGCGTGGGCGCGATATCGTTCCTGCAGAGCCAAGTGTCGCAGCTGGAGATGCAGCTAGCCGTGGCGAAGGCCCAGATATTCTATGTTCAAATGCAACACCAGGCGGCGGCGGCGGCAGCGGCAGCGGCGGCGACGATGATACTCGATGAGGAAGACGGCGGTGATGATGTGATCGGAAAGAAGGTGTGTTTTGATGAAGAGAGAATATTAAGGTCTTCTAGTGAATTATTATATCATGAGATGCTCAATTTTGGACACCATAATAATAATAATAATAATAATAATTCGATTAGTGATTTGATTTATTACGAGGATTTGAAGGAGTCGTCGTCTTTGGACATGCTTTCTTGATTATTATTATTATTATATATTTGAGGAATTGTAAGGTTTCTGCTTACTTTTTTATGCCAAACACACATACGCATTAATTTATATTCTAATTTACTTCTAGCGTGTGTTTGTTTGAGAGATTTTGTGGGATTTTTATTATTTTTATAAATCTTTTCTCTAAAAATATCAAATTAAATATTTATTTTTTATTTTTTATATTATATTAAAAATCAATTTTACATTCAAAATATCACATCAATTCTTATTTATATCACATCATACAACTATTCAAATTCAAATTTTTTACTATTCAAATCTCAATCCAAAATCCAAACCAACAAACACACCCTATAGTATCTTTCGGTTCCAATTCAAAATAATTTTTTTTTTATCATTTTCGCATTTCATATTTTAAAATATATTTTCTTATTTAAAAAAAATAATTATAGATTAATACTAAATTATTTTTAACTTTGATAAGATATACTATCTCCGTTCGACTCAAATAGTTTGTTTACTTTTTGCATATTGATATTTAAATATTAATTAATATATCAAAATATAGTACAAATTAAGAAAACAATTGCGAAAATACTTCAATTAGTGTCTTATAATACTAATAGAAGGATATTTGTACGAAAAATTATACAAATATAAATATATTTTTAATATTAAGTACAACGACGCAAAAAATAAATGTGATCCTTACATGCGGACGAATAAAAATATATTTAGATTTTTGTTCTTTTTTGATAATTTTGCCAATTTAAAAACATTTTCAATTTTACTACATTCAAATATTTTTTTCTTCTAAAAAAAAATGCTTTTATAACGGTATATTCTAATACAAATTAAACTGTTTTTACTTTTTACTTTCTACTTATTACTCCATTCATACATGAACTAATATTCTACTTTTTCCTATTTGGGATGTCCAACCACTATTATTCTATTTTTTTTTTAAACACAAATTTTACTTTTTTTACCCTTTATTCATTTATTACTTTTAATCTCTATCGTACAATTAATGAAAAATTTGTCAATTTATAAAAAAAGACAATCATTTAAAAAACCGTACAAATATACTATATTACAATAGAAAATGAACGAAGGGAGTATTATTTTATTTAAAAAAAAACAATTTAAATTGACTAAATATATGATAAATGAATACGTGCACCCACTTTGGTAAAAATGTGAGAAGGGGTCGTTGTAATAAAATAGGATGTTCACGTGGAACAATAGTATAGTGCATGCACTTAAACCACACTTGTGTCAATTTATCTAATTATTTTAAATCATTATCATACGTGATTATATATAAATACAAATATATTTCTTCTACACAAATTGTTATATATTCCTAATTAATTTAATAAGTAAATAATGAATCACCTTTTTACGTTGAATTTAGGGTATGTTTGTTGGAATTTGAATTTTTTTTATTGTTGATTAATTAACTAAACCAAATAAATCAACGATACGATTATCTTTAATTATATATTGAAAATAATTTATTTAAAAAAAAAAAATTTAAAATATGTCAAACTTTAGAAGAAGCCAAACAAATTGAAGTAAAAGCAATTTGGAAGCACATTGGCCTCGAGCCCTAAAAGGAAGAAATTAAAACCCGTCCAGGATCACACACACACACACACACACCCACATGTATGTGTGTGTGTGTGTTCGGAAATTAATTAATTAATTAATTAATAATGTAAGAAAGAAAATCGAGGATGATTGATGTCACAAAAACAGGATTGTGAATTTTGTCTTTTATTGTATCATAATTTTTGACCTTTCGCATGTTATGTTGGACTACCTATCGAAATATTTTGGTGTTTGTTTGGTTTTTATAAATATCAAATTCAAAATTCAAACTAAAACCAAACGGTTCATTGTCTCAATACAACGGAGGAAAATAAAATTCGTTTCTGAAGTTATCCAAACACGAATTCTAAATCAACTTAAATTGGCACCAAAGCCGTGTGAAATACCAATTGAAATGAAGTATTGATTTAGATTTTTGTTTAAATAATATTTTGATATACTATTTTATTAAAAAATAATATATTTTTATTAGAAATTATGTCATATGAATAATATTAATTTAAATTTAAATTTGTTTGTAACTAGTCCCTTAGAAACTTTTGGGTGTGTTGGTTTATAAAATTTTAAGAAATTTTTATTGTTCACTAATTTTATTTTTTTAAAAAATATTAAATCAAATATATATATATATATTTTTATATATTAAAAATTAATTTTACATTCAAGATATTAAATCAATACATTTTTATATATCTATCATATAACTATTTAAATTTAAATTTTTTAATATTCAATTCTAAACTAAAATCAAATTTCCAGACAATTTTCAAGGATAACTATTTCATTGAACAAAGTAAAATTTGATAATTTAGTGAGATAGATATAAGGGCTTGATTTATTTTATTTTATTTTACTTTCTACTATGTAACATCACTCTCTCTATGAAAATAATACATCAATTTTTCATATAGAATACTATCATAATTATATCTTATAAAATGTATACCATACACGTACACTTCAAAATTATTAGAAAAATGTCTATAAAATCTTTCTTTTACACAATTTCAAATACATATTTTATATTTTTATAAGAATTAATGTTCAACATAAAATATAAATTTTTTATATTATTAACAAGTTTTTTTATACATCACATAAAAAAAATCAAATCAAAACACTAAACAAACTATTTCTTACTTAAAAAATAATAATACATAATGCTATGATTATACATAATATAATGTTAAAAGTATAAATATTAGTATAATATACAAAAATAAATTAAATATGTTAACTTTATAAATTAACAAAAAATTGTTGGGTGTGTTCTTTTGAAAGTTTGGATTTTGTGTTTAGAATTTATATAGTGAAATTTTTTAATTCGAATAATTATATGAAAAACCAGTGTTAATATGATACTCCCTCCGTCCCAAATACCGTGTCTACTACACTGTAGACACGGTATTTTAGGAGGGGTGTAATTAGTAGATAATTAAGAATGTATTAGTGAAAATAATTATTTTATAATATAAATAATTATAAATTATGATTAAAATAACTAATTAGTTTAATTAAAATTAAAAAAATAAAATTAAAAAATTTAAAATGAGATTAAAGTGTGTAATCATTTAAAAAAAAAAGAAAGTGACATGGTACGTGGGACGGACAGAAACCACGGACGGAGGGAGTATTTATTAGTATGAGTTTTCATATATTACTACAACTTATCTGCTTCTTACTGCAGTAATATCACAACATAATATTTCAATAAAACCTTACTTACCCCTCAACTGGTAACACCAAAAATGGACAATCTTCAAGCTTCTGCCGACCTCCATCACCCCCACAAGGTTGCACTGTAAATTTCACGCCGGAGACGCCGGAAACAACTTCCATCTCCGATACATAGAATGCATTTCCGGCAGCCGTTCCGACGTACTCGATGCTGCCCCCGGAAGCTGCATTCGTCATCTTGTCAACATACACATTGCATTTATCAAACACGTCGTCATCGTCGACAGTTTTCCACACGAGCTTTACGCTGAGGCGCTTCGACCCGTCCGGGCCGGCAGAAGTCCAGACGATGAATCGGGACTCGATGAGCCACGAATTTGCCGGTGGAAACTTCGAATCGTCTCCGTCCGACGTGATCTTGATGTCGCCAAGCGTTGCGTTGTATTCCAACGAAGAAGGGACCGATCGGTAGCATATGGCCCGGATTTCTTTCAACGTGTGCCCCGGCATGTCGACCGTGCTTTTTTGCATGAACCATCCCGACTCGTCCCCGAGACTCGTCACTTCGCGCGGCATGATCACGGTTTCGAAATGTTTTGCGAACCGGGTTGTCGTCAGCAAAGCGTTCCCCGGGGCTGCGAGAAGTATACGCTTCTCTTCTTCGACGGCAGAAGTTGAGATGAGGGCGAGGCCTAATAGAGAGTTATTGCTCGATTTCACCTGCATGAATCGGAATTTTTATATTCAACGAAGGGATCGATTGTCGAAAAATTGTATTTTTATAGCTTGATTAATCCCCGAGAAGCATACCGAATACGTAAACGAGACCGGAGATTTCCCTAGACAAAGCTCCGCCTTGAAGAGCCTCGCCGTGAATTCAGAAGCCCGATCGTCAAGAGTTCCCGAAAATGTGATATTTCCTCCGCCGTTGTAAGACGCATTTTCGAGACTGTAATTTCGTATTTACACCAGACGACGAATTATACGATGATGGAAGTTAAGACAATACGATGAAAAACGATCTTCTTACTTGACGGAAACTTTGATCGACGCCTTGGCAGAGTCCTCGGCGTATTCGATGAAAGGCTGTTGAGATTTTCGTCGTAGAAATCGAAGTTAAAAGCTGAAAAAATTGTCGGAGAAAGGGCAAGAAACAGTATAGTTCGCGAACCTGAAAGCTTTGCAAACTAATATTGTTCCACGGCGCGCTCGAAACTTGTAGTCCGTCATGGTATACATGAAAACCACGACCCTGAAAAACAATAAGTTCATCGACAAAGTAGCAAATGTTCTGAGTACCAGCTATATAGAAAACCTGAAACTGATATATAGTTTGTCGAAAAGAATCACAATCGACAAAATGGCGAGAAGATAAGTACCTGATCAAAATTCGAGTAGAATGGAAGTTCTTTCGGATACTTCTGTACGGTTCCCCACGAATTTTCGACAAGTCCCCACCATCTGTTCATTCAACGAGAATCATCAGGCGTATTCGATCGCCTTAAACATGGAAGTAAACGACGAAATTAAGAAACCGGAATTACCTATTTTGAGCAGTTTGAAAGTCCGGCTCTTGTTTAGTTTCATAGACCCATCCGGGCGCAAAAATGGCTGCCGAAACATCACTTTTCTTTATTACATCGAGCGCGACATTCGTCTGTGCACAGACAATAGATCCTAACAATTTAAAGAACATTCGATTTTTTTTTCGAACAATTAACGCCTAATACAACGAAGAAAACATACAGTCCATTGCCCGCCACCATAAGTGTTCCTTCCAAAAACGTCGATTCCCACATACACGTCGAATTTTCTGTCGCCAGCAACATCTCCCGATAGCTTAGGATAGTTTTCCTAAATGATACCCGAAGGAAAACCTCAAAAACTAAACAGAGTAGCCGCCAACAATGATTTCAAATATAAATTAGATACCTTCCACGTATAGTTTGTAAATATGCCATCGCATAAGTCGAAGAACGCCTTGTTTTTCTCATTTAACTGATCCTGCCACGCAAGATCTCCGTCAACAGTAACACTGTCGTACCTAGATCATCAAAATTATGCGCAAATTTTCATTACATAACATCCAAAATCCAACATTCGAGTTCTAGTTAGGACAACAACTACCATATAACCAATGAGCCAGGCAGCGACGAGTGCATAGCCTTGCTTAAATGGCTGACAAATTCTTTCAGATTCGGAATTTGTTTAACATCCAATTCAACTTCAAAATTAAGCTGCAGTACAAAATTAAAAATTACGAATACAGAAACATATGTAAGAGAAACAATGCCAAGCTAATCTCCAGCTGATCTGCTTGCCATGAATAAATGCATCGAAATATACGAAGAAGATGAAGATAATGTACCAGCCAGCCATCGAAACCAAGAGCAACTGCAAGCTCAGTCAATCTTTCGGCATACATTCGAGCCGACTCTTTTGTGGATAGCAACTTATTAGCTTGTTCTTTACCTTCATCCCATTCGAAGATGAAAGTTCCTAACACCTTAATCGTTCAAAAACTTCGACAATTAATTTAAGAACACTAGCAAGAACGCTACAACGGTACAACCTCGTTATGTTCATTTGATGAACAGAGATTGGAAAAAGGATGATCACAACAACCAAATGATTCAAACAATCGCATTGAACATCAGAATTAGCAATGGAACCAATCAAATCAATCATTATCACAATCCAATTAGGCTAACTCTGCTAGCAATTGATCCAATTCGAAATTTAACCTAGATTGGAAAAATCCCCAAATTAGTTCAATTCATAATTTACCCTAAACCGATAGATCCCCAAATTCCAACGAAATTGAAACGTACAGGAAATCATCCTAAGAAATCTCTGCAAATACCTTAACGCCATGGCTGTGAGCGGTGTTCGTCCAGCACGGCGGCGGCAGAGTCACCATGTTGTGCGAAAAATAAACGAAAACATCGATTAAATACCAATGCCATATCGCGTACGCATCCGCGTTATCTCCGCCCTGCACAAACCGATCGTCGGTATAACCTCCGGCCATGTCGTGGCAGACCAGAATCCGCGGCCGATTCGGCAGCGCCGCCGCAGCTCCTCCCAGCTTGACCGCAGCTCGATTGAACGGGTAATGGAAGGAGGTGAAGTAAGCGCGAGACTCCAACTCGTCGAGCGTTTTGAGAGGGTACGCGATTGGTACCGCCGGTTTGGAAGGGTCGAAGGGAGGCGCGTCGGCGGCATGGGTGTCTGCAGCGGCGGGGGATGAATCCATGACGATTGAGGAGAGGAGTGAGGTGAGGGTTTTGAGGGCGGAGAAGAGGCGGGGATGGTGGAACTTTATGTAGGAGAGGAGGGGGAAGCATGGGCAGCGAGGAGGAGACGCCATGCGAGTTGACTTCTTAGGTCATCGACTCTGATGAGTCTGAGCATCTATCTATCTGTACGTCCTTCTGATTTGCGTTTGCATTTATTACTATAATCTATGGCATCAAATTTGTACAATAATAATTTCATGTATTCTATCATAAGTACACCTTAGGTTTGATAAAAGACTCTTTTTTTTTTTTTTTTTTTTTTTTTTTTAGGGTTGAATGATTTCTATATATTATTAAAATAATATAATACTCCATCCGTCCAGCTACAAAGTATACATATTTATATTTTGGACATTCAATTTAACTATTTCATTAAATATTCTATTTTTTTTCACAAATACTCTTACTTTACATCATATCATTACTTTTATTAAAAAAAAAAAAAAAGGACAAAAATGTTATTACATTGCTTTTACCTACCCACTATAATCAAAATATTATTGTTTTTTAAACTCCGCGCCAAAAGTAAATATATAATTATTGTTTGGATGGAGGGAATATATTTTACTCGCTCAATCAACTATTAAATATTATTTTTATATTACTAATATAATTTTTTATACACTGTTAAGAAAAAAAATCATTCAAAAACAGAACAAAGAGTGTGTTTACATATAAGATTATGGTTTTTGATTTTGGTTTAGTAAAATTTTGAATTGAAATAATTGTTTGATGTGATATCAATATGTATTGACTAATGTTTTAAATGTAATATTAGATTTTAGTGTAATAAAATAAATAAAAAAGAGTATTCGATTTAATATATTTGGAGAGAAAAGAAAATTAACAATAGTAAAATGAAGATAAAACCCACAAGTAAACAGAGTCTTTGTATTTTATTATAAATATATAAAATTTTATAATAAAATAATTTTTGTTTCATTTATTACAGGTATATTTTTTTTAAGGAGTCTGGAAACTTTTTTGTTTGAATTTAATGTTAAAATAACGTATGATTTAATATTTTGTAAAAATAAAAACTACAGTCCTAACTAATTTGTCAAGCTGAGCACATAGTTTAAAATAATATGTAATTACTAAGAAATTAAGAAGTGTATTAGTAAAAATTAATATGATATAATAAAAATAATTATAGACTTAGATTAAGATAACTAAATAGTTTAATTAAAATAAGGAAATATAAATTATGAATTTTAAAATGTGATTAAAGTGTATAATTATATTTATAAAAAAAGATAAATTATGTGGAACGAACCAAAATAGAAAAACAAATCAATTATGTGGAACGGAGATAGTAATATTTTTTTTAAAAAAAATAATATTAAAAAAATAGAACGATTATTATTTTTTATCTATTAAAAAATACATTTGAATATTACAAAGATCTAATAAAAAGAAAAATGATACTCCCTCCGTCCCAGAACTATAGTTTTAATTGGGTTGGACACGAGATTTAAGAAATATTGACATTATATTGGTAGTTGATAAAAGTATGGATAAAAGACTTTTTTGCCTTTGTGAGTGTATTAGTGTAAAAAGCAGTAGCAATTGTGTAATAAAAATAAAAAAGCAAGGGTAGTTTTATGGTGATATTGTTATTTATGAAAATAAGACTATTGTTTTGAGACGGAAAAAAATGATAAATAAAACTATTGTATTAGGACAGGGGAATAGTATAATATTAATATTATGCATGGTTCCTTAATACTTCTCCATTTGATTTTGTTACATAAATGAAGGGATCTTAAGTATTTTATTATTAATTAGTCAATAGTATATAATATTGTATTGCTTATAATGTGATTGAAAACATAACTAAAATAAGATAATGATGTATTTAAAGTTTTAAATAAAATATAAAGATATTTTAATTATTTGTGTAAATACAACGTTTACTAAATTGATATAAATAACATAATAAGTATATATTGAGTGTGTTTAACACAAAATAGTAAAATAAATATATTCATTTTGGACAGTAATACAAATTATTATAATGATTTTTTATTGTAAAATTTTGATCAAATGATTTAATTATAAAAGTGAGTTTGATTCGTGTTTGTATTTATATTTATATTTGTATATACATTTGTTTGATATAGAAAGTGTATGTTTTTTTTTTTAATTTTAAATTGAGATTAATATATTTTTTAATATAAAAAAAAATTAATTTTTTTCTTACAAAACATTAGTATATCAAAAGAACATTTAAATACAAACTTAAATCTACATTTCATTTCAAATTAATTTTAAATCACAACTACAAACGCTTATAGATATTATTTTTTATTACTATTTTCTAATAAAAGAGGTTGAAAATGATATTTACATATTCTGTACTTTCTAAATACAGGTAATATACAAAAATAATACTCCCTCCGTCCCACATAATTTGTCCCTATTTTCTATTTTCGTCCGTCCCACATAACTTGTCTTTTCTATTTTTGGAAATATAATTATGCACTTTAATCGCATTTTAAATTTTAAATTTTATAATTTTCTTAATTTTAATTAAACTATTTACTTATCTTAATCTTAATCTATAATTATTTTTACTAAATAATAATTATTTTTACTAATACACTTCTTAATTATTTATTAATTATATTTTACCTAAATTCTCGTATCTACGGAAATAGTCTCATATTTTATGGGACGGAGGGAGAATTATGTATAAAATTATTAATTTCGCATAAATAATAAAAATATATATTATATATATATCGTGTTAATATGTATATATTATATATTTTTTCAATAATATTTATGAAAAATTGTTCACTAAAACACTATGAACAAATCCTTACAATTAACAAAAACATAGTATGATTATAATTTCAAGTGAATTGTAAAAATATTTTATTAATGTATGGTGATCACATTTTTTTTTTCGTAAATTGTATCAAATAAAACATTCATTTTTCAATTAAAACATTTTATTAAAATTTAGTTTATATACAAAATGTTATATTTATTTACATCAAATTTTAATATAATGTATATATATATTTTTTTGTCTTTTATAATAAAAAAATTAAATAAAAATACTAGTAATTAATTTTTGGTCAACAAATAAAATAGTATGACTTTTTATTTAAAAAAGAAACGAATCTATCTTTTATGAAAGGAAAGAAAATTAAGCTTATTTTTTATGATAGAGATAGTATAATTTTTTACTATTTTTAATTTTTTTTTTAATAATTGTTCTCGTCACACTTTTGTCTAATTTCGTGGTTGATATAGAGAAAACAACTATTCTTCGGGTAAAGTGGACGAGAAGAGTGAATCTCGATCTAACTATTCTAACCGAAGGGATGATAGGGGACAGGGTGAGACGGAAGCTAGTCCGGACAAATATTTATATTAAAAAAAATCTATTTTAAATTTAAATAATATTATAATCTACTATAATTAATTTATTAAATTTTACTATTCTAAATATCATATCATATCATTAATCAAATGTATTGGTTGATTTGGACAAAAATAATATAAATTAAGAATATTTTAAATAAAAATTATAATTATATTTAATAATTTATTGAAGTAAATAACATATGGATTTTTTTATTATTTTTATTTTTTTATGGAAAATTTTTATTTTTAGTTTGGTATTTTAAGAACCCCCAAATAAATTTGGTCAAATTTTTATTCATTAAGGATAGTCCGATTCTGATATTGGTCATCGCAATAGTTCCCATTTGAATATGATGCGTATTGATTCTTGTTGCGAGATTGAGCCCGAATTATTTCCTGAAGAGGTCAAAAAATTCGATTAATGTCAATTTTGACTGGCCTAAATTCGTTAAGCCGTTATCGATAGAATTTTTGCGACAACAACAAATTCCTTGTGTAACACATTCTATATATGCATTAGAAAATAAAATTTTAACAAAATTTCTCATTCATCACTCTAACTTGTTGTACCATTTATAATCTATGATTTTACTTTTCTTAATCAATCTAAATGACTATAATAATATGTTATTACTTTTCATTTAAGTCAAGTAAAGAGATTGTTAAAAATAAAATAATGTTGTTCCTTTGTAAAGAACCCTCAAGGAAGAATCAAATATTCACTAGAATTTGTTTGGTTTGAGTTTTTAATTCTTTAAAATAATATTGTAATATAATATTTTATTATTGAAAAACATACAAATTTAATAATAAAACACTAGTTTGAAATAGAGCTGACAATGAGTCGATTTGTATCGGGTTAAATATTTTAAACAGGTTAAATTACTCAATCCTAACCCAATCCACTTATTATTGTGTCGGGTTCGTGTTGACCCGTTTATTATCGTGTCGGGTTCAGGTTGACTCATGTTGACCCGTATACATAATTAAGTCGAATTTCTTGATTCAAATTAAATAATTTTTTGTTGTGTTGTCGTCTTATGTTAGTTTTTATTGGTTTGAGCGTAAATTAGGTTGAATTATTTAAAATTAAATTTAGTTTAAATTAATTTATAAGAAAATTAATAAATTATGATTATTTTACATATATAATAAATATATTAATTAATATTAATATATTATAATCGGGTTGTCGTGTCGGGTTAGAGTTGACTCTCAACTCTCAACTCTAACCCGACCCGTTTATTATCGTGTCGGATTCGTGTCAACCCGTAAACATAATCAATTTGAAATCTTTGACCCAAACCCAATTATTTCGTATCGAGACATATCAAATTGTCGTGTCGTGTCATGTCAGTTTTTGCCGGCTGTAGTTTGAAACACTAACCAAGCAAAGCCCTATATTTGCACGTTATAAAAAGAAAACGTACAAACAAATTGACCTATTAACTTAACTGATTCTTAGCATAAAACAGATGCAGGGAAAAACGTTATGGTTTGTTACTTCTACAAATTTCTATTTTCAATTAATTTTTTTTTTTAAAAAAAATATATACGCAAAAACTTAAAAAATACTCCCTCCGTCCCAGATACCATGTCCACGTTGCCGTTTCTCTCCGTCTCACATACCATGTCACTTTCTTTTTTTTGGAAAATGATTACACAGTTTAATCTCATTTTAAATTTTTAAATTTTAATTTTTTTAATTTTAATTAAACTAATTAGTTATTTTAATCTTAATTTATAATTATTTATATTATAGGATAATTATTTTCACTAATACATTCTTAATTATCTACTAATTACACCCCTCTTAAAATACCGTGTCTACGGTATAGCAGACACGATATCTGGGACGGAGGGAGTAATATTTTAATTGTTATTGGTAGTTAAAAGGAATGTATATACAATTTTGTACTTAGGTTTTGATGAATATACGAGTGATGGTAAAATAAGAGTATTTGTAGAAAAAAAAAATAGAATCTATAGTTACTAAAAAAAATTGTTATTTTGTAATTAGATAAATTAAAATAAAAATATGTATATTTTATGAGTGAATGACGTATTACTTGACTATTAGTAGTTGTCCAATATATTCTTGTTGACATTGACTATTATTTGGAATTTTCTGGTTCATCTGTACATGTTTCAATTAGAATTATATCATAAGTAAATATAATAATTCGGACATTTGAAATTATGGTTTTAAGTAATAATATATTGTTTTAACTATATAATTGAGTTATTAAAATGATGTTTTCGAAAATTTTAAAATTACGCTTGATTCAATATGAATGTAATTTTATATAGTTCAAAATTTTATACAAATAAATAAATATATACATAAATTAGTTTATAAAAATTAAATATATAAATATTTGTATATTTAAGAGAAAAACAAAATTTGTGGAAACGGTATGATTAAGGTGTTTGATTGGACCTAATCAATACATAAAATATAATATTGTTGATGTAATTTTTCAACAAAAATAAAGTAAAATTTAAAGATATAGAAAATATCCTTAAACTTGATTAATTAGTGCCTGAGATTAGGAATCTCTAAACACTGTATGGTACAGAAAATAAACTGGAAAATAAAAGACTGAAATTTAAAGTGGTGATCCCCAAATCTGACTTTGCTTTGTTGAAGTTGATTGAAGATGCCTTGCCAAATGATGATCCAAATCCTTAAATATTCTTTGAAGAAAACGTTCAGAACCGTCGTCTGGTCAGTTACCATAACCGTTGTTAACCGCCCCAAAAGTTCTCTTCTATTGACACGTGTGTCAACCGTTCTACTACGTCCGACCTTCAAAAAACCGTTCGCCAGTTGCAACTTCCTCTAACCGCCCCAGAACTGCTCTCTCACCCGACCTGCACATGCTACTTCACTTGGTCCGAACTTCGCATCAGCCGCCCTCCGTCTTTGACCGACTTTAATTGGTCCGACCATGGACCAACCAAATGTGGTCCCGACCACGGACCAACCGACCGGCTCTATTTGCCTTATCTCTTTAGAAGGACAGACTGTCCTCTGGACAGACCTCCGCATCTGTCCGTACCTCTTCCTTGCCCGACCTTTCTCTTGACAAACCTTCGCGTCTGCCCGACTTCGTCTTTCACCCGATCTACGGTTTACCCGACTTGGGTACACCTTTTTTCAGACTCCGCCCGACCTTTCTTCCTTCCCGATCCTTGCATCTGTCCGATTGCACCCGACTTCTGGGTCATTTAACTTATATTCAGACCCGTCCAGAATCCCACTGCCATTATTTATTATTATTATTATTTTTTTTGTGCTTAACAAATATGCTAGCCGATGGTTTTAATCATTACTATAAGCGTTATGTACATTATTTTCACGTGTGGACCGTTTTCATATTTTATTAAGGTGTGTTTGGAAACAGCGTTTTGAAGAGCTTTTAGTTTATTGAACAACTTTTAGCTGTTTGACTAGTCAAAATGCTAATTTAGGTGTTTGGTAAATTAGCTTTTTGAAAGAGCTTTTTGGACCCGAAAAGCTCATCTACCCAGCATTTTGAAAGAATTTTTTCATTTTAATTTTGGTTATTCCTTATTTACCCTTAAAACTTAATTATTTATTTTTTACATATAAATATATTTTTATAGTAGTATTTATTAATTATTTTTAATATATTTAATTTATTAAATTATATTTTTATTTTTTTTTTGTAAATTTAAAATAATTACTATTATTAATTATTAGATATAAATTATTTTATTTGTAAAATATATAATTTAAAACTAAATTAAATAGAAAAAACAAAGATTATTAATTTATTTATATATATATTATAATAATAATTAACATAATAAAAATATATATACGAAAGATTTATTATTTTATATTTTACATAATTTTAATAAAAAATTATTATTTTTTAGTAAAAATAATTTTCTCGAATCTAAATAATAAAAATAAATATAAATGTTTTATAATATTTTTATAATTTTCAATAATTAATAACAAAAATTCTCATGAATTTCAAACCAAAATAAACAAAATTAAATATTTTAAAAAATAACATATCAATGTCTATAATAGTCATTTTATATATAAACAGCTAATGTCAAACAGTTATTTTACCAAATAGTTTAATATAAACCTCTAATTGAATCAACTAGTCAAACCAACTAATTGAATCAGCTAACAGTTAAAAGCCGCTAATTGCCAAACGTACCCTAAGTGTATTGTATTTTGTTTTTGCTAAAATTAATAATAGTTTGTATTGTGTGGACTATTATCATATGTTGTCTGTTTTTATATTATATTTGTATTATATTAATATAAAATTTATATTATTAATTCATATTTTATATATTGTCATATGTATTATGCGGATTGTTCTGCATCTATTTCAATGACTGTTAATTTACACTACACAAATATAATTCTACTACAAATAAACCCATATGGTTAAAATAGCTTTTTTGTTTTTTTTTTTGTTTTGTTTTTATATATATATATATATATACAAATTACTTATTTATTGGTATATCAAAAAACTTTATACCATAGTTTTATATTGATATTTTTGGTCCGGCATACACTATTAGGTGAAATTTACAACATATCGTACCTTCTGATCCATAGCTAAGATAAAAAAGGAAAAAATAAGATTGTTGGTAGTATTTAGTTTTAATTAATTATTAAAATAAACAAGACAAATTTAATTTATAATTAATTAGCAAAATTAAATTAAACAGAATTAAACAAATAATTTTTATTCAATTTAATAATAATAAAAGTTATTTTGCTAAATATTTTTATTTATCAATATAAATATAAAAAATATGTGTACATTTGAAAAATAAGGATATGTAAATTTTTACATTATATATATATAAAAACTTATAACACCTAGTGGCGATTCCCTTCGTTATGTCGATTATATTGTTGATTATATTGTTGATAACACGTAACGGAAAAAAAGAAATGACAAATAGAGTTAAGAAAAGATTCAAGACCATCCGCATGGGGGAATTATCTATTTAAGAAAAACTTTCTTTTCTACTTGACAGAAAATATGATATTATTAAATATATTAAAAAAATAAAAAAGTGATTTGAGTGACCGGAAATAGAGAGAAATTTAACAAAATTTTTTCGCTTTTTGTTTTGTATTTATTTATAACAATTTTATTTATTTTTTATTTTTTATGTTTTTGTATGTTATAAAATTGAATTATCTACAAATTATATATATTGATATAGTATTTTTTTTTTATTAAATTTATTTTATAAAATAAATTATGTTGAAATAAAAATAAATACTCCATCAATCCGGCTAGTCTGATTTACCTGTATTATAAGACAATGGTCATTTATATCATTATGTAGCAAGTTGGACGAACATTGACAATCATTATAACAAACTCAATTGATTAACGAACAAACCCAAATTTTGTTCACGAATATTCTTCAAAATAACATATTTATTATAAATATTATATATACATAAAAAATTATAAGTTATAAATAAATAAAATAATTTTATATTTCCACTTTAATTTAGATATAAATTCTAAAAAGTTAAACAAAATGAGCTTAATTGAACCAAATGCAAATACAAGGTCAAACAATAAAAATTCTTAACGAGTCAAACTCAAACGCTTAACAAATAAACACAAACCTTGTTTGCAAATATTAGTGAAAGAACACAAACTCATGTTTGATCTAAAGCTAGTACATTTCCAGAAAGATGAAAGATCATTTGAATAGAATGAATAGCTAGGCAGTGTAAAATCAGATGAGCATACAGTATAACCAGCAACTATTAACCAAAACTCATTGTGAAATTACAACACATTCAAGGAGAAGCAAGTATTGAACTCTGTTTCAAGTAATCGATATCTAAAAATCAAAAATCAATACCCGAAAAAACCAGAACACGACCGAGTTCGTAAATAGCCTTTGTGTTCCTACCCATGCACAACGTCGGGACACCAAAGGCATCTCGGGTACCCCTCGACCCATCCTCCTCGATCACCTTAAACACTTTCACTGCCGAGAGCACACAAGATTTAGTATTATCGTGTAATATAGGGATTTCGAAGGTTACCTTGCCTTGAGTGATGATCATCGTCCCGGCATTTTGGATTGTTACCATCTCTATTCCCTTGAAGAATTCCATTCCCAACACCATCTTATGGTCGTTCATCAGGATGACAGTTAAGTTCACCTCGCCGCGCCAATCCGCAAGTTGCATTGGTACTCGCTTGGCCACGCCGACGATCGGCTTTGGTTCTGCGTCCACCGCCTTGAACCATCCGGCCTCCTTCGTCACCTTTATGCCCAACCGAGCCGCCTCGTCCTCGGCTAATAAATTGTTGGTTGTCCCCGTGACGATCATGGCATTGTTGACTCCCCCGTTCACCTTTGCCTTGACGTACATAAGACCACCCTCGGTCTTCTTCTTTCTCGATGAAACATCCGTCGCTTCATTTGCTTTCAAGGGATCGAGGAATTGCGTTGAATCCATTTGCTCCTCCTCAGCTACCTCATTCTTGTGCGGGCATTTCCGAACAAAGTGTGGACCACCACACCAAAAGCAACCCTCGTTCTTAGGCCCGACATTGTTCGACTTCGCCTTACATTTAACGGTTTGTTTGTTCTCCGTCTTGTTGGGTTTTTCTCCCCCGCCATTCTTCTCGACCATTTTTTTTATTTCTTTTGGATGTGAAATCCTTTCGGAACTCGTCAACGTCCTCCACAACCGCAATTGCTTCGGACAAGTTCTGGACTTCCATTCGTTCCACCTCGAGCGCCACCCATGATTGCAATCCGTCCAAAAAAGTAGAACAATTGATCTTTTTCGTGCATATCGGGAAGCTCGAGCATAAGTGATGTAAACTCGGTGATATACTCTTTAATGCTCCCTGACTGTGTTAGGCCATACAATTTCTTCATGGCCATCGCTTTGGCATTCTCCGGGTAGAATTCTCGCTTCAAATCCGCCTTAAATGCATCCCACGTATCTATCCGAGCCGTCCCTGTACAATGTCATTGTGGCGCCTTCTCCACCATAATGCGGCATAGTCCGACAAATACAAGACTGCCATCTTGATCTTTGTCATCATCGTTTAATACTCCTACAAGATCCAAATAGGTTTCGAGCGACCAAAAGAAATTATCGATTTCCTTGGCGACATGCTTACCCGAATATTTTGGAAGTTCTGGTGCCAGATTGCACAACGTCTCCCGTACCATGGCACCACCCGTCACGGCCTCCTTGCATAATGCACAATCCTTCTCGACACGGTCCAATCGCAATGCCATTTCATCCCTTAACTTGGCTCTCTCTCCAAAAAATATAGCCTTCAACTCGTTAAGTGCCGTCAACATGTTGTTCTCGACCTCGCCCATGTCCTCCTCGAGGGTGTCCAATTTCTCTATGGACTCCCCGACCGCAATCTCGAGCTTGGCCACCCGACCGTCCAAGCTATTGAGTGGATCACGAAACTCTCCCTTTGATCCCCACTTGTCCTTGAATTTATCATTCTCACATTTTTTTTTCCCATTGTGCACGCTCTTGTGGATATCTCCCGACATTCTCAAGGCTTGCCAAGATCGTTGCTCTGATACCACACGTCACGGACTAGCTTCTATCCGTCAAATTAAATGTGTATCCCTTAGCAACTCACTTTTTCGATTACTAAGGCAAACTTCCCGACTTGGCTAAGCACCTACAAAAGCTAAAGGCCTTTTACAAAGAGAAAAAATGTGTAGCTAATGATTGTATTAATGCTTGGATGATCACAAAGGAGGTGAAGGTCTTTTATAGGCCAAGGACTCTATACAACTTTCAAGAATGAACAACTATCTACATGATTCTATAGTCTTTCGAAAAGTTCCGGAAAGTTCCGTAGTATTCCATCATGTATTGGAAGAATCCAGAACATTCTCGAGTCTAAAACCTTCCACCAAGTTTGAGTAAAGTCTCCACATACCGAAAGATTCTAAATATAACTAAACCAGCATCTCGAGACCGTTCCCCAGCATCCGCCGTGACAACACTCTAAATAAAATTGTCTTTCATTAATTATTTTCATGCTATATTTTAAAATCAAAACACTTTTGTTCTTTTACATTTTTCGTTCTTAATAAAAAATAATTTGCTTCTAAATTATTTAAAATATAATAAAAAATAAATATCCATAGCATTTTCTCAACTCTCAAAATATTTTCACAATATCCTGGAATTAACAACACAAATCACACAAAATAAAAAAATCATTGGAAGAACACAGCCAATAGACACCACACAACAAACACAGCCTTTTTAATTCCCGGTATCAATGGATGCACATGATAGAACAATACAGAATTCAACAAAATGCAAGCCGATGGAAAAGTAAAATCAAACAAATTAATAGAAAAAACTCCCAAATCAAATTGTGATGATGATAATACAGACCAAACTGTATCTCTAATGCCATTAAGTGTTATAGAAAAGATCCAACAGCTTTGCCCTAATTTCAACCTCACAAACATATGCAAGCATTCTCCCAAACAAGAAACGAGAAAGAACACATCAGAATTTGCACATAGAATTTCAAAATAATTCAGAAATCACACCAAGATCTAATTCCGAGAATCAATCCACCGCACAAACATTTCAGAAAAAAAAAAAAAAAAACATTACCTAGAAATTTCACACCATACACTAAACAATCGAAGAGATAGTGCCGTACCGAGAGCGAAACGAAAATCACCAACAAATCACGCACCTACTGGTTATTATCTTCCTTGCGCAACACAATCGTCACCGCGGAAACCAGAACCGCAATCTATTACGTATTGCAAAATCTCTTCCCGCGCACACACAAACCCTAAATCCAAAACTTAAGATTCTGCTTTCATTTAGGTTTTATAACTGTTTGAATCTAAAATCATCAACAATCCGTTGTCGTCCAGCGGTTAGGATATCTGGCTTTCACCCAGGAGACCCGGGTTCGATTCCCGGCAACGGAACTTTTTGGGTTTTGGGCTTCGTCTTCTCGTGGGCTTGGCCCATTTCATTAGATAACGTAGAAGAAGAAAAGGATTTGTGAAAGTACTATGTTACCCTTATCATGTATGCTTTTTATATATGATGTGAGAATGGTTGGGTTTGTTTGAAATACACTAATTCATCCCATTTTTTCCCTCCAAAAATATCAAATCAAATATTTATATTTTATTTTTTATATTATACTAAAAATCAATTTTACATTCAAAACATCACATCAACACCTATTTATATCATATCATATAACTATTCAAATTCAAAATTTTTACTATTCAAATTCCAACTCAAAATTCAAACTCCCAAACAAACACATAGAAGATTCGGTACCTATAATGCATTACATGGATATATATATATATATTTATAAATTTATCTAGTTAATTTATGGTTGAATAATGGCCGTTTGGTTTGATTTTTTAAAAGAATACAAGTTAAAAGTAAAATTTCAGACCAAATAATAATAATAATAATAATAAAATCAATTTTAAAAATATTATTGATATATTAATTAAATACTGTTGAACTATATATATTACACTCTTTGTCATCCAAAATTATGCCTACATGATTTTGCATGAATTTTAATAAAAATAGATAAAATCAATTATCTTTTTCTTTTATATTAAAAAATATAAAAGTAATATTTTAACTAAAAAAAAGTAATAAGATTTTTCTCTGACAAAAAATGTATATAAATTTAAATGAAATAATATAATGCTGGATGGTATTAATGAATAAGTTGATTATTGATATTAAAAGGCACTATTTCAAAATTTTTTGGCACTATTATTTGAAAAACTATTTCATCAAATATATATTTCTTCTCATAAAATATTCATTAAATATAATTCTTTTAACATTTCTTCTGTTTTTCTTTTTTAAAAAATAAATCAGAGCCTTAGTTAGGAATAAGTTTAAGTTTACATATATATATTTTAAACATTTTAACTTTATTTATCTAACTATTTAAAAGAAAAAAAACATTATTAATTTAAAATTTTATATAAAAGATATTAAATTAAACACTTAATATATATCCATCACAGTAAGTTTTTACTATTTTCAAAACTCTTAAAAACAAGTTTGAATTTTAATAGTAAATATTTTGAATTGAAATAATTATTTAATGCGATATAAATATCGATTGATGTGATATTTTGTAATAATAACTGTGTAACTGGCATGTATATACAAGAGAATAGGGAGAGAAAGACTTATTACCAAAAAAACGAGGTTTGGTGTGGATTAGTTGTTTGTTTGATGTCAAAGTTTGTTAAATAATTTCTTGGGTTTGTTTGCTGTTTGTTAGTTTAGGTGTTTCCATCACATTACCCATTGCTTCTTTCATTCAACAAACCACTCTTTAGAGTTTGTTGACTCCTGCCCTTATTTCTCTTTTGATATTATGTGATAACCCTCAATAATAATAATAATAATAATAATAATAATATTCACAAAACTTCTATCTCTTAACAAATTATTTATTTTTCAACAAAACAAAGTAAAATCCGAAAATATTATCGAATTTGAGTAAAAATTTATTTGTAGAACAAAGTAGTAAATACATGAAAATAAAGGGTGACCCCTAATAGGAAATTCACAATTAATTTTTGTCTGATTGAAGATTCCTTTTCTGAACTTCCCTAAATCATTAAATAATTCCTAAGGAAACGTTTCAAAACGTTACTTGATCCTTTACCGCAATTGCCATCGATCGTTCCACACATTAGTCCCCAACTGACACGTATCTTAACCGTCCCACCAATCGCTCCTGTTAGTTATCGAATTTAACTGATCGTCCGACTACCCCCGTACTACCCTGTCTCCTTAAACGGGCGGCTGACCAACCGACCGCTTAGTTGCCGATCCTTCCGCTCAGAGAAACCCTTGGCTCCTTAGACGGACTGCTGTCCAACCGACCGCCTCAAGAAGCCCTTAGACATCTGATGGGACCAAAGACGGGCCCACATCTCCTCTTATTTCGGACCATTACCATAATTATAAATTTTATACTCAACAATTACATTTTTTAGTAACTGTACTATATACATAATATTAAATTTACAATTATAATTTACTATATATTATACAAATATCATTATATTTATATCATACAATACTAATAAAATCAATTTATTATTATTTTTTCTTAATTTATAGTGTATATTAATATTAAAAAATTTACATACAAAAAATAATCGAATACTTATTTAAAGGACGAAAGAAGTATTAACACGTGACACTTCAAGAATCTTATTTGAAGTGTTACAGAGTTAATATTACCAATATATATATATATATATATATAAGAAGAATAAATGTTGTATATAATGTTTTTGTTGAAATTAGAAACGTAAATATTTGTAAATAATATGAAAATAGTTAAAATAATCAACATCATGTTGATTAGTTCATTCAACACATTAACATAAATTATAAAGCTCGTGAAAAAAAATTAAATAATATATGTTAAATAGATTGTTAGCATGTAATATCTGTTTTAGTTTATAAGTTTGCTATATTGATGTACACTTTGTGCTTAAATTAGTTATAATTTGTATTATATGAACTACTATCATATACTTCTGTTAATTTATTTGTTATATTTGTATTAGATGATTTTTTTTTTCTTTTTTAAAAGAAATTATAACTTAATTTTTAAAAATACTCGTAACTATCTTTTTATTTTTATTATTTTTTTAATAAATTGTTCATTTGTTAATTTTTGTGCCGGACTCAAGGGTGCTAATTTTACTGAACGAAGAAAGTATAGGTAAAACAAAGGTAAGTTCAAGCACAAATTTCAACTCATTAGTTATCGAGTGAAATTGGAAATTAGTATCATACAATACTTACTATGTATCACATTATTTGTCTAGTTTTTCTATTTGAGTCTGTATAACATTTTTTTTTTCAAATAAAATAAAATTATACACTTTAATTATATTTTAAATTTTATAATTTTAATTAAAATAATTATTTATCTTAATATATAATAAATTATATTGTAAAATAACTATTTTAAAAATATATTTATTAATTATTCACTAATTATTCACTAATTATGATTTTTTCTAAAATTTTGTATACTTTATATTGTTTTAATTTGAGCATAAACTTATAAAAAGTTGAGTAATAAAAACTTGGCTTTGAAACAACAAAATTTAATAGTTATATATATAAAAGTAGTTAACAATATTTTAGGATTAATTTAAGAATATTTGAATTTAATATGATATTTTCTTGTCCTATAACTAGAATTATATTTATGTTCTTATTTAACATTAAAAATATCTTTATATTTATATTATTTATTATACAAATGCTTTTATTATTTGTATTATAAGATATATTTTTATCATTTTCTTTTATTTGTACTATATTTTAATATGAAAATTAATATTCAAATATCAATAAAAAAAATGCAACTATTGTTAATGGACCGAGGTAGTATAAATCAATGTTTAATACAAGGTTTTAAATTAGAAAAAAAAAAAAAGATTTTCATAGGTAATAATTTAATTAGAAATAAGTAGATATGGCATGGAGACAAAATTTGAGATTTATTTTTCAAAGTCTCAAAACACACTATTTTTTTAATAAAATAAATATATACGGTGAATCTATAGTTTACTCCCCACACTATCAGACCATACTTTACGGGATGAATATAATATATTTTTGAAATATTGTAAAATGACTTCAAATAGAATTTTAATCATCTTAAATTTAAAATATTATTATAATTGAATTTTATAATTTTTAAAAATTAGCAAAAATTAAAATAGAACACGCTATTAGTAAAATATTATAACTAAAATATTTACCTAGTAATTAATAAATATTTAGTAAATTAGTAGTTTTAATTTATTATTTTAAGTTCCTTTGAGGCGTGTTAATTTATGCTCCCACGATTTGCCAAGTTTACATCCAAGTCCTTTGTAATTATAATAGAATTGAATATAAAATTAATGGACGGAGAAAATATAGTATATTTATACTTTTGAATTAAAAGAATGGTGTAGATGTAATATTTGAAATGCAAATTTTATATTTTGTTTAAAAAATAATATATTAAACTATAAAAATAGAAAAATAATTAGACTAATTTTAGTATCTATATCTATTGTTTTTAAAAAATTACACTAATATTAAGAATACATATGTATGTAATACAAAATTTATTGATTTTATAAATTATTTTCAATATATATAATTATATGTACTATGGAAAATAATACAGATAAAATAATATACAAATAATTTATTTATTTGTATATAATGTAATATTTCATAGGGTAATTATTATTATTATTATTTTGAAAGAATATTGTTAAAAATTATTGGAAAGGCAAACAAGCTTTTGGGTCAAGATAAAAAAAAATAAAATGGAATTGTACAAAAAATTGGGCAAAGTGCCAACTCATGAAGTAGAAGTGTTACCAAAAGTTAATTTTCTTTCCTTCACTAAACTTCAAATTCCTCCAAGCTCCATTTTGATAAATATTTTTAATTTTTTTTTTTTAAAAAAGAAAATAATTTAAACATGGATATTGATACGATCTTTTATAATAAATATAAATATTTAATATAGTATTTTTTTATAAAATTACTATTAATGAATATTGCAATTTTTTTATATCAATATATATATATATATTTGTAAATAGAGGCTAAATTATTTCACCTTTTTTTTTTTTTCCTCAAAGTAAATTAATTGCAATAATTTAAAAAGTGAAGACAATGATTTGCTACCTTTCCAACCAAAAATATTAATCCCCTTATCTTAGAAGCCAAGAAAAACTTGAAGGTTTCACCATCATTGCAAATATTAATATAACACTATGAAATCATTTCATATGTAATAATTGTTTCTTTCAATAATATTATTAGTTGGAATTTAATATATATATATATATATATTCAAGATTGAAACAATTCGTACACAATCAACTCAAATCAAATTTTATTTAGGAAAAGAAAAAAAGGTTCACCAAACAATAATGAATATTTAATTTTATTTACAACAAATCAAATTAATAAATATTTCTTTCATATCTAAAACATTGACTTTCAATCAAATAATTCTTACACAAACCAACCCCCAAAAATACATCCACCCCACTACATACTAAATCGGACTATTAAATTAACCACCAAATTAAAATAATATATTGATCTAATGTAAAATATTATATATATATATATATATAATATGGGCTCTATTTGTCTACCAAATGTATGCCATTTTTACTATTTTTGTAAAAAAAAGTTCAATATTTTTTTTAAAAAAAATTATATACTATTTTTTACTTTATTTATATTGTTGTAACTGACTGACATCTTATATTTCTTATATTCAATTTACTTTAATGCAAAAAATATATTTCTTCAATCCGTCTCTAAGGGTTATATTTACTTTTACGTCATTGTATTTAACATTAAAAATATTATTATATTTGTAGATACTAATAAAAGTATTTTTGTCATTTTCTTTTAATTTGTATTATATTTTGATATAATATTTAATATTCAAAGATGAATACACATAAAATAAATATGACCGTCAGAGCCGAATATCCTTGCTTAGAAAGTTTAAGCAAATGCTTTTGTAGAATGGAGAATAATATTTTGCTCAATCCTAATTATTTACTATTATTTTTAATTTGAAATGCACTGAAACTTTTATGAAGCTTCATTTATGGAACTGGTTACGTTGCTGCTGATGAAACTAATTAGCACAATATTGATTAGTTATAATCAACATATTGTATTTATTTATTTTTTTGATGGCGTGGAACCCGCAAATATATTATATTTATGGGTAAATTATTTTTTTAGTCCAGTAACTGGACCCTCTTTTCATTTTAGTCTCGTAAGTGGAGTATGTCGCAAATTAGTTCAATAAATGAAAATTTTTCGTTGTTTTAGTCTTCCAGCGCCCGAGATGCCCGCTTGGCTCGCCGGAAGCCACATGTCCACCAAGTCAGCGATACCTGATGGACACGTGGATTTTATTATTTTTTTAATTTTTTTTTTCGATTGGACCAAATGAAAAAAAAAATAAAAAAGGCAAAAATAATTAAAAAAATTTTAAAAATGAAAAAAAAATAATAAAATCCACGTGTCTGTTAGGTGTCGCTGACCCGACGGACACGTAGCCTCCGGCGAGCCACGCGGGTGTCTCCGGCGCCGGATGACTAAAACAGCGAAAAATTTTCACTTATGAGACTAGTTTGCGATGGATTCAACTTACGAGACTAAAATGATAAATGGGTCAAGTTACGAAACTACAAAAACACTTTACCCTATATTTATATACACAAAATATAGTTGTTCTTGAAACAATATTTGTTGTGTATATGCCATTGGGTAAACTATTTTTTTAATCCCGTAACTGAACCCCTTATCATTTTAGTCATGTAAGTAGAGCCTGTCGCAAACTAGTCTCATAAGTGAAAAAATTTCGCTGTTTTAGTCCTCCGGTGCCGGAGACGCCCGCGTGGCTCGCCGGAGATGACGTGTCCGCCAGGTCAACGACATTTGGCGGACATGTGGATTTTTTTTTTTTCATTTTTTTAATTTTATTTTTAAAACTTATTTTTAATTTTATTTGCATTTTTTTATTTGGTCCAATTAAAAAAATTAAAAATAAATGAAAAAAAATAAATCCACGTGTCCGCCAGGTGTCGCTAACTTGGCGGGACACCTGGCGGACACGTCACCTCCGGCGAGCCACGCGGGCGTCTCCGGCACCGGAGAACTAAAATAACGAAAAAATTTTCACTTATGAAACTAGTTTGCGATAGGCTCCACTTACGGAACTAAAATAATGATAAAGAGTCCAGTTACATGACTAAAAAACAGTTTACCTTGTGCCATTTGTGTGTTGTCTATTTGGTGTTGTACTAATATGCAATATATATTGAGATCAATTGTTAAATATGATGTGTTTGATTATCGTCACATTATATGCCAATTTATATTATGTTAACATAAATAATATGCTGAGTATCTATTTATTACGAGCTTCGGCCTTCTTTTTATATATATATATATATGTGTATATATATATCTTACTATTTTAAATATAATATATAAAATTATTTTACATAAAATAAATTATAAAAATTACACCTAAACAAATGTTCCAAAATTAAGACTTATTCAAATGTAGTGCATGTACATATCATTGATTATCATATGAGCATTTCGTGTGTATCACTTCACATGTTTATGCAACCATATTTAATTAAATTAATTTCCAAGAAATCAAACTACAATTAAATAATAATTTCCACATATATATAAAAACAAAAAATTTTGATCATTGCATAGAAGTATTTATTCCTCACACACCTTCCAAACTCACAAACCAAATGTTTCACAATACAATTTTTTTTTCTTAAAAAAAAAAATCAAACAATAATAAATGAAGCCGCCGCCGTCTTCTTCCCCTTCTTCCGGCGGCGGCGCCGCCGCGTCCCTCCTCCGCAAGGGGCGGCTCTCCCCCTACCTCTTCACCCTCCTCGTCTTCATCTTCTTCGTCGCCATTCTTTACGGCGAGGACTTCTCCTGCATTCTCAACGGCCAGTTCGATTATCTCCGCCTCTCACCGTCGCAATTGACGGTGACCTTCTCGTCGCCGGCGACGGCCAGTGAGTTCCATCTCTGTAACTATACGATTCCGCCGTCGTCGATTAATTAATTAATTAATTGATTTGTTAATAATGTGGTGGTGATGGTTTGATTGATTGATTGTTTTTGGCTCTGCGGTAGAGAAGAAGTCGGCGGCGGCGGCGCTGCCGTTCGCGGTGGGGACGACGGCGGAGAAGAAATGCGATGTGTTTAGTGGGCGGTGGGTGTGGGACGAGGCGCGGCGGCCGCTTTACGAGGAGTCTGAGTGTCCGTACATCCAGCCGCAGCTGACGTGTCAGGCGCACGGCCGCCCCGACAAGGACTACCAGCACTGGCGGTGGCAGCCTAACCGCTGCTCTCTTCCCAGGTAATTAATTTACTAATTATTAATTAATTAATTAATGAGAACTGCTGATGAAGGCTGTTAAATGACCGGAACGACAATCTCACCTAAAAATATGAAGACTCTCGGATGTAAGAAAAAATAATTAATGACGCATATCCTAGAGAGTTTAAATTTTTAGGTAAGACAGCAATTTCGATCATCTAACATTCTATCAGAACCATGGGTCTCGAGTTGGACGTATATCCATATACTTGATCAACCATCAAATTTAATTATTATTTATTAAATACTTATTTACCACGTCTGTTACTACTTTTATTACATTTTTTCTTCATTTCATTTAATTACTAACTAAATTCCAAATATATTAATTGTCATGTTTTTCCATTTTCGTCCGTTCCAAAACAATTGTCTTGTTTCTTTATTTAGTAGCCGTGGTCCCCACTTTATAACAAAATTATTCATACTTTTCCATACTATTCCTAATTATTACTCTAATATACTCTTTAAAATCCTTAAAAAGCAAGAGCATTTTAGTCATTTATATTCTACTTTATACCCACTTTCAATTAAATACTATTATTCCTTAATTCCCGAGCCAACTCTCAATAAGACACTTCTTTTGGGACGGAGGAAGTATATTGTAAGTTGAAAGAATATTTATTATGTTAGGTAGGTAATACAATAACTAAATTAAGAAATAGTAACATTATTTTTGGACGAACGACAAAAGAAAATATTAACATTTCAATGGCACGGAGGGAGTATATTTTTTAAAATATTATTTTAATACAAAATTAAAATCTTTTTTTTTTTTTTTCTTTCTTAAATTCACCCAAAAGTTAAATCAACTCGCCACACTCCTTGTCTCTCTAACAAATGATATTAATTAATTACATTATAACTCTAAAATAGATTGTTGTCTTAATTGCCTTGCCTTAAAAAGGAAGATTGGGTCAAGTAAGTTTTAACGAATCCCTAATAAAATCCGCCGGCGGGGCTTATCTTATTAAAAGTTGTCAAATAGCCGGTTGTGATTAGCTCATCCGTTTCGATATATATATATATATATATATATTTTGAATCCTATTATTTAACATTGTATGAAAATTGATGTTTTTAACTTTAGATAAAATTAGATTTAGTAAAATATATATAAAAAATATATACATATAGGATAAAATTATATTTTATGATTGACTATATAATAATTAATATAATGTGCATTTATTTAAATTTAAACTTGTAAATATGTAGTCGTTTAATATGATAGTCGAAATATTCTATATTTAAACAGGGTTGGTTTTAACTTTTCAGGATTCGGGGCAAAACAAAAACATGAGCCTCTAAATATATATATAAATACTACATCCGTTCGATTCTAAGGGTCTCATTTACTTTTTGCGTGTTGATATTTGAATATTAATTATTATATCAAAATATAGTATAAATTAAGAAAAAAAATTGTAAAAATACTTTAATTAGTGTCTTATAATACCAATAGAAGAATATTTGTATAAAAAATTATACAAATATAAAATAACTTTTAATATTAAATACAATGAGGTAAATATGATCATTTTTGCACCGTTACAAAATAACCTCATGCTACTTAAATTACATTTCTTTTAATTTTAAGCATAAAATCATTTTTTTTTAAGTAAAATTTAAACACAATAATTTACTTTAAAAAAAATGTTTATTTATTTTTCGTTTGTTAAAACTATTATTATTTTTTATTAGATAAAAAACCATATATAACTTTTTGTATAATTTTTTTTTTGAATGAAAAGTAAAAAATAATTAAAAGTGTATACTTTTAATAAAATCCATACCAAAAAATATAAGCCATAATTTATTTATTAATTTTTTTAAAACTAAGAGAGTATAAATAAAAAATAAAGAAAACATCAAAATTTAATTAGGTTTGACACAAATTTTGGCTTATACATCATCGGTCTCTTTAAATAATACTTTTTTCGTTTCATATAATTTGTCCATCTTTCTATTTGGATCGGTCTCACATAATTTCTTATTTTTTTTAAAAAAAAAATATAATTATACATTTTAAATCACATTTTAAAAATTTATAATTTTTATTTAAATTAAACTATTCAGTCATTTTAATTTTAATCAACAGTTATTTTTATTAATACGTTTATTAATTAATTACTAATTACACAATACCTAAAACTTCATGTCCAACTAAAGTAAACAAATTAGCTGAAAAAATGGAATATTTCACTAACTCTAAAGAAGTATACCAATGTGTTAAGGTTGTAATTATTTTTTTAGATTTTTTTTTTTACTATTTGAACCACACATATATATTTCAAAAAACATAAATATATATATATGTATATTTTTTTTTAATTTTATATAAATATTATTTAAATAAAAACTCAAACATCCAAACTCAATCTGGTTCAAAAATACACATCAATGGTTTCTTTGTTGTAACGAAATTGAAAGCTACACTCTTATATTTCGGGCATTTTATTAAAATGTGATCGCGATGCGACGAAGTTCTAACAAATGAATATTGGTTGGGACAGTTTCAATGCAACGATGATGTTGGAAGCCCTTCGAGACAAGAGGATGATGTTTGTCGGTGATTCACTAAACCGCGGTCAATTCGTGTCGATGATTTGTCTTCTCCATAAACAAATCCCTAACAACTCAAAATCCATGGAAACTAACGGTTCACTAACTGTCTTCACTGCTAAGGTAATTAAACCTCAAATTCTTGTAGATATGTTGTCTGAAAATTTATTCATGTAAGAATAAATATATATATATATTGATTGATTTTTGTTCATCAGGATTACAATGCGACGATTGAGTTCTACTGGGCACCTTTCCTTCTGGAATCCAATTCTGACGACGCTGTAATACACCGAATAAGTGATCGAATGGTCCGGAAGGGGTCGATCAACAAGCACGGGAAACATTGGAAAGGAGTCGATATAATGGTCTTTAATACATATTTATGGTGGATGACGGGCCTCGAGTTCAAGATCTTGTAAGTTCAAATTTTTTAGTACTGTTGGTGGTCGTAAATTTCATTATAATCGATCATTTCATCGAAACACATCCTCCCTCTTCTTAAAAGAGTGTTCAAAATTTTTGGACACGTAAATTAAAAAATTAATATTTTAATATTTTTTTATGCTTTTAATCATAAAGAAGTATAGAATAATTATCGGTGACAATAATATGAATATATAAAAAATAATTAATAGACATTTAAAGAATGATTGAATTTTTGTTTTTTACTAAATATGATATCAACACAATTTTTTACGGACAATTTTTAATATACATTTTTTTTTTTTTGTTGATAGAGGGAGTTTTTAATATTATGTCTTAATTTATTTTCTAGTTTTAATTATGGAGTAGTTTTTTAATATGATTAATATGTTCGCTCAGTGTTTTTAGATGAATTAATTTTTTTGTGTGTGGAATGAGAAACTATGTTGGTAATATAAAAAATAAAATTTTATTTTGAATGATTGACTTTTTATGAGTGGATAATATATATTGTATAATGTGTGTATATTTATATTTTTTTAATAATATTTTCGGAGAATTGTTTCAGTGAGAAATGCTATGTGAACAAACTGATCTATCATTTAAAAATAACTTTCGATTTACTTTATCATCGTACACTTGACATGAATCTTATCTATTCGACTATATTTGGTTAGGCAAAATTCTTTCGACGACGAGGAGAAACACATAATAAGCGTGTCGACCGAAGACGCGTACCAAATGGCCATGAAAAGCATGTTGCGATGGGTAAAGAAAAACATGGATCCAAACAAGACGAGAGTGTTCTTCACTAGCATGTCGCCGTCACACGGAAAGTAAGCAATGATAACATCAAATAATTTTATCTTCTTTTTTTTTTTTTTTCTCGATCTATGTCTAAACATTCACTTTACTTAAAATTTTCATAGGAGTATCGATTGGGGAGGCGATCCAAAAGGAAATTGCTACAACGAGACAACATTAATACAAGACCCATCATACTGGGGATCAGATTCGCGAAAAAGCATAATGCGTGTAATAGACAAAGTGTTTGGAAAATCCCGAGTTCCCATAACATTTCTTAACATCACACAACTATCGAGCTATCGAAAAGACGCGCACACCTCGATATACAAGAAGCAATGGAACCCTTTAACCCCCGAGCAAATTGCGAATCCAACGAGCTACGCGGATTGCGTGCATTGGTGCTTGCCGGGCTTACAAGATACGTGGAACGAGCTCTTGTTCGCAAAGCTTTTCTATCCTTAAGAGTTTCGAAAAAATGTATATTTTTATTCGTTGTCACTGAGGTGATCGTTAATCGATTTTGTTGTTCGATTGTAGTGATTTTTTTGGACAAGAAATTCTCTAAGTTTGGGAATGTGTATGTAACAATGCTAATTTTTTACAATTGTTAAAACAAATGTAGTGAAGATTTAACGAAATAGGTTGTCAATTAGTGAGTTTGGATTGTGTCTGTGTGGGGTTAAGCTTTTGTTATAAATAAAATTTTGCAAATCCAAACACAATCTAAACTCAATATTCAACCTGAAACTTCAGATTAATTCGAACATTACACAATTTTTCTTCAAATCAGTTTTAGGTCAGCTTAATTTTATTTAATTAAAAATATTTAAATATTATCTGTGTTCTTTTATCAAAATTTATAAATTTTTTACTATTCACTAAATTCTCTTCCTAAAATACCAAATTAATTTTAATTTTATTTATTATTGTTAGGGAATAGGTGTTGCACAAAAAATAATTCGAACACCTAAACAAGGGTCAACTTCTGAAGCGTAGTTATATTACAGTGTTATAACACCATACTTCCAACCGAATCCATGCAGAAATACAAAGCAGTAAATGAGACAATGTTTGTTTACACGGTTTGGATATAAATAATCCTATATCCGGGGATACCAATTCCAGATAAGTTCACTAATATTAAGAACAAAGACAACCACAACTTCTTCAACCCATACCTCTACAATGATTACCTTGAAAAAATTCCTCAACAGGTTAACATTGTCACAAGCTCGTACTGACAACTACCACAGAGCATGACTGCTCAGAATTTGGACATCTCCCCTGATCGGAACTCCGATTTTTCCTTCCTCCGACGAACTCTCCGGCGGATAAAAGTGACTAGCACACTCACTCAATATATAGAGAAGAGAAGGGTTGAGGTTGAGAGGATTGAACACACTTTCTCTCACTACACACAACTCTCAAAACCCTTCACACAATCAAACTCACTCCACAATTATCTATAGTACCACCTGTTGTGCATGTAAGACAAACACAATTAAAACCCCTTACACATAAATGGTATTGTGTGACTTTGCATGAAACATGCAACCAAATTGACCACTCAAAACATCCATTCATTTGTCTTATGTGCTCACCAACCGAGAGAGTTAAGACAAACAATGTTGTTATTAGCCTGTTGCAGTAACCAGATGGGACATCTTACTGTAAATGGAAACATGTGAACAATAGCAGCAAGAAATAATGGAAGTGTCCATATGTCAAAATAGATTTGGGATTTCTTGTTCAAACAATTATACTAAAAATTATTTTTACATTCAAAATATAACATCAATATCTAACACCTATTTATATTACATTATACAATTATTCATATTTAAAATTTTTACTATTCAAATCCAAATCTAAAATCTAAACGCAAGCAAACACACCTACTTTATTTGTAACATTTTGTATCTATTGATATAATTTATTTTAAAATGACTGTAAAATAAATTATCACATTATAATTGTTGAATCATATATAAAGGGCATTTTAGATTGAGTTAAAATAAAGAAGTCAATTAGAAATCAAAATTAAAAAGTAAAGATAATTTGATTTTCGATTTGGATGAATTTTCATAAAATTATTTTTTATTTTAAAAAAATAATTAAATAAAAAAATGAATTACTTCTAAATTATGAAAATTACAAAAAAGGATGTACTTAGGATTATAATATTAAACTTAGGATTATATTGAATATATATATATATATATGTATGTATTATATTGTTGGGCTCAGCCCAAAAATAAAGAAACCGAGTGAATAAGACAGCATTTGGGTTAGGGCTTTGTGTGTTGGGCTTGAAACATGGGTTAATGGGCCAAGAAAATTAATTGGAATGAGAATTTGTTAACCTTTTTTTTTTTTTTTTAAATTACATGATTTTCAATAAATATACAAAAAATACAATATATACATATATTAACACAATACATGTAATATATTTTCTATTTATTAATAAAAAGTCAACAATTTAATACAAAATACTATTTTCACGGTCCTGCCATAATTGATATGATTCCCATTTTAATATGTCTCATAATAGTACATATAGAAACAACTCAAATTTTTATTTGTATCTCTCTTTAATCTCACTTAAAACATATTTAATTCTATTGCTTCTTCAATTCCATTCAAAATTCTTTTATTTTTACATCACTTCTCAATAAATAAATATTTTTCTTTATCTATATTTATAAATCACTTTTATTTTATTTTATTTAAAGTAATATATGTTAATCATACATAAATAATTTTTTTATTTAATTGTATTATATAAAATTGTAATTTCTACGAAATAATATCTATATTCTATATATTTTTTTATTGAGATATAATATTTTAAATATTAATTATTTTTAATTATATATATTAAATTTTATTTATAAAATATAAAAAGTGTTTGAAGAGATATCTTTTTATGTGGGATATAAAAAAATTGTATATCACTGCTCACATAAAAATAAATAAAATAATATCATAAACTATTCTCATTAATTTACTAAATTATATTTTTCTTAAATACCACGCACTAACCAAATGGGTCAACTGTGGCGGGACAAAGAGAATATTTATTTATTTTATTTTTTTAATAACGTAAAAACTCGCAATCGCTACGGAAGCATGCACTGGATAAATTCTCGGCAGAACCTAATACTATGCAAACTAGACTTGACAAGACAAGTTACACTAAACGAACTATGTATGACAGGTGATTTGGAGACATCGAAAGTTTGATACAATTCAACGTACTTAACATAAAAAAATATATTTATCAAAAAAACACAAAATGAACAAATCCTAATTGCCATAAAAAAGAAACTTGAATAGTTACAATGGAGGTTGATTGAGACTAAATAGAGTGATGATTAAGTTGCAATCAACAAATAAAAATATAAAACAAAATAATATTTCATCTGTTCATTTCAGAAGTATATATTTATTTTTGAGAAAAAGCTTAAAAAATAATATTATTTTAATTATAATACATAGTTTAAAATAGTATAAAAATAATTTTATCTTTACTTTTTGTTGTAAAAGTAATGGTGTGATGATATAGTATGAATATTTGTAAAAAAAAAAAAAAAATAGTGTCCATTGTTACTAAAAAAAAATTAGTTTGTAATTGGACAATTCAAAATAATGTGTATATTTTGTGAATAAACTATAGAAATAGAGCAAACACCATTTGTATAGAGTGTTAGCATATCCGACCGGATTTTTTTATTTTCTTTTTAAATAATATACATTGTGTATTGAAATTAATTTTAATATATGTTCTGTAAACTACAATTATGTACTGTATGTATATTATATGAACATATTCTTCCCCCGTCCCATAACAAAGTATCTATTTTTCCATTTTAGTCTGTCCCATAACAAAATATTCATTTCATTTTTTCTAGTAATTGTACTATCTATCTGACATTACAAATACCCTTGCAACTTACAGTATATTACACAAATGTCATTACCTTTATATCACAAAATACTAATAAGGTTATTTTAGTCATTTCTACTTTATTCTTACTACATTCTAATATAATAATAATATTTTTAAAACTCTGTGCAAAAAACAAACGGATATATAATTATGGGACGTAGAGAGTATCATGTGTTGTCCATTTATATGAGTATATTATATTTTCGGTATATATCATGCACGCGTGTTATACATAAAAAAAAAAAAAAAATGTAAAAAATGGAAGGACTAATATTAAAAAAAATAAACTTTGACATTATATTTTATTAGAAGAAAAAATATTCAAATATAAATAACGATCTAATAGTATGGATAAACCTTTTTTATTTTGCTCATCGTTAATCCTTTATCTTCTTCATTTCAAGTATCTTAATTTCATGCATTTTATTCATCAAATATGCTTTCATTCCTTTTAATTTGCCTTCCATTTTACTTTATATATTATGTAATTTTAAATGCTTATTGCAATCAAATAATTTTAGTTATGAAATATTTTAAATTCAAAGCAATTTGAATTCATTAATTTAAAATTCACTTTAAATTCAAATTGATCGAATCAAATGGACCTCCGAAAAAAATTAAAAGGAGTGGGAGCCACGAGACGAAACTTTGGAATGGAATTTATTACAAACATGAGGATCAAATGATCAAATCAAACTAATTAATAATAATAATAATAATAATAATAATAATAATATTAAAATGATGAAATAAATCAAATCAAAGTAGCCACCCACCTTCCCCACTTGCATGTAAATTTCTGTCTCTTTTTTCTCCCTTTGCTTTTTCTGCCCATTCTTCTAACATAATAATAATAATAATAATAATAATAATAATAATGATGGTAAACTGTTTTTAGTCCCGAAACTGGACCTTCTTGTCATTTTAGTCTCATAAGTGGAGCCTATCGCAAACTAGTCTCATAAGTGAAAATTTTTCACTATTTTAATCCTCCAGTGCCGGAGACGCCCGCGTGGCTCGCCGGAGGCTATGTGTCCGCCAGGTCAGCGACACCCGGCGGACACGTGGATTTTATTTTATTTTTTTCATTTTTTTTTAAATTTTTTTAAAATTGATTTAAAATTGATTTTTAATTTTATTTGCCTTTTTTAATTTTTTTTATTTCGTCCAATTAAAAAAAAATTAAAAAATTAAAAATAAAATAAAATCCACGTGGCGGACACGTGGGTTCCGGCAAGCCACGCGGACATCTCCGGCGCCGGATGACTAAAACAACAAAATTTTTTCACTTATGGAACTAGTTTGCGACAGGCTCCACTTACGAGACTAAAATAATAAGGAGTCTAGTTAGTAGACTAAAAGAAACAGTTTACCATAATAATAATAATAATAATAATAATAATAATAATAATAAAAAATTAGTATTAAATAAATAAATAAGTAGATGTAACAAGTTGTGTATATATGTACAGAAAAAGCATATCAAGTTGGGAGTCCATATTTCAATTTTCAAATGTGGTGAGATCTCTTCTTCGTTATTTAATTTCATTATTATCAACTGTTACTTTGATTTGAAATTTTCTATAAAAACAACTCTCGATATTTTTTCATTAATTTGGTGATAAAAAATTTGGAAACAAAAAAACATCAAATAAACACGTGTAATTAAATATTCAACATTCACTCATTTAATCCTCCTTATTATGATTATTAATTCTTCATTTTTTTTTTATTTTTACAAAACATCAAATAAAATATTTATTTTTTATTTATTATATTACACTAAAATTTAATTTTACATTCAAAATATCACATCAATATATATTTATATTATATCAAATAACAATTTAAATCCAAAATTTTATTATTCAAAACCAAAATCCCACAAAAAACCACACATTTTAAATAAATAAAAAAAGATTTGAGATTATATCCTCTTGATGAGTTTGATTTTAGTTTCTTTTAACATGCAATAATTATAATTTTCTATAAAAATATTTACAATTTTCAAGTTTTAATTTCCTTTACACACATTGTATTTTTTTTTTTTTTTTCTTAGTTACTTATCTTTGAAATGTTTTGTATATATTACTTCTTAGACTATTATTACGTTCTTTTAAAATTCAATTTCAGTTTTTCTTTTTATTATATAATTATAATAATTTTTGTAAAAATTTCTCTTCTCTCTTATAAAAAATTTAACCTACTAATCAAATAAAAAAACAAGTTCTAACTTGAAAAAAACTTACTCTATAAATATATATATATTGTATGTCTACTTATATTTTATTTTATTTTTTCTATTTTAATGTTCTAATGATATTTTACAAAAAATAGTATATACCATAATAATTCCTAAATTAAATAAAAAAAATAATACAAATAAACAACAATGTAAAGAAATGCAAATCAATTTACGGAAAGTGCTATCAAATCAAAAAATAAGTATATATATGCATTTCGAGCATAATTTGCAGATTATTAGCTTTGACCGGAAGTTTGAAGTATTTTTTTGATGTGAAATATTAAACATTATTTCGGTAATATAAAAAAATAATATATTTTTTTTATTGAATGTTAATTTTTATAAAAGAATAGAATATATATAATATTTCCTTCGTCCCATAACAAATGATATCATTTTTATTTTAGTATGTGTCGTAAAAAATAATTATTTTCTATATTCGATAAAATTTATTAATTTAAATATACTTAGGTATATTTTTTAAACTCTTTTTTCCTATCTTTCTTTAATAACTAAATACTTTTTATCTACATTTAAAGCTCTCTATTTTTTTTATAAAATTAATTTATATTAATAATAAAGAAAAAAAAATATTATATTATTTATCTGTGTCATATAACATTTTATTATCTATAAAATAATATTTATATTGAATATATTTTATTGAAATATATTTTTTAAAAATATTTAAATATATAATTTTAATTTTTTAATCATATGTATTACTTTTTATTACAAAATTATTAACAATACTCTTACATAAAATAAAAAATTAATATCATAATTTATTATTATTAAATAATTAAACATAATCATCTAAAATATTATCCCGAAAAATATCATTTAAAATAAGACGGAAAAAATATATATTAGGTAAAATTGTGTGAGTGAACAAAGCCATACATTCTTCATTATATTTACATACAAAGTTTATTATACATATATCATAATATAGTATATCTTAAAAATATTTTATAATATATATTTATTTGTGTTTATTATTTAACTTAATTTATTATTTGAATTATTTTTCTTAAAAAAAGGAAATAGTTGACGAGTTCTTATAATGTAAGAAAGAGTTAAGTTCTTGATGAGTTTTTAATCCGGCATGGCATGACGTGAAAGAAAAAAAAGAGTATAAAACTAGTTGATATACATATATATTTTCCGTTTCTTTAATACTCTAGATCACAAAATTACAAGTGTCGTGTTCACTTATTTTTTTATCCCCATTTTCACACTATATATTAATTGTAAAATTATATTTTTGTTTTTTCTTTTCTTTTTTACTCTATATATTATTTTGAAATTAAATTTGACAGTGTAGCTACACTATTAGTTTGATTGTAATTTGAAATTAATTTCAAATAAAGTGTTAATTTGAATTTTTATTCAAATAATATTTTGATATGGTACTTTATAAGAAAAAAGAATATTATATTTTTATTGAAAGCAATATAAAATAAATATTATTGATTTGAATTTAAAATGATAAAATAACAAACTAAATTTCCACATTGTATACACTTATATTTTTATCTACACTCAATTTGCACTATTCTTAAAATAAAAGAACACAATTAATATTACTTTTTCATTTGAATATAATGTTTAATACCAAAGGCTTTGTACTAATACTTTACATGAAAGAGATATTGAATTTCATATCTTTGGAAAATATATTGACAACCTCAGGGTTTATTTAATTAGTGTTTTGATTTAATTATTTTATTTTAATGTGAAATATATGAAATTGTGTTGATAATATAAATAATATATTTTGTGTTAAATGTTGATTTTTGTATAATAATAATATATATATATTCAGAATCGTATGAAAAAAAAATATATAAATAAATAAATTGTGGAGAAAGAACCTTAGCCAAAGTGAAAACCAGCTGACTAATTATAAAATAGATTCGGAATTGGAATGATTACACAAAATTTATATACAAAGAATTTACAGGCACAATCAAAATGAAATAGTAACAAAAATTTAAATTTAGAACCAATCCAAAAGAAAATCCCACAATCTACATGATTCCCATTTCAACTAAAAAAATAAAAAAATTTATTTAGGTCGATTTTTTAATTTTCTAAATTATTATTATTATTATTGGCAACAATAAGTTTAGCCAAAGACTGCAGATTGCACCTAACAATGGTGTCCACAAACGCACACGTTTCTTCCTTCGTATTCCCCACCGGCACATCCACCACGTACGACTCCACCACCACCGTCCCGCCGCCGTCCGCCGCCGCCGCCGGGTGGAGCGTCGTCACCGACCGGTAATTCCTGAGGCGGTGGTCGCCGCCCACAACGCTGAAGCTCGTCACGTGCCTCTCATCGTCCAATATTTCCAACCTCTCCGTGCTACGCGCCGCCGGCAGCCCCGACACCACGCGCACCTCCCGGAGCGTGCCAACACCGCCCTCCCCCACGATGACGTGGCAGCTCCTCACGAAGTGCTTGTACGCCTGCGGCCGGTCGAACCGGCGCACCACCGCCCACACGGCTTCCACGTCAGCACCGCCGATCGCCTGAACCGCCGCCGAGCAGCACTGCCCCGGCGCCACCGCGTGGGTGTGGTGGCCCAGCACCTCCTCCGGGACGGCAATATCGCCGGAAACGGGGCAGACCGTACGCGCCGCCGCCTGCAGCCTCTGATCGTGTTTCGACGGCGGCTCCGCCGCGGCGGCGGCGGCGGCCGGAAGAGTGATGGGAGTAATTCGGTGAAGCTGAAGAGCGGAAGGCATTTAATTAATTTATTTACAAAATAATAATAATCATAATAATTTCTAAGTTTGGGATCATGAAATGGCACGAGAATGCGATATATAAGATGGGATCCGTACGCCTATACATACACAAATACTGATATATATATATATACGTAGCTTATTAGCTAGTTGTAATAAAATTGGGATGTTTTGTTTGCCAACTGCAATGTAGCTAGAGGGAGGGCAAGTGGAGAGACAAGTTGCATGCATGGCTAGGTTAGAGGGGGTCCCGGGAGTCCGGGGACGGAGTCATCTGGACCGTTGGAGATCATGTGAAGGACGGTGTGGATGAAGTGGCGGTCGTAGATGGCATGGCAGGTTGTAATGACAAGAATGCCCCTGGGAGAGAGATACAGATGTATGTATATATAGATAGAAGGAAGGGGTTGCCGACGGGACCGGTCCAGATCTGGAGCAGTGAACTGAGGAGTGGTATGGGTGTGGGGGATACAGATACATAGATATATGGGGAAGAAGGGTACCCTGCTTATTATTATTATTATTATTATTATTATTATTAAATGTTATTTTAAAAAAATTACTCTTTTTATAGAAATTTGAAAAATATAAATTTTTCTGATTAATTTTGAAGATAATTTTGATGTCTTTATTTTTTATTTTATATATAAATTAATTGTATACATAATGATATATATATATATAACTAATGTAAAAGTTTAGCTGAGCGTATTTTTAAGTGAGACAAACGAAAATAGTAAAAATGATACTCTCTCCGTCCCATATCTATTTATTCATTTGATTTTTGCACAGAATTTTAGAAATATTAGTATTTTATTATGATTTAATAGAAATAAAAGTAAAAAACTTAAACTAATCTTATTACTATTGTATGATATAAAAGTAATGACATTTGTATAATATATTGTAAATTGGAATGATATTTGTAATGTTAAGTAGATAGTACAATTACTAAAAAAAATGAATACTTTGTTACGAGAGAGACCAAAATAAAAAAATAGATAAATTGCTAAGGGACTGAAGAAATACTTTAAATTGGAACGAAAATAGTATTATTAGGTGGGTAGAGAGAATTCATATAATAATATTTTAATATTCCATCCGTCTGACCTATTATGTTAATATTGCCGTTTCTGTCTATCCCACATCTCATGTTACTTTCTTTTTTGGAATATAATTACACACCTTAATTTAATTTTTTTAAAAATTATAATTAAATTAATTAGTTATTTTAATATAATTATTTATATTATAGGATAACTATTTTTACTAATTGATTCTTAATTATATACTCCATCGTTCCCATAAACATAGTTCTAATTGGGTTGGACACGAGATTTAAGGAATATTGATATTATATTGGTAGTGAGTAAAAAGTATGGATAAAAGACATTTTTGCCCTTGTGAATGTATTAGTGTAAAAAATAGTGACAATTGTGTAATAAAAATGAAAATGTAGGGATAGTTTTATGGTAATATGGTTATTTATGGAAATAAAACTATTGTTTTGAGACGGACAAAAATACTAAACAAAATTATTGTATTAGGACTAAGGAAGTACTAATTATACTTGCCATAAATTTTTTTGTCATACAGTAACCTGTACATACAACGTGGGAGAGGAGTATAAGATAAAAAATAAATATGAATATTATATAAAAAAAATATTAAGAGTTAGTGAAAAAATAGTGGGTAAATTATGCCTAAGTTTAACAAATCATAAAATCAGAAAAAAATAATACTATAATTATCTTGAATAGAAGGACTACAAAGTAATACTCCATGTTCATCCGCTTTGCCATTTTAGTTAGTTCAAATCAACAATTTTATTATTTTTTATTTTTTAGAAAAATTAATTCTCAACTAAATTTTAAAATAAATCTGCTTTTTACTTTTCTACATTTTTTCTAAGAGTAAAATAGACATTATATTATTTTATTATACTATATATCTATAAAATACTAATTTATCTTAATTTGTGTGAAAAATCAAATAAAAAACTTACAAGTGAAGGGAGAAAATAGTAAAGTTTTCAATAATACACTATTTTCTTTAATATTAATGTTATTATTTACTTTATGTATGTAAAATTTTATGACATGAATTAGCTACTGATTTGATAAGTCAGCATGGTACTAAATTTTAAATATTACTAATATTATATATATATATATAGTACAACAAGATGATGAATATATAATTTATCATAAAAATATATTGTTACATAATTAAAATATTTTAATAGAATTATTGTAATAGTAAGTAAAATGTACTAGTTTTTCTTTTTTCATTTTTTTTTTGTTTAATTTATGGTGACCACAATTATTTAAAAAATGATTAATTTTAAATAGATCATAATAATTAACCAAATCTTTATAGATCAAATGACATGACATCATGGGTTGGGGTTATGACCCGAGTTCGATTCCGAGTACTTAAAAAATTGCAATAGTTATAAGACATTATAAATAATAATAATATAAAATTTTCTTCACAACTTCCAATATGCGAGCCCCTGTTCTGTACGGCCGACTAATAACCGGGTGTGACCTAGGCGCCAGACGTGTCGGCTTCCGGACACGTTACGAATTTATCATAAAAGGAAGGAAATAGTATTAGTTTTTATAAAAAATAATTTCTATTATATATTTATTCTTTCATTTTATTATTTTCTCTAATATGAAGATCTAATGTTCTATAGAATTTTTGAAAACTTCACAAATTAACAAAAAATAAGTAAAAAGTTGATATTAATTATATATTTGATGTAATATATATTATTTTTAAAAAAAATATTATTAAAGAATTAGTACAAAAAAGAAAAATTCAAAATGTATGCAAACAATTTAATTTAACTACTTGATAAACAATTTGTTTCAATTATTTAAAAGTTACCTTAATAATGGATATCCAATACTATATAATATGTTTGGATATTTTTTATTTTAATTTTGTATTTGTATTTTGTGTTTAAATAATACTAGTTGGATGTGATTTTTGCCAAAGAAGGTATTGTACTTCTATAAAGAATATTAAGGGTTTGTTTGTTTCTAGTTAGAGTTTGATTCTTTTACTTGAGTATTTTTAATTAAATAGGATATTTTAATGTACTATTTTGGAATCAATACAAACACACCATAAAATTGCTTAAAAAAAAAACAACTCTAAATTAACATGCAAACCGAATTTTTTTATATAAACACGGAAATCATGAAATTTAATTAAAAATTTATTTGATTTCAATATAAAAATTTATAGAACTATAATAATAAATAAAATAATAAGCTTTTTATGCATGATTTATTATGTCAAACTATAAATAATATAATGTTAAAATAGTATTGCCACAATTTTTTGAGTGTTCATTTAAAAATATTATTAAAAAATACAATATATATTACTATTTTTAATAAAAACATTTATCCACATTATTACATAAAAATATATATTATTTTTTATATAAAATATTTTTAAAAGAATAAAATTCATCCAAATAACATTACAATTCTCCAAAATATTTTAGTAATTTAAATAAACAATAACAAGAATTCTTAGCACTCTCTTCCTTTCCATAGAAAATATTTCTACTATAATATCGTGCAAAAAAAATTTGCATTAGAAAATAATAAAAAACATTCTTGAACTACATAAACATTTATATACCTAAGTTGGCATTAAACATTTATATGCATATATGTTTATTTGGCCAATTCAAGGGGTCATTTTATCCAATTTATTTTCGATTATTTTTATTGAAAAATAAAGTATAATATATATGTTTAATAAATATACTACATCCACATATGGTGTCCATATTACCATTTATGTACATTTCACATCTCATATAATTTTCATTTTTTAGAAAAACTTATACATTTTAACATTATTTTTTTTTAAAAAAATAAAGTCTAGTTTTTTTTTTAAAAAAAAAAATTAATTAGACTAATTAGTTATTTTAATTTTAATTTATAATTATTTTATAGTATTTACTTTCACTAATACATTCTTAATTATTTATTAATTATACTTTTAAATTTTTGTGTATACATTAAATAAGACACGGTAGATGGAACGAATGAAGTACTATGTGTTCTATTTATGTACTCCCTCTGTTCTAATACAGTAATCTTGTTTACCATTTTTGTCCGTTCCAAAACAATAGTCTCATTTTCATAAATAATCATATCACCATAAAACTATCCCTACTTTTTTATTATTATTATACAATTGCCACTACTTTTTACACTAATATACTCACAAGGACAAAAAAATCATTTATCCTTACTTTTTATCAACTACCAATATAATATCAATATTTCTTAAATCTCGTGCCCGACACAACAAGATAATACTTTTGGGATGGAGAGAGTATAAAAAGTCAATAATTCTAATATAAAATATTATTTTTCATATTAACAGTATGATATCTATACCTCACATGTTTAATATATAATATAAAATACATCAATTCTGATGATACAAAGTGAACAAATCCGAGGTATCTAATTCAAACGTATTTTTTCTTTTGTGTGATATTATAATTAAAATAATTTTGAGAGCAAAAAAATTGTACTTCCTCTGTCTCAGATACTGTGTCCACATTGCCGTTTCTGTCTGTCCCATGTACCATGTCACTTTTCCTTTTTTGAAAAATGATTATACACTTTAATCTCATTTTAAATTTTATTTTTTAAATTTTAATTAAACTAATTAGTTATCTTAATCTTAATTTATAATTATTTATATTATAGGATAATTATTTTCACTAATGCATTCTTAATTATCTACTAATTATACCCCTCCTAAAATACCGTGTCTACAGTGTAGCAGACACGGTATCTGGGACGGAGGGAGTAGTAACACAAGTCTCGCGTTAGTGTATAGACATAGGGTACTATTCGATTCATACTATTTAATAAGCATTGAATAATTAGAACTATTATTCATTTTAATAATTTGTTTGAAAGTTTAAATTTTGGGTTGGAATTTGAAAAGTAAAAATTAAATCTGAATAGTTGTATGATGTAATATAAACAAATATTGATGTGATGTTTTGACTGTAATAGTAATTTTCAGTATAATAAAAAAAATAAAAATTAAGTATTTG